ACGGTAAAGAGGGAGTTGAGCTGAAAGGCAAAGCTCTCGATACGCCGGTCGATCTAGGTTCCTACCCTCACCTGTGGTCATGAGCCGTGGGTAGTGAGTCAGGACACGCTGAAAAGACCATGTCTCACCTTTGTTTTCTGTGAGGGTTAACGCTCAGAAAAATGTGGTTAGTTAACGCCGCTGCAAGTTTGTGGCCTGTGAGTTATTGAGCTCATGCTTCTGGGATCTCAGAGAGAAAAGAGTTGAAGAGGTTTTATGAGGACGAAGTTGTGATGGTTTGATCTGTTTCGACATATTTTGCAAAGTCATGCATCAGCTAATAGACCCAAACTCCTTTGGTCTTTCTCTTTCTCCTTCATAACTCTGCTCATAGATAATGTGTTAAAGAGAAGATCAAGTTTAGATAAGAAGGATGGACTTCTTTCCTAGCGAGTATAAATGTATTCACACCAGAGCGCATCTTTGTCAGATTAAATGTTTCCCTGGTGTCAGAACCGAACCTCTGTCCTCTCCCTGGAAGAAAACTTCGGAGTAAATGTTCAGAACCAGCTGTTCATGGTTTCTTCTAAAGAGTTTCATGCTGATCCAAAGTTTAAAGATGAAGATATTACTCAGCTTAAATCTGTCATGTGTGCTGGCAGCAGTGTGAGGCTGAGTTATTGTGAGAAAACAAAGTGTTTGAATCTTTCCTCTCTGGATCTGTAACTGATGTTTGATTATTCAATAAGCGCTCGGCTCTGATTTATCTGAACTCATAAGACTGTGGAGCACATGCTCTTTCTTAAAGTCTTTCTCTGGAGGTTTACAACATGTGTTTATCATTTCTGCTCAAACATAAAGTCAATTTATTTTAAAGGTTCAGAGTCAGAGGAGACACTCCGCCTTAGAGCTGTATATAGCTTATAGACTTGATGACAGTGAATTTTCTTTAGTCTAACAACTGGAATATAAATGAAAGTTACTAACTCACTTTTGACTGTCGTCTGCTCCGGTGACCTTAAAGGGATATTCTGGCATAAAATTAATTTAGGGTCGCGGGTTAATTTGGACATGAATGTCGTCGACCGCTTGCTTCTCTAGTTATACCAACTTTAGTTACGACCACACAATAGTAATACACAGCGGTCTGAGGAGCCATAAACAAACCTCAACCAAAACGCCACTATATAGCCACAAATAATGCTCAGAACAGCACCTAACTTCTTCAACAGGACATACAGGGTCACAGCCATAGTACTAGCACTCACCATAGGCGGACAAGACATAGAGTACATCAAGAACTTCACATACCTCAGAAGCAACATTTTAAATACTGAAGACGTGGAGAAAGACGTACAGACCAGAATTGGCAAAGCTGCAGGAGTCTTCCAACGACTCCGAAATCCATCACCACGGCCACAAAGCTACGCCTCTATACGTCAGTGGTCATCCCTACAGCATCACCAACAAATTGTTTGTCTTCCATCGACGGTGCCTCAGATCCATCCTAAAGATCTCATGGAGAGACCACATCACCGATGAAGAGGTGATGAGAAGGACAGGTGTAGCACCTTTGTCTAACATCGTCTCTGACAGGAGACAGAGAATGACCGGACATGGACTCCGACTGCCAAGAGAGGGAGGCCAAAGAAGACATGGAGACAAACAGCCAAGGAAGACCTGAGTGAGACGGGAGTCAGCTGGTATGGAGCAAGAAGGGTCGCTAAGAAGGGACCGGAGCAAATGGAGGGGACTCGTCGCCCAATGTTCCAATAGAAACGGGAGGAACTAAGTCTAAGTAAGTTAGACATAGTACTAGCCACTAAACATCTTTTTAGCTTCGACTAATTTCTTTAGCAAAGAGATTGAACACAACTCACCTACTCTCTTCCAGCAGCTGCTTGTTTGTAGTGAGACCTCAGGCCAGTTGATTACGCACTACAGCGGGGTGACGCAGCTCAAGGAAGAACATTTATGATCATTTCTTCATGGAAATACAATCAGACTGAGACGCTAAGGCAGAAGAACATGATGATTATTACTTTAAGGAAATGATAAAGAAATGATCATAAATGTTCTTCCTTGAGCTGCGTCACCCCGCTGTAGTCTGTAATGGACTGGCCTGAGGTCTAGTGGCGTTTTGGTTGAGGTTTGTTTATGACTCCTCAGACCGCTGTGTATTTCTATCCTGCGGTCGTTACTAAAGTTGGTATAACTAGAGAAGCAAGCGGTCGACAGCATTCATCTCTCGACGGCGCATTACGGTGTGTTTGACCCTAAATTAATTTTACTTCGGAATATCCCTTTAAGGAGTCTTTTGCCTGCATGTGGCATGAACACCCAACTCACCCCACACTGCAGAAATCTGCGTGCATTTGGCAGACAGACGTGTGTTGATGTCCTTTGTGTACTCTACTGACAAGAATCCATGTGCACCCGCTCTGCTTGTTTTCATATCATCAGGTCGTCACACTGAGAGACTGAACACGTTGAAACTATCAGTAAAACAGCTGATTGAGTGTTATACAGCGGACTGTTATGGTGTAACTTGTCACAGTAGGAGTGTTGATCACACAACACTAGAAAGGAGACACATGTTGCACAGCTCTGATAATAACAAAACCAACTCTTCGCTTCTGAGAGAAAACCCCAGACGAAGGGAAGGAGAGGTTTTACAGAGGTCTTTGTTTTCATTTTAATTCAAACTTATCTGTGTTTCTTTGCTTTTTGGCCATCACTGCAGAAAACGTGTTCAGTTTGTACCTCAGGTGGACCAGAATTCATCCCTCCTCTGTGAGTCCAGGACAGGTTGACCTGCTGGGACAGAACCTGGTCCGTCCCGTCTGCCAGGACTGCAGCACACGCTTTCATGGCTGCTTTGTCTCCACTAATGAAGGCGCTTTAATGAGGACACTCCAGTTTGAGATGAGGGTCACTCACAGGCGGGCAGACAACCCAGATCTGTTATATCATCAGCAGAGAAGTGGATGAAGACATCGGAGGGGTCATGAGCTGGTTAGATCACAGCTCGGGGCCAACAGAGAGAGTTTAAACTGACCCTGAAAAATAAACCTCGACAGAGGAGAACTGGAGCCCAGGGAAGGTCAAGAAAACAATCAGCAGAGAAATATGTCAACACGAACAGGAAGGTGATGACTTTAGTAACACTACGAAGGAATTTCACCTCCAAGTGACGTTTCAAAGTTGATCTGAGAACTTCCAACAAGGTCATTCCCACAGAGCGTCCTCGTTAAAACGCTTCAGCGAAAACTAGCTGACCCGTCACGGTACTGTTGGACATGAGCAAAGAGACTGGAGAGGGTGGTGACGTGTGAAGCTAACATTATCGATCTTACTGTCATTCCACTAAATAAAAAAAAATGTTTAAAGTGAATGAAAAGAATGAAGGTCGAGTGTTTCAAAATAGTTGATGAATCGGTGAAATCTCCGGTCATGGTTCAAATCAATCTGGAACTGTCTGTCCAGCTGTTTGATGTGTCTTCAAAGTGTCAAGGGTTTTTCTGTTTCTGTGGTGCAAATAAACTGATAAAAGATGATTTTGACAAAACTCGTTTGTTACATAAACGATGAATATATAAAATTATATAGATGAAATTTCTTACCTCAGCTGCTGTGTTACTAGGACCTGTCTGTGAATAGATAAACTTCACCAAAGTAATATAATCTCAACTAAACTCAACCAAACCAAGTTAAATTAAACTAGACTTAACTAAACTTAACTTAACCAATTTAACAAAGCTGAACTAATCTCAAACAAGTAAACTAAACTTAATAACATTAAACAAAACCTAACCTAACTTTTCTTAACTTTATTTGACTGAATTAAACTTGACTTTACTAGACTTAACTAAACTTAACTTAACCAACCTAACAAAGCTGAACTAATCTTAATAACTACACTCAATAACATTAAAAAAACCTAACCTAACTTTTCTTAACTTGACTTTACTGGACTTAAGTTCAGTCAAATAAAGTTAAGAAAAGTTAGCTTAAGTTTAGTTAACTCGACTTTTCTAGACTCAACTAAACTGAACTAAACTACCAAACATCCCCGTCTTTTTCATCTGTTGTTCCCAGACTTTATACTGTTGTCAGGCCTGAACTGATGAGTCTGGAGATTAATCCAAACCAGACCGAATAATCCAGCAGTGTCACTATCCTCTTTAGTTTTATTTTGTGGGCTTAAAGAGGCTTTTATTTTGACACAATGAATTTAATAACACTAATTTGAAACAGACTCAGAGTTACTTGTTCAGAATTACAGTGTGATTTTATCCAGGAGGTTTTCTGTGATGCATCAGTGCTGTTTAAAGCCTGAAAGGTCAAAGTTATAAAAAAGTCAGGAAAATATCACTGACATCCATCTTTTCCACTCTCCAAAGTTTATTAACGTCAGATGATGTTGTTCAATAAATGTCACGTCTCTGCCTGTAGTGGGGTGAATACTCATTAACTTTTGTTCTTGGACTGAGAAAATTCTCGTCTCTTCACACATTTGGATGCTAACCTTTGACAGCTCATTACTTTAAAGGGGAATTTACAACCTTGAACTCAGTTGACTGGAGTTTGTTTCCTCTGAGGAGCACGTGAGGAGTTTACAGGTCAAACCCTGAGCCTGATTTACTCCACTGCTCTCCCAGACTTACTGGGAATAGAGAGGCCTGCTGGTTTTATTTGTTTTATCTGAAGGAGCCTGAAGTGAAGCACAGCTGAGAGCTTCAAAGAGCCTGAGGGCTGCAGGATCAGCTCTGCAGTCAGAGCGTGGTTCCCCGTCAGGACTCCCCTCGTCTTGGCTCTCCTCCCTCTGGACTCCATTATGTAACCCACAGACCGGCCACATCTCCCTGCTCTGATTCAGGGAAAACTCAGGCCCTTGTTTGTGGTCGGGCCCCGCAGGAGGCCCCCGTGGGACCCACATCTGTCAGCTGACGCAGGGTCTTTAACAGCCAAAAGTTTACAGCCGAACAAACCTTGGATTCCTGCGTGTTTCTCATTCAGAGCTCCACGTGGGAGTTGTCCCATTTTCACGGTAATTGAGATTCAGAAAACAGATTTTCTGCTAAAGATGCTGATGTGCAGTTTAACCGGCTCTTCACCCTGGAGGAGGCTTGTATTATGACAGAATATTGAGAGAGAAAGACAGAAAGAAACACGTGATCGGGGTGACAGCAGCTCATCCCAAAGTCAGAGCAGAGCCACGTTTTCTTCACTTTATTGAATCATGAGTTTCCTGCGAGCATAATCAGTTATTTTACCTCATGTGTCATTAAAGAAAGAGACAAACACAAGTCATGAGGGGAAATCAGGGAGATATTTTCATTTGAGGAAGCTGCTCGCCAAAAAATCTCCCCTGTGGCAGTTTTACTGTCGTATAATTACATTAAGAGATTGTTCAAACAGTTGAGACAACACTCTGGATATCTAAAAGCCTCATGAGAGAGGATTTATAACAGCACTGATGGATCACACTTAATTTGAACAGCTGTTACAATAAAATGATGGTGTGAGGCTCCATTATTTGTGCAGTAGGTCTCCCTCTAGTGGCTGAATTTGGGTCTACAAGACATTTACACATGATTTAAAAAAATCATTTATTCCTTTATTCTGAGTGGCTGACTGCAGCTGTAGTTAAAGCAGGTACAATGCACATTTTTCTGTTAGTTTTAATGGCTTTAACCCGGTATTTATGTGCATGGGCCCTAGTAGGTGCAAAAAGTTCAATGTTTTATGTCTTTGGAAAAGTGTCTCTACCCAACAATGAGAGACTAAGATGTAGAAGCTGCAAATCATCCGAGGAGAAAATGCCGCAGATCATATGAGGTTATTTCATCCTCATTGGTGTCAAATGCCGACTTGGTCAGTCTGTTTTTTTTGTCATTTCATCAAAAACTGTTAAAACATCTAAAACACAAAACCACAAACATAAAAATTGATAAAAAGCAGCCGTCAATCAGCTGTTACACTGAAACCTTTAAGGGGAAAAATAAAAAATAGAAAAGTTAAAATAACCTGGTTGCATAAATATACACACCCTTAAACTAATACTTTGTTGCAGCACCTTTGGCTTTTATTACAGCACTCAGTCTTTTTGGGTAGGAGTCTATCAGTGTGGCACATCTTGATGTGGAAATATTTGCCCACTTTTCTTTGCAAAACCGCTCCAAATCTGACAGATTGCGAGGGCATCTCCTGTGCACAGCCCTCTTCAGATCAGCCCACAAATGTTCGATGGGATTCAGGTCTGGACTCCGGCTGGGCTGTTCCAAAGTCTCAGTCTTATTCCGGTGAAGCCGTTCTTTTGTTGGTTTAGATGTGTGCTTTGGGTCATTGTCATGCTGAAAGATGAAGTTCCTCTTCATCTTCAGCTTTCTAGCACAAGGCCGAAGGTTTTGTGCCAACACTGACTGGTATTTGGAACTGTTCATAATTCCCTCCACCCTGACTAAGGCACGAGATCCAGCTGAAGAAAAACAGCCCCAAAGCATGATGCTGCCACCACCATGCTTCACTGTAGGTATGGTGTTCTTTTGGTAATGAGCAGTGTTGATTTTGAGCCAAATATATCTTCTGCAATGATACCCAAAAAGTTCAACTTTGGTTTCATCAGACCATGACACATTTTCCCACATGTGTTTGGGAGATTTCAGATGTCTTTTTGCTAAATTAAACCAGGCTTAGATGTTTTACTTTGTAAGATAAGGCTTCCGTCTTGCCACCCTACCCCATAGCCCAGACATATGAAGAGGACAGGAGATTGTTGTCACATGTACTACACAGCCAGTACTCACCAGAAATTCCTGCAGCTCCTTTAGTGTTGCTGTCGGCCTCTTGGTATCCTCCCTGACCAGTTTTCTTCTTGTGTTATCATCAATTTTGAACGGATGTCCTGTTCTTGGTAATGTCACCGTTGTGCCATTTTTTCTCCACTTGATGATGACGGTCTCTACTGTGTTTCATGGTATATTTAATTCCTTGGAAATTCTTTTGTAGCCTCACCTGACTGATATCTTTGAATAATGAGATCCCTCTGATGCCTTGGAAGCTCTCTGTGGACCATGGCTTATTGGACGCTTAATGCGTTGTGGTTACATTTATTTGCGGTACAAGTTTGTCTCCTCCACCGTCCAGTTTTTCTGTTTGTTCGCCATGTTTGTTTTTGTTTGGGCGCGCTCTGCGTACGTCACTACATGCCTCTTACGTTCTACGGAGCGCCTGCGCAGACCGAACAAGCCTCTCCGTAAACCCAATCCGTTCCACTCAACCGTATATATGGAGCATGGAGCGGATTATGAATCGGTGTAGACTACCTTTTACAATCCGACCCGAAATACAATCAGATCCGGGTGAATCAGATTGCCCAGGGTGTTTATATGAGACATTTTGAATCTGATTGACCTTTCAATCTGATTGTAAATAGGATTTTTGGACCCATGTAAACGGGGCTATTAAAGGTGGAAGAAGTCTTGATGTAATTTTTTTACATGACAAAAACCTGGCAGTTGACCAGGGGTGTGTAGACTTTTTATATCCACTGTATTTTGTTAATTTTTTAAATTATATATATTTTTTATGATTAATTATTTTGACTTTTTTGTACTAAATCTCCTCTCTTCGTTTCAATAACAGGTCCTTTGCTGCTCCATAGCGGCCACTGTCCGCTCACACAACTACAGTTCCCAAACACAGACGAGGGCGGGGCTTAACTGCGCTAACGAATCATAGCAGACTTGGAGCGTTACCAAGGAAACGTATGAGGCCTCTGTGGAGGAGAGCCGTGGACTGTATATACAGTCTATGAGGAGAGCAGCAGCCATGCTAACAGGCTAATGAGCCCGTCAGGTCCCTCTTGAATCCTTAGAGGTTGTTAAATACCTGAGAGGATGTTTCATTTTAAACGTTCAGAGTCTCCGTCTGTCGTCTGACTGCAGCTCCGCGGCGTCAGTGTCTGTAAACCGACTACAGCTAACATGGCAACAGTCGTGAGAGGCTAACGGGGCTAAAGCTAACTGACGGTGGCTGTGATTAGATTAGCGCGCTAACCAATCACTGATCAAAACATTCTCCCAATAACACACATCGATCATGTAGCCCGTTTTCTCCGGGGCTAAGGAAGCTGTACGGATGGTGTCTCCAGTCGGGATGGATGTGAGTTAACGGTCTGACCCGGGTCTGTGGTTCTCAGGACGGGGTCTGAGGGTGAGGAGGAGGCAGACCGAGCCGAGCCGAAGGAGCAGCAGTCCGGTCCACCGGGGCCGGGCCACGACACAGCTCGACGCCGCATGTCCGGCCCGGTGTCCGGGATAAGAAGAGATGCAGCCAACCGGAGGGCCGAGCAGCATCCCGAGTCCCGTTAACCCGAGCTAAAGAGGTGAGCCGTCCCCTACATTAAACAGGTTTCTGCTCCTGTTCAGCATCAAACACTCAATGACAGTTATATTTCAGTTTGAGATTTATTGCACTTGGATAATAGTTGCATGCGGGAGGGTTCTGCACCACAATTTTTGCACCAAAAGTCACATTGCACGAAATGCTGTTGCATGACTGGAAAAAACTGCACATGATTATTATTACTATTATTACCATTACCCCCAATATATTAAACACAAACAAATAAAAATATAATGATTGATAAAAATTAAATAATAATACCTCAAAAAATCAGTGATCATCAGCACACGGTTTAATCTTGAGCAGTATCTGTACACCTGCAGTGCAACATATTTACACAGATTTACACATATTTAGGCACCACATCTCTGCCCTGATATTCACACACACACACACACACACACACACACACACACTAGCTGACTCTGGAACAGTTTTAGTTCAAATCCAAATTCAACCTAATTTTTATGTCGCTTTTCAGACAAAAAATGCAGTTCAAACTAGATCTGGAGTTTTTGGGGCCGATACCGATTATTTGGGAGGGGGGATTACAGATCAATTGGCTGATTTTTTATTAAATTATAAACAAAATAAATAAATAAATGAATATATATATTCATTTATTCATTTATTCTGTATATGTATACATATATATGTACAGTAGATATCTACATTACTATATATAATGTAGATATACTGTAGGCTACTGCTCATCATGCCGACAGGAAGACTGCCTGCTTCAGATCCGTCACTCTGCTGTGCTGTGAGGTAGTTAGTGGATGAAGATTGTCATGAGGTCGCTGCGCCATCTACAGGATAAGTCGGGGGACTTTTTAAATGGCGGAACATTTTCAAAGTGAAATCGAATCTTATTCTCCGCATTTTATTTCTGAAAATATCGGCAAAAATCGGCGAGTTTTGGCCGATTACCGATTCGTCTCCAACGGGCTAAAATTTGCTGATTTAATCAGCTCGTGGATAAATCGGTCAGGCCCTAGTTCAAACAACAATTAACAACAATAAACCCCGACCCTCCCACCCACACACCCACTCTAAGACGGGAGTTAAGAAAAAGACAGAGATAATTAATACAATGACATAAAATAAACATTAATGTTAACTGTTTGGGTCATTTTGAAGATAGAGTCATGATAAAAGGCTGCTGGTGATTGTTTGATTTTCAGATGATGAGCCATGGACAGCAATTTTAATCTTTTCCCGTCTTGGAAATGACTTGAGGCCTCACAGTCTAGCCGTGTTGGAGAGAGGAGAGTTAATTTTACTAGACCAAATATTTTAGTTAATGATCAAGTGCTGAGTAAGCTTGTTTGTGTTTATAGAGTCTAAACTTCCTAAAATCCACACTGAGTCCAACATTTGGTATCCTCTCATGCTGAGTTTTCTTTCTGTTGTGGTTTAATAAAACAACAATTGCGGCACTTTTCTCCAAATTCACACCGTAGTTTTACATCTTAATCTCCTCTGTGGTGAGTCGTTCCTTTTTCATGAAACCTTCGATCAGTTTCTGCTCTCCTGAGAATTTGGTATTTCCTGCTCAACTGAAGTTGTTTTCTCTGCATCTCAGGTGTGTGTGTGTGTGTGTGTGTGTGTGTGTGTGTGTGTGTGTGTGTTTTAAAAAAAAATCCTTGTATGTGCTTCTAGAGACCAGCACACAATCTCAGAAAAATAACTGCTTTAATAAGTTGATTGTATTTGGAGGTTAGGGACCGGAGCGCTCTGTCTCTCTCTCTCTCTCTCTCTCTCTCTCTCTCTCTCTCTCTCTCTCTCTCTCTCTCTCTCTCTGTGTGTGTGTGTGTGTGCTGATGTGGAGATGTTTTGATGACATTAGGCGCTGCTGTGCGTGTAAGCCTCCTCAGCCTGTTGCTGGGTTACGTCATGTTTGTTGTTGTTTAATATTATAAACAGACCTTCTGCTCCATCTGACTTCTTTATTACGGATGGTCACATGCAGTTAAACGGTCAAACAGCTACATAGCGGCTCTTTATAAAGCTCCACCCTGTGACTGTTGTGAAAAAGACTCATTTCATGTTGATTTTCTATCTCTGTAACAGAATGGACGTGTGCAGTAAAAACCCAAACCGCACGGCGCCGGTCGGTGAGGACGATCCCCATAGAGCCGATGTGCCTCTTTGCTCCCGGACAAACGGCTGGAGCTGGCCGCCGCACCCCTTCCAGCTGCTGGCCTGGCTGCTCTACGTCTACTTTGCCGTCACGGGTTTTGGTGTGTTCGTCCCCCTGCTGCCTGCGCACTGGATCCCTGCAGGCTACATCGTATCCTTACAGTCGATGCACACAGTCGCTCAGAGGGAAAACAAAACAACAAAGAGCTGCAACATTAGAGCAGATTCATTCCCCTCCAGATCACTGAAGATCCTGATGAACTGGAGTTACTGTTCACTGTGAGGGAGAGCTACAACATTCAAAACCAAATCAGTCAAATTATGTCGCTAAAGATGTAAAGAGCAGCTTTTTTTCCCCGTCCAAAACAGATTTTTAAGACATGAAGTACTTAGAAAAGAGTTGGATGGAAACAGTATTAACCCCTTGTAGGAAAAAGCATTAATACAGGAGCTGAAGTCAATGAGTCAGACAAAAACATCAGTCAGTGAATATCACATGAAAGCATTCAGAGATAGAAAGAGAAAAATAAAAGTTAAAAAATCTGATTAATCATAAAGACAACATTTAGATAAAGATATAAAACAAGTATTAATGCACACATGATAGCGTATAAAATCTCCCCTGATGGACGCTGAGACGAAAGAGCGTCTGTGAAGTCCTGCAGTTTGTGACTGAAGCTGATCTGTGAATCCCGAGTCCTGATGCATGAACAGTGTCGAAGCTTTTATCCAAATGTTGTGCTTTAAATCACCTGGTATGTTGTTACACTTCGCTCAGGTGCTGTTTGAGAATTTGCCGCTGGTCTGAATCGATGACTCAAACCACTTTCTCTCTAATTTTTCTGCTCTTTCATTTGGACTGAGCTGCAGCTAACCTTCGCTCCCAAGAGCTTTTCTAATTCTCCGACAAAAAAAAACAAACTGTGAACTTGAAAACCTCTCGTCACACTTTTGCAGCGGGTCTTTATTTCAGCTGACGTATCACACACAAACGTTAGCTGGAACTCGATAATATGAAACACCTTTGTGCATTTGTTTGGCACACTGCAGCAGTGAGAGGACTGTGTGTGACCTAGTATACAAACAATGATGGTCCTGAAATATTCAAAATCATATATAAATGTTGAATGAGGACAGAAAAGCTTTCAACATGTCCCAACTCACGAATTCACAATGTCAAACAAACAGAGAAGGACGGAGAAAGTCCAGTTATTTTGTAAAACATGGATCACCATCAGCTCACGAAAACCAACTTTGATTAGAAATGTGAAATTCTGCAGGAGTGTCGTTTGTGCCGCTCTGTTTGTGTGTCAATCCTGAGCTGTGGTCAGTGTACGGGCATCGTCTTCGTCTGTCACCTGTGTGTCCACGTCTTGGCCGTGTCCATCGACCCGGCCGACTACAACGTCAGAACGAAGAGCGACAAAGGTCCGGTCCCCGTGTTCGACCGCTCCAAGCACGCTCACGTCATCGAGAACTCCCACTGCTACCTCTGTCAGGTGGACGTGTGAGTAACACTCTTCTTCTCCATCACATTCGCTCTGACAGATCTGGGACAAAAAAGCCCGAATCTCCTCAAAACTCACTGAACATCGAAGTTCTTTAGCGTCTGTGACCCGAGCACGCTCAACCTCTCAGGCAGAATAATATGATTTAGAGACACGAAGGATCCGAAGAGACAGACGACATGAATATTAGAGTATTTCTTCATGTACTTCTAGGTTAACGGGTCAGATCTTGTCATGTGACTTTAAACAGAGAATAAAGATGTTTGTAGAATTTTAAAAAGGACTCCATTTTGTAGGTTTGTTTCCTTTAAACTTCAGGACAGTGAGTTTCTCATATTTTCAAGTCCTGTAGTTTAAGTACGACAGAAGAGGTGAAGTGTTGTTCAAGCTGAGCAGGTGACGTCGTATCCCAGCTGGACGTCTCTCAGTGGAAGACGGAGGGTCTCTGCAGGCTGTTGATGTGATACCATCCTTAGTAACACGCTCATCCCCACCGCTGGTCTTCAGGTGCTTCCACGCCGTCCCCTTCAGACGGGTTGTTTTTCTCCGTGGAAAAATCCAACAGACCAAACTATAAGACTGTTTTAAAGTAACTTTAAAGTGGGTATACTGTATGTTGAGTTTTTTTCTCCCAACGACGTCAATCTGCAGACTGTGGAAGACAAACAGTTTTATTTTTATTTATTTTGTAATTTTGTGGGAAATACAAAATATTTTCAGACCTTGTTTCTATAAAACATTCAAGAAAAAAAGATTTGGAGACTATAAAGATGTTATTTTAGGAGCAAAGTCTAATTGCTTTATGCTTTTTTAATTTGATGGCTTATTTGTGTCTTCATTTGTGAGGTAATAATGCGATAATCATTCTGCACGTCGCGGTATCGAACCACCCTGAATCACCTCAGGGAGAGTCTCTCACCACGACAGCCGCGGCGTGTTCAAGTGCTCCTGTTTGTGTCCGACTGTCAGATGACAGCTCCACCTGTTCTTCTCAGCCTCCACACTTGAGCTCCTTCAGGTCTTCACGAACACTTTCTCGCAGATTTTTGAAGCTTTTCTCAAACGCCGCCTCTCTGTGTGTCTCCAGGTCAATTCTAAAGTCTTTCTCCATCCTTTACGTTTCTCAGACGGCGCCTCAGTTCAGCACAGAAACTACAGGAAGTGAATTATTAACTGCAGTTGTCTATAAAACATTCAGTGCATGTCTCTCTGTGTTAAAGCTGAAAAACATCTTCAGATCGAGGTGAATTCTTACTTCCTGTCGCCTCATCATCTCGTCCTCATGTTCACGCCGTCAGAAGCGATTCGAGGAGATTTGAGTTTGTGAAGTCTGAACACGCTCTGTTCTTCTTCTCTCCGGGTTGTCAGCCGTCGACGTGCTTTATGCAGCACACTTCTCCAACATGGTGTAAATAATTAAAGCTCTCACTTGGAGCTCTTCAAGCCTGAGGAAAACCAGGTCAGCGGGCCGGTTTCTCCCAGGAGGTCCTGCAGAACTGGGTCACAGCCAGAAGCTGTTACACACCAGACTGACACACATGAACCTGCGGCCTGCTCTCCACGTGAGGCCTCTGCTTCTGTGCTGGAGTTCATTAAAGATAAATACTTTTACCGACAACAGCAGCTTCTTGTTGTGGAGGAGTTAAAGAGTAACCAGGAACCAGGATTCGCTAAACCTCATCAGGCTGGATTCAGAAGACCTCATTCTGGTCTCAAAGTGGTTCATGAAGGATGTCTGATGGAGTTTTTTACTGTCAAGACAACAGCGGAGAGCTTTAGAAGTCATACTTCTTCATTATAATCCAGCAGTAAGGACCCAGTTTGGCTCAGAGTCCGCCGTCCTGTCGTCACCTCAGGATAGTTGTTCTGGTTCTGGTTCTGACAGTATTTGGTGCATTTAAAGCCCCTCTACTAAAACGAGCATGAGTCTGGAGAAACGCACCGTCAGAGAACAACCGAGTCTGCACTCTGATGAAATCTGTGTTTGATTCTGTGAGAGTCTGTGTGAGGAGATCTGGGCTGTAAAGTGACATCTGAAGGTCACAGAGTCATTACTGTGTGTGTGTGTGTCTGTGTGTGTCTGTGTGTGTGTGTGTGTCTGTGTGTGTGTATGTTGTGTTGTTGCAGAGGTCCCAAGTCAAAGCACTGCAGTGCCTGTAACAAGTGTGTTGCCAACTTCGACCATCACTGTCGGTGGCTCAACAACTGTGTGGGGAGCCGAAACTACAAGTGAGTTTGTCCTTCTTGTTCTTGTTCTTCTTCTTCTTCTTCCTCTTCCTCTTCTTCCTCTTCTTCTTCTTCCTCTTCTTCTTCTTCTTCCTTTTCTTCTTCTTCTTCTTCTTCTTCTTCTTCTTCTTCTTCTTCTTCTTCTTCTTCTTCCTCTTCCTCTTCTTCTTCTTCTTCTTCCTCTTCTTCTTCCTCTTCTTCTTCTTCTTCTTCTTCTTCTTCCTCTTCCTCTTCTTCCTCTTCTTCTTCTTCTTCTTCTTCTTCTTCTTCTTCTTCTTCTTCTTCTTCTTCTTCTTCTTCTTCTTCTTCTTCTCTGACGGTTTCCTGCAGAGTCACAGACTCATTTGTTCGCTTGTTACTTCCTTTTGTGAGTCTTGTTGTAGCCACCACTTTTGTTGTCTGTCTGCAGTTTAGTGTTCACTTTCATTTTCTCATTTTACATGTTTAAAAGAAATAAGTGGTTTTAATAATTGTTTTTTTCTGTCCTTCATTTGAACAGTCTGTGCTTTGGTTGCTGCTGTGTGTGTGTGTGTCTGTAGTGTGTATCTGTGTGTACTCAGTGAATCTCTGTGTGTCTCTGCAGGGTGTTCCTCCACAGCGTGGTCTCCGCTCTGTTGGGGGTCTGTCTGGTTCTCATCGTTGCCTCCTACGTCTTAATTGAGTTTTTTCTCGACCCATCCAAACTCCGCACCGACAAACACTTCCTGGGTAAGACCGGACCTCAATAAACCTTTCCTTCACCATAAATGTGATTTAAATACTCTTAACAAGAGCAGGTCTATGATTCACTCTGATCTTAATCCAATGAAGGACAATGCAACATTTAACGAGTGAAGCTGGTGAGAAAATCTTCCTAAACAGGCAGAAACCTTAAAGAGAACCAGAGTCTGTTTCTTCTGTAATCCTGACCTGGTCATTGTTTACTGGGTTAAAGTCATTTGGGATCTTAGAAACAGTGGATGGGTGTCATTTAGGTTCTGAAATTCACTGTAACTGACTTTATTTTGACTGTGAAGAATAGAACAGAAAAGAGAAGTCCAGGTTGAAGATCTGGATTCAGCTTTAAATCCAAAGTCTGTGTCCTCGGTGTAACTGTGTCTGTCTGTCTGTCTGTCTGTCTGTCTGTCTGTCTGTCTGTCTGTCTGCAGTGAGGAACGAGACCGGTGTGTGGTTTGTGTTCCTGCCCGTCGCTCCCATCAGATCCACAGCAGCAGTGATTCCTGGTCTGGCTGCTGTCACCATCGCTCTGGGTCTGCTGTCGTCTGTGCTGCTCTGTCACCTGCTCTGCTTTCACATCTACCTGAGTAAGAAAAGGAGGAGAGCGCACCTGTCTGTCTGTCTGTGTATCTGTCTGTGTGTTTGTCTGTTTTAGGTACAGATGAAATAGATATACAAAAACTTGCAGATTATCCTCATAATTGTAGTTTTATGTGAAACTTGTTTATTTTAAAAGTTGAGTTTCAGACGTCAAAAATGAGGCAAAATGAAACTGAGAAACAAAACCACATTTTTCCTGGACCAACAGTAGATGGCAGTAGAGAGGCTGCAGTGTCACACACTCACCCTGGCTGTGTGTATTTGTGTGTGAGCGCAGTGTGGAACAGACTCAGCACCTTCGAGTACATCATACGGCAGCGCCACCGTCAGGACGGCAGAGACCCCAGAAAACCGGGGTCAGTGAAGGAGGCGGCGGCTCCGTCCGTCAACATCATCAAGGTAACTGCGGCGGCCATGTTGGCTCTGATGTGCTGAGGGAGGGGGAGGGGCTCTATCCTTGGCAGCTCCGATGTTCCAGTTGGTAGCTCGAAATGTGGTGTTTGGAGCAGCTGTTCTCAAGGATACCGCTGTGTCATGTGACTCATACATCACCATAGATACTCACACACAACATCCTCTTATAAAATCTGCACCACCCACTTCATGGCAGGAGCTTAAAGAAAGAAAACAAGGGAGTCCAGCTTTATTGTTCACATTTATCCAGCTTCACCCTCTGAGTTCACAGCTTCGAACCCCGGGGGAGCGAGTCGACGGAGAGAAAAATAAACACAGAAATCAAAGGGACAGAAACGGATCACTCTGCCCAGGATGAGATCACTTTCTAGGGTAAACTAGACCGAACAAAAACCCACGAGAAAATGAACAAATGAGAAAATTAGTCTGACAGCAACGAGTTCATAGACCAGGCAGACAAATAAGAGTCTGCAAAAACACAAACCTGAGACTAAAACAACCTTAAAAGAAGATGGACGGAGAAAAGATACTCAGAAAAACAAAAGTCAATAAAATGTTTTTTGTTTTTCATCTTTTACATCGTATCCTGCAGACCTGCAGAGACCGTAGAAAAACATGTCCAGAGTGAGGAAGTTCAGTCTGCTGAGTCTGCACTGAGATCTTTAAACAGAGACACCTTAAAGTAAAGAGTCTTTGTAGGTGTGTTTCAGCTAAGTGTGGGTCTTCTGCTCTCCCCTCTCAGGATGTGACCTACTCAGGGACTCTGGGTTACACCAACCCTCAGCTGGACGTGGAGGAACCTACCACTGTGGTCGTACGGGGGGAACCAGAGTAAGTGTCTCGAGCCTCTCCTGTTCTGGCTCTGATGATCCATCGTGTCTCTCAAACTGCAGACATGTTAGTGGAGTCCACTCTCCGTGGACGGCCCATGACCTGCTGTGATTGGTCGAGACTGACCCACCAGGTCCGTTCATGTTTCAGTAAACAGCCGGCAACAGTTATTTCATAACACAATGAGGCTGGAGCACGGTCACCATGGACACTGTTTTCTTTGCAGAAAACAAAGTGTGCAAAATGAAATTCTTTGGCCCGAACTTCCAGGAAGCAAACAAAGTGTGTATTGTGTGAGTGAGTGTGTGTTTGAACTGTGGGCGGAGGAAGCTGTGTGTATTAGTCCAACAGAAAGGCTTCATAAATAACTCCACTAAACGTGGCTGTTTGCCCCGAAGCTCCACTGCTGAGAGTGACGAAGGAAACTTTATTTATACTGCAGCTCTCACAGCCGCCAGGAGGACGGGAGCGCGGAGGATGACAGGCTGAGGAGAGCAGAGGGCTTTTTATTCTCTCAGGGGAACATTGAGAATAATTTATGGAAATGTTGTATTTGAATATCATACACAGAAGATACTCAGTGTGATCCACACATGAAAAAGAAAAGATGAAAATTTCTCTCTAACAGATACAAAGCGTTGTGCATAAACACTCTAGAGTCAAACTGGAGTTAAAAACCAGAATTAAAGCTCCTGTGAGGAACTTTAGAGATACTGGTACAGTGATCTCTGCTGATTTGACCCTGAACATGTATAAATTATATTCTTGACATAAACTTTCTGGTTGGTTTCTACTGTCCGATATTGTAGCACGCTAACTTTGTTTGGGCTCCTGAACGACACGGGGGAGCAGCGTCTGCCTCACAACCAATCAGGTTAGAGGAGGTGGAGAACGGCTTTGTTTACAGTCAGAAAGAGCGGACCGCTCAAAAATGTTCAAATGTTGACGACACAGACAGAAGAGAACATATTAACAAATGTCATCAATAACTAATTACTATTGACTGATATTAAAAGATTTTTTGTAAATACACAACAAAATAAAAAGATGCTTCTTCAACAGATTCCTGACTACTTCACCTTTAAGGTCCTGAAAAGTTCACCTTAAAAACCACAGATCCTGCTTTTTTAGTACAGGTCCCATTTCTGACCTCAGTCTGTGTGTGTGTGTGTGTGTGTGTGTGTGTGTGTGTATGTGTGTGTGTGTGTGTGTGTTTGTGATTGTGTGTGTGTTTCAGATTCTTGGCTAACGGCAGAGTCAGGTCTGTGTCCAGTCCTGTCATGGAGGAAGAGCCTCTGCCAAACGTGTCCACAGAGCTGAAAGCAGCTGCACACACACACCGACGCACACAGGTAAAACACACACACACACACACACACACACACACACACACACACACACACCGACGCACACAGGTAAAACACACACACATCAGCACAGAGAGTCAAACTGTTATGCAGACATTATACCAGGACAAAATCTGTGCTGTCAGACTGAGGAGTTGGTGAAATCGTGGTGAACTTTTATTCTGACAAAGTTTTTATTTCAGAGTAAATGTCTGAAGGAAGACGGTTTGGACTGTGTTTTTTTTCTTTTTGTAGAAAAAGAAGAAGAAAGTTCGTAAAGTTCCAGCAGAGGTCACCAGAGAGCGCTGCCTGAATACAACCCTGCCCCCTGGTACACACACAAACACACACACACACACACGCACACACACACACACACACACACACACACACACACACTTGTCTGTCTAAACAGGTGAGGACCGTCACTCAGTGTGATAATTTTAGGTGAACTGTAAACGTCCCTCAGGGGGCGCTAGCTGCACAGCCAGCAGTTACAGTTTTTAAACCAATCAGGACACAGACGAGTCACGAGGAGAAAATGACTAAATACCACCACGGTCACATGAATCAGAAAAATGTCATGCTGCGTGTTTTTATATTTTTTTTATTTTTCATAACAATCAGACTTTTGATGGCGTTTCATTGAAGCTGTAAAAGACAAACCAATGGTTTCTTTATGACTGTGTATTCATATTTAGGGGTAAGAAGAACTCTGTAGTGATCTGTAGTAAATGTAGAATTTACTGCAAAGTGAAAAACCCTCAAACTTTAACAGTGGGGATAATATTCAAGCACAATTACAAGCTGATGCATCCCTAAAGATGACGCACAATGCCAAACATGACACGCCATGTTTTCCACGCTGTGGTTTCCACTCCAGAGTCCTGTCGGTTTTTACTGCAGTGAGGGCCTGAAGATCAGGACCATCCAGGCCTGGTTTTGGTCCTTGGGTCATGAGCCAAATGTAGAGCAAAGGATTTATTAAAGTTAAAGCAAAAAGGAAAAGTCCAACTAAAACTTCCTCTTTAAATGTACAAACAAAAAAAAAAAACAAGAAGCAAAATCCAAAGAATCAACACTGGGAAAAAAACACAAGGAGACAACTGGGGACACAAGCGTACGCTGACATGGACCAACATACGCAAATAATGAACCAACCAGACAGACGGGAAGACAAGGAATCAACTCCTACAAAATAAAACAGGAAATAAACACTGAAAACTGATCCAAAGAATAAAACACAGAGAAGAGGAGGGAAACAGAGTCAAAGACAAAACTGAAAACTCACAACACTGGACGACAGGGGAACAGGAACACTAGAGAAAAAACACAGAAAATAAACTCAAATAAAACCAGGAGAAAACTAAATTAACAGATCGTTTTGTGACACCTTGTCCTTTTCTCTGAATCTTTGAACGATGTTTTGTGCTGTAGACGATGAATCCACTCATTCTTCCACGTTCACAGTCATGTGTTTGACCTGTTGGAAATTTACCTCATGGGTTGGAGATGTTCCTTCAGCTCCTTTCTACCTGTAGAGTTCAAAATAAGCACGTGTTTTCCTTAATACATGTACATGTTTGAAGTTTCACGACTCTTTGGGTTATTTTTGTCAAACATGACCTTTAAACGAGTTGCTAACAGTAAGAGTTTGTTTTTGATCATCCTCTCACACAGCCTCTTTGCTTTTATGAAACTGAAACTTCATCCTAACTCTCTTTTGGCAGATCCCAGCAGTGTGTCCACTTTGTCCTTGAGTCAGCGACTCCCTTTCCCAGCGTTCCCGCTGAGAGCCTCCCTGCCCCCCCTGGCTCCGCCCTCAGGCCCCGTCCAGGCCGCCGCTCCACCTGCTGAGTACCACTCAGACTCTGCGGAGTCTTTGGAGGAGATCCCGGTGGCCTTGGCCAAACTGGGCTCTTCATCCTCTGCAGCTGCTGCTGGAAGAGACGCCTCCACGTCCTCACACAGAGCCTTCCCCCTGCCCTCCCCCCAGCCCAGGACTGAGAGGAAGTCCTCCTCCCGCACAAATAAAAGCACCGCGGGTCTGAGGTTCGAGATGGCCTCCACTCAGCCTCCAATCGTTTTTGTTAGCCGGGCGAGCGGAGAAGCCTGCGGGCCCCGAGAGGAAGGCCTCAGTCTGGGCAGGAGGCAGCCCGGGTCCAGACCGGCCTCTGTGACCTCCCAGGCCTCCTGGATGGACCTGTAACCACAGCAGCCTCTTTTCTGGACTCGAATCGCTCTTTGTCTTTCTACAATCACAGGCGCTCTGCAGCCTCGCACAAATCTCGCCAAAGGTCAGATCCTGTTTGTGCACAATCTTTATAAATGAAGGAAACTTTCACATCTGAGTGGACATTTTCATTTTGTGCATCACTGAAGCGTCTCACAGCAGTGTGTGTGTGTGTGTGTGTGTGTGTGTGTGTGTGTGTGTGTGTATGTCCTCCTCCCTGCTCCTCCCTCCATCCCTCCCTCTGAGTTGTTGTTCCTGTTTCCCAGTCAACAGCTCCTCTGCTGTGTACTGCTGGGCTCCATGGTAACCCGGTTCTGGAGGGACTGAATGATATCACTTCCTGTCTAACTTCTGTTCTGCAGCTCCGAGTCCAAAATCACCCACTGCTCACTATAAAGTGCGCCGTAAAGGGAATTCACCGTTTTGTAGCGTAGTCTGAACCTGGTGTGGGAATCATTGTGCGTTTTACGGTCCTGCAAAGTTATCAAACGGAGAATTTCAGGGAAGCTGGACGACACATCTGGAGAGTACGCCAACATCTCTGCATCACAGCGATGAAACTTTGCAGAGGTTTGATATGGAAATCTAGTTTTACAACATTTTATTTATGAACTACAAATACAGATCAACTTAATGGAAACCTATTTTTCAGGATTACATCTGTTTCAGAGTAAGACCCTTTCTAAACCAGAATCTGATCTTACATCCTTATCTTGGTGGCCACCAGCCCCCCTGACGGACTCAGTCCCCTAAAACTTGGACTCTGTCATTCTGGTACATGCTTTTTGGCGGCACAAGTTTTAAACCGTTTCTCTAAGGGACAGTTTCCATTTTAGTCTACAATAGCTGCTTTACATGGGCAGAGATAATCGGAATAAAGGCCCGATCTGAATAAAAATGCGTCATGTAGATATGTCAATCGAAAGATTTTAATCCAATTCAGCTCAATCAGAAAGAAGTTGTATTCTGATTAATACGGGTGGTTTATGCCGATCATTATTCCGAAACCCGTCTATTTAAACACTTATTCCGATCATGACTCTCTAACCTGACTCGGTCTTCACTCTGTAGCCTTTGTCTTAGTTATTGAGGTCTATAACTAAGGCCCCCCCTGAAGTCAGATTTCCGTCTCGGAAAGTTGGATGATCCTCGCCAAACCCCGACTTGACGATGTCGTAATTCAAGATGGCAGCGCAGTGCATCAGCAGTAAAGAGTAACAGTAAAAGCTCTTGTAATGTTTTATTTATTAGCGCTTTTTCGTTTTTGTGAGATTAAATAAGTGGATTATGTCGTACTGCCCAACGTCTAACTGTGAACACGCTACTATGGTGTTTGTATGAGTGAAATACTGTGTTATGTGTTGTTTACAACTGGTACAGCTAACAACGGCTAACAGCAGGCGTCCATATTGGTTTTCCGACTTGTTTACTGGAATGCCGTCAACTCGGGTGTAACGTCACTCCCAGCTCCGACATCCGACTTCCGAAGTAACTGGAACGCAGTTTAAAACTTACGCCGGATTATTATTATTATTATTATTATCCCTTTAATATTGTGTTCCTGTTTTCTAGAGATGCTTGATCATGACACAATAAGAGAGAAAAGCTGTTAGAAAATAGCTCCACTAGCCTGGTTTTCAGTGCTGTGTTTCCCAGCATGCTTTGGGATATGAACGGTAAACTTGAATCAAACAATAAAACACAGATCCAAGCATTTTATATAAAGACTGTGTTCAAAGTGCCCCTATACTCCAAGTTTTACGGTAATCCGACTGTGGGAGTTGCTGGTCTACCGCTGCACTGATTAGCTTGTTTACTATTGCTCCTCGTGTTACATAAATATAGAGTTATGATTCAAAGAAAGGTCACTTCAGGTCATTGATGAGGTTAATTAAATAATAACACAATATAATAATAATGATATAATATGTCAAACATTACATCACATTAAATATCAGCAACAGACCGGGCTTATATTTAGAGTTAGAGTTTGTTATGGTGTGTGTGTGTGTGTGTGTGTGTGTGTGTGTGTGTGTGTGTGTGTGTGTGTGTGTGTGTGTGTGTGTGTGGATGCATTTCATCATCCATCCAGGATATGAGGAGGAGTTGCCTTGGCGACAAGTCTCGACAACATCATAACAGCATCAATCAAATGGGAATGTCTCTCTAACACACACATGCGCACTTTAACACACACTTTAACACACACACACACACACTCACACACACACTCTTGAGGGTGTTATGTGGGGAAGGTGAGATCTTTTTTTAGTGTCATTCCCACTACATGCGGCTGTGGCTACTTCCTGGAAACAGCACTGAACACACACACACACACACACACACAGAAGGTTCGTGTCGTTTTATAACTGCTGACCTGAAGCTGAAGTGATGCTTCTGATGGTCACATGACCGTCTCCGTGGAGACACTCCCACCCTGAACAACATGATGTCATCCCCAGGCTCTCCCACACTGACAGCTGCTTCCTGTTTACTAAATCACTGACATGAGGTCACATCCTGCCGAGTCCTCAGAGGGAGAGAGAGGAGGTGAGATTTAAAACTGTTATTGATCCAAAGTTCATCGTTCAGTTTATATAAGATGTTTGTTACTGAAACAATCACAGATCAGTTTGCCAGAAACTTTTTTTAGTAGATTTAAACTCTATAATGATAAAAACAGACACAGCATCACATGACCTAAACACCTGCCCAGGATAAAACTCTAGATGCAGTGTCCTATTTTTGTGAATATGATGTAAAAAACGCCAATTTGTCAGTATTTCTTGAGTAGCCAGGTGTTGCGGAAATACTGAAAAGCCAAGACCCGTCTACCACAGAAGAGCTTTACTTACATGAACACTGTAATTTCTCATTTCTAAGTCTTTGCATCCCTAATTTGGCGTCTCTTCACCCGTGTCAAGTAGCAGGCCTCAGTTCAAGGAAACATACCCACCTTCCTAAAGCTAACTTCAACGGTACGGCCCAAAACACTGATTTTATACTGACTTACACCTGTAATTTATGGACTTTAAATTTGTCCAAATAACGTCTTTAAAAAATGCAAACTTGTCAGGTCAGTTCAGAAAAAGAGAAGAGCTTTAAATACACAGTTTTTGTTGAACAGAGATCGATCATTTCAGATAGTTTATGTTGATTGATAGTTGGATTGATAATAATTGACATCCATGCCAACGTAAAGGACACATGGAAGTATGTGGGCAGTGATGGAACCATTTTGCATTTTCAAACATTTGGCGAGCATAAATAACGGTGTCCGCCCAGAGAAGCCAATGAAGACAGCTCCCCCTGCTGTTTCAAAAGGGGTACTGCAATCACTTTACATCTCATTAATTTCAATCATCCTGCTGGCCAACCCGTTTCAGATGTTTTGGAAGATTCATCCCTTTTTAAAAGCACTCCCTTATTCATATTCTGACAGTGAGACAACACTGAACACACAATGACATACAGGGAACACGTCTTGAAGTCCTCTGGAGCGGACGCTGCAATCAGGCCGGTACACGCCACTCCAAACTCAGCGAAGTACTTCCTTTCAGTCACCTTCCTCTGCCCTCAGACTCAGCTCAGCTATAACTGATAACGCTGGTACACATGTTGTCAGTGTTTGTGTCTGTGTTGTCATGACGACCAACCATGATTACAAAGTGATGTGATTGAGTTTATTTAAACAAGAGGCAGTCAGGGAGAATCCAGTCAGACCGGATCAGCGGGTCTCATGATCAAAAATGTTCGAAGGCCGCTCCGCTCAGGGTCATTTATAGTCACGGGTAAAAGCTCCATTCATGCTGAACTACATCTACAGGTTTAGGAGCAACAGGACTCTGTAGTTGGAGTCACCGCATGGGCTTAATATCACCTGTCCAGTTAAGGTCTGAAGAATCAAAATCTGATGTTCTTATTGAAAGGGCGACTGGACTTACTAGGGACATTTTGCCTAAGGTAAAACTATGGTGGCCGAGAACTGCCACTGCTGCAAATAAAAAAGAAGCAAAAAAATAATAATAATAATAAAAAATCACAACAGAAGTTACTGATGCAAAACAAAAAGAAAACAAAGCCCGCTGCAAATCAAAAAGAAACAGTGTGGATAAAAAAAAAAGCCACAAAGGAGGTTAACAATGTAAAAAAAAAGAGGTGATAGAAAAAAAATTACTTACTGCAAAAATAAGAGGATGCAAATAAAACTAGATACGTTTGGCGTGACCTATGCAAATGGCCAATATGGGCTGAAAACAGCAGAATAACTCTTTAACCGTGCGTCTGAGAAAAAAGTCAAAGCACGCAGAATCAAAGATCTTGTTAAGATACACGTGCCTGTAAAATTTCGGGCAGATCGGAAGAAGTCAACATTTTTTGGGTCATTTCAAAACATTGCGATTTTCGCCAAGCCCAACATGCCTGCAAATTTTGGTGAGTTTTCGAGGTCATTCAGGGGGTCAAATTTTCGTTTTTGGAGGCTGTATAATAATAATAATAATATTAATAATAATAATAATAGAGAATCCCTTGGATTACAATATGGCTTCGCCGCAGAGCTGCCGCTCTCAGCTCGAGCTGCTGGGGACCAATAATGATGATGCATCGGTGTTTACGATCTAGGCTAAGAAGACGACGGTGAGAAGACGAGCAAAGAAGTAAGTGGAAAGGTTATGGTTTAATTTCGCCTTGTGAGCTTTTCAATGTGTTATTAGGTTGGACCATGTAGCGCCTGAGTCCATATGAAGTTAGATTGAAGCTAACTCTACACCGACATCCTACACTTTTATTTTCGCAGTAAGTAACTTTTTCTGCATTGCCACATTTTTTTGTGTCATTAACTTCCGTTGTGACTTTTTTTTTTTTGCATTCTTTTTTATTTGCAGCAGTGGCAGTTCTCGGCCACCGTACACAACGTCTCAAGTGAGTCCAGTTGCCCCTTCAACAAAGAACCGGAAATCATAGATGCTGAATCCTCCGTTTTAAACAATATCTCCAGGTTTAGGAGCAACATCTGTGTCCACCCAGACAAAGACTTTTTCAGGGAACACCTTCATATGATCCCAAACCAGATTCTGACAACAGCATGGCTCTGTAGGAGAAGAGTCCTGGACCGATGCGGTCCTCACTTTTCCCTCATGGAGACCCTGAACTGTTAAGCAGCTGAAATCCTCCATAAGGGAAGAATCAAGATGACGCTGCACCCTCCAAACTCTAGAAACCGTCTCTCCTGGTTCACAGACGTTTGCAGAGTGTCGGGGAGAGAAGAACTGACGACACACGCTGGGAAACAAGCTTCTGCTGCAGGTTATGAAACAGAAATCAAAGACCCAAATGTTGTTCAGCTCCTCTGTGCTGAAAACACTTAAAGCTCTTTAAAAATCAACTTCTGACCCTTGACCTCTGACCTCTTGTTCTGGTAGCTTCTGTAGTTGTTCTGCATGGACCCACACTCCTCCTCTCCCGTCTCCTCCCTGTTTTTTTCTTTTTTTTTTTTTGTTTTACTGCCCTCCCCTGATGTGGGACAGGACGTGGTCATGGCGACAGGATAAACAGATGATAACAAGCCCTCAGCGCTGCGGAGCTCATTTCAACGCTGCGACCGCTGCTGAGGGCCAGAAGAGGGAGAGGAGAGACAGAGGTGAAGCAGGGACAGACACAGGAGGACACCGGACGCACAGGTAAGACTGCAGGACCGTGTCTGCTTTGAGTTTTCTTTTTATGCATTGGCTGGATGTTTGGAAAAAGGTGAGAGCTGCATGTGCTAACCATGCACCACAGCAGCAGGCTCCAAAACTTCCAAAAAGAAAATAATTGCATGAGAGATATTGAGATAAATTGTCTGAAACTTGAAGATTTTTTAAGGAATAAACAGAGAAAAAGCTAAAAAATGATCCTTTTTACATGCAAAATGCACCCAAAACTGTTTTTGCAGCTTCTTTGACGGTGCAAAATGATCTTTTCTTAATGTATCGTACAAAGAAAATACCTGCAGGGTCAAAAAGGAGACTTGCAGATCGAGGCAGTAACCCATGATTGTTAGGGAGGACCAAACTCTTAGTGTAAGAAGTGTCTGCAAAAGCGGTGAAAACGAACACCATATCTGTGTTTTTTTTTTTTTTTATAGGAAAATCTTTAAGATACAAAAGAAAAACTTAACATACATAAAAAAATCATGATGTGCAATGAAGCCTCCTTGATTTCTCTCATCTCTAACATCCTGCATGGACTGAAAAACAGCTCTAAATTATTAATCCAGTGTTATTTTAGTCTCAAAAAGCAGGCAGAGGTCCATTTTTATCTTTTAGAATCCATAACGAGACAAAACTTTTGTGTTTTTATGCAAATCAAAAACTTTCTTCACCTTCAGTCGCCCAATGATTCAGCAGAAACTAGTGAATGATTATTTATTGATACCAAATGGCACACATGGTTGTCTAAGGTCCAAAAAAATAACCAAACTGTCTTTAAAAAACAAACAGCAGCATTAAAAAACTGTTTCCAGGTCATTTTTGAGAAATACATGCATTTAAAAAACAGCCCTTTAAAAACTTATATTAAACCTTTTATCTAAATACATGGACTGATCGTTCCTGATCGAGCTGGTTTGTGTTTTTCATTTCGTGCAGAGATGCCGGATAGAAGGTTTCTTGTGTATCATGAATTATTAATGAGTACACACACACACACACACACACACACACACACACACACACACACACACACACACACAGGGTTATGTAAGGGTTTGCAGGGATGTGTAAGGGCATCCTGACACACACTCACACACAGTAGCACAAAAACACACACACTGACACACTCAAGCAGGGCGTGACAGAGGGTGATGCATTTGCACCTCCTCGTCTGAACTAAAACTCTACATAAGAACTTCAAATATAACAGTTTAGATTTTTTTTTTAATTTGTCTATTATCTAAAAAAACAATCTGCTGAAGTTTGTGATGGCAGTGATTGGTCGGTTAGTTGCTGTGTTAGAAGATTTCTGCCTTCAGATAGTAACTTGATTTTATCGTCCTGATGTTGTGAAAGATGGAGACTCTGCAGCTGGTATCAGTCGCATTTCCTCCACCTCAGAAGCAGCTTGTTGATGTTTTGGTTGGCGGCTGATGAGTTTAGTCCTGCAGACACAGCTCGTACCTCACTGTGATGTTACTCTTGTCATTTTCGTCTGAAAAACTGAAATACTTGTTGATTTAGTGGAATGCACTTGTGCTTTAACAACCTTGAGTTTTGTTTTGGTCACTGCCTAAAATTCGTAGAGTGTCGATTAACAGGTTCATAATGCTAATCTGTGTCATTGCTTTTTAATTCATTCATTGAAACTCATCTTTATAGACGATGTCAAGTTTCGATGTCGTCCTCCTTCTTGCTTATTCTTACATTATTCTCATTCATGCGTGCCAAAGCTTTTTGTAAACCCAAACTATCATGTTTACAGCTGATGCTGCACAAAGCTGCACGTCAATCTCACGGTCCATTTTTACCGTGTATGCCAGAATCACTCTTAAACTTAGACTTAGTTAAGACAAAGGACTCTATTTTTGTGCCTCGCCGGCAGCGTGGTGCAAGCGCGGCGTAAATCAGGTCCACTGCGCCGACAAGGCATGCCCAAGCACATTTTGGTATTTTGGTGAGTGGCGCAGCCCGGCGTAAGTATCCCCCCTCCCTAAATCAGCTCCTCCCAGCGTCGTAAGTCGTAGAGAGGGAGGGGATAAGGCATGGAGTGGATTTAACACAGCCGAGACCTGTGTTAAACCTCCCCCTACTGCGCCAACACGCCCAGCTTGGCGGACCTTGGTGCGCCTCAGTTTACGAAAATACTGACTGTGCGTCGGGCTCCACCAGACGAAAATACCAATGCGTGGGGTGCGCCACCCTCCGCCACGCTGCTGGCAGGCACGAAAACAGAGCCCAAAGACTCATTCCCTCCCCTGTGGGACCGTTTTCCAGCAGAGAACAACAACCTCGGATTTAGAGCTTGAAGATGCCAGCAGGACTACATCATCTTCAGAGCAGAGATGAAATTTGGAGCCTACAGAACTTAAGTTCATCTCCACGATGACCCAGAACTTGTCCGACTTTGTGCTTAACTCTGATTTCTATTATTTCTTGCATTTTCTTTAAAGTTACTGTCAAAATCAGACGGACATGTGGGTCTCTAAATTCAGAGTTACTGTGTTTACAGTTTGTTCACTCCTGGATTTGGATTGTGCGCTGATATTTTGTGTATTCACTTTGTAAAGAGGTCCAAAGTGTGAGTTTTCAGAGGCGCTGAAAGAAGCTGCGGTTTAACTCTGCTTCTCTTAAATGTTTCAGACAGTTTACAGATTTAACTCACTGAACTGAAAACTGTAAACGTCTCGCCTGTCAGGAATCTGACACCTTCACACAACGGCAACACACACTGTCTCACACACACACACGGTCAGTCTTTTACTACATACAGACTGTTTCTCTCTTTCTCCTTCACATCCTAACAGAACTAACTTAAGCCCCGCCCACCATGGCTTACATCACCTCTGATTGGTCCGGCTCCCTGGCAGAGACACCTGATAGTCACACACACACCACGTGTTTTCAGCAGCAGCAGCAGCAGCGAGCGGTTTATAAATCTTACAGGGTGCAGAGACTCGAGTTACCGTGACAACCACTGTTAGGGATTGCATCAATGTGTGTGTAATCGCACAAGAGTGAGAAAGCAGAGTGAGGTCATGTCCCACACCCTGACACACACACACACACACACACACACACACACACACACACACACTCTGCAGAAGCTGTTGCAGATGGACGTAAAAGTTTCTTTTCATTCAGTGTTTTTCGTTCCTGATCAACTTTCTGTCTGTTTTATCAGCATTAAAACAAGAATAAGAATAAAATAAAAAATAAAACAAAATAAAGTAAAATAACAATGAAAAATAAAATAGAATAGAATAAATACAAAATAAAATACAAAATAAAATAAAATAATAAAATAAAATAAATACAATTAAAAAAATCATATCTTATAAAAAATAAAATACAACAAATTTAAAAAAAGAACAGAATAGAATAAAATAAAACAAAATAAAAAAAGGGTGAAACAAAGAAAAAAGGACCCAGAAATGCAGAACTCAGGATTTATTAAAGCAAACAGGAAAAAGGAAAGTCCAAGTAAAGCATACTCTCAAAATGCACACATACACAATGAACTTACAAAGACAGAGGGAAAGACAGAGGCTATATATCATTACAAAGACAACACCAGTATCAGAACAGCACTGCAGTTGCTGGGAGAGGACTGCCAATGATGTCCAGTTCTCCCAAAGGGTTAGCGTTTTGGATCCTCCTACATCATCTCTTTGTCTCCAAGTTATCTTTCTTTACCATCTGATTTACACCTAGCTTTAGAGTGTGACCTGTGATCTGCAAAACCCCCAACATCCAGGATGTCTGGACCAGGTCCCATAAAAGTGACACCATGCCCACATTCCACAATTTGGTTATCTCAGGTTATCCCTGGGAAATACCTCAAGGCATTGCATGTTGGTGCTGTACTCCAGATACCACAAGATCCATCCTGGTAATCTTACCTTTGGGCTCCTGTTGGACAAAGTCCTAATCTTCTAAAAGACCAAGATCACACTCTCATTTCTGCAGGTATTTTCTCATCATGGCGGAAAGCGTAGAGATCGAGCAGCTCCTGGTGTCGTTTAAGAAGTTTGCCATCCACGGAGACACGAAGGCCACGGGGAAGGAGCTGAACGGAAAGAACTGGGCCAAACTGTGCAAAGACTGTAAGATCATCGATGGCAAGAATGTGACCGGCACTGACGTGGACATCGTCTTCTCCAAAGTGAAGTAAGTCTGCAGACATCAGAGTGTGAGAACCAAGAAACGGATCAAACCACAAGAAAGTCTTGTCTGGACTTTGAGTGAGTCAGTGCGGTCGACCAAAACCAAAAATGACTGACTTATCAGACTGTTACGATATCAGCTGCATACGGTAATAATATTTGATGGTGTGAGTATTTGAGAGAGGTACAGTGGTTTAGTGGTTAGCACTGTCGCCTCACAGCAAGAAGGTCCTGGGTACGAATCCGGGTCAGGGCGTTTCTGTGTGGAGTTTGCATGTTCTCCCTGTGTCTGCGTGGGTTTACTCCGGGTACTCCAGTTTCCTCCCACATCTCAAAAACATGCAGAAGTGGGGTTAGGTTCATTGGCCACTTTCAAATTTCCCATATGTGTGAATGTGAGCGTGGATGCTTGCTCATCTCTAAATGTCAGCCCTGTGACAAACTGGCGACTTGTCCAGGGTGGGATAGGCTCCAGCCACCAGAAGGAGGAGGTGGGCTGAAGCGGTTGACTTTTGTAACCTGCCTGAACTAACACTACGCTCTAATCTTTCGTTCCACCGTACAGGCAGAAGACGTCTCGGGTCATCACCTACGATGAGTTTCGAAAAGCTCTGGAGGATCTGGCCCCGAAGAGGTTCAAAGGTCAAAGCAAAGAGGAGGCCCTGGATTCCATCTTCAAACTGGTGGAAGGCAAAGAGCCCACGAACGTTGGAGTGACGGTAAGACTGGGAATGTGACTTCTTTCTGTCATCACATGGACTGTCTGTAGACTGATCTGTAAGCCCCTATTTCCACCGCTTCGGAACAACACAGCTGCGGAATGGCGGCGATTCCTACCAGATGCGTTAATGAGGCAAATTTCGTGGCGAATTTCAGACAGCAGGAATCAGACAGTGGGAACCGTGTGGACTTACAAGAACCCGCAAATTCACATCCATCGCACGATAACAAGTTGTCTCTATAAGGACAGCCACATAGACATGTAAGCAGTAGATCGTGTCCTTCCAGAGAAGGAAATCTACTCTGTCCAGACAACATTATATTGGTACTAATTTGTTACTTACCACGCCTACGTTTGCATGGTGTGAAATACGATCCACCTGAAGAGGCCGGATGTTTTATTTTGTGTCTTCCTTTCCAGCACGGGTTAATCTGTGCTGAATTTATGCGGCATGCTGTGGCGTCCAGAAAAAAAGCCAGCTGAACTGCAGGGGGCCTGAAAACGCCGGTAGAAATTGACACATTAGTTTGAATGGAAACGATCAGCAACAATCTGCGCTGACAACCTTTTCGCCACCGTTTCCCATGCAGTGGAAATTTGTGTTTACAGTCCTGGGCTTGGTTAGACCGGATGCATCTAAACTTCTTACAGATGGAAAAAGTCCTGATGTGTAAACAGGCGGAAGTTTTGTCCCATTTGGATGGTCAACCAAACAAAACGTGTTTGCTTTGCTGATTGATGTGTTGCACCCTTCGCCGAGTTGTGAGGCCATGTCTTTTTTTATTTTATAAAATCAAATCACAGGAATGTCAGTTTGTTGTTCGTACTCCTGTCTGGATCAGAGTCTCTTAAATTAGGGTGACCATATTCTGAATACCCAAAAGGAGGACAGTATTACGTGGGAGGGTCATGGAGTCACATGTAGTAAGTTTTTAGTGTTTTTTGGGTTGGGTCGAGTGTTTTTTACGTGCCTCTAACTCAGAAAAACTTCCATTCAAAACCCGGATATTTAAGTATTTTATAGACTCCCCTGGACAAGGCCGGACTTCTCCAGGTAAAAGAGGATGTTTGATCACCCTACTTAAATTTCCCTAAATGAGGTGGTTTTATTGAACTCAAACCTTATGTTGAGGTGATAAGTGCTCCGTCAGTGAGGTTATACATTTCGCTAAACTTATTGAATGATTGGATTAAAAATCACAGAGTGGGATCTGCGATGGAGAGGCTGCTGGTGCTCACCAAACGCCAAAAAATAAATCAAGTTATGGTCACTGAGGCTTTCCATACAAAGGCGTTTTTCGTTCTTTAACTTGAACTTGAGCTCTTGGCTGCAGATAAAAGTTGGATCTGAAATTGTGAGCAGATGAGACGGCAGTGAGTCTGAGTGAGTAACATCCACAGCTTCATTAAGACGTGATCAAACATGATGGATAATCTTTGATCCATCTCTGATAGTCGGCAGCTCGGCTCGGTTACCTCAGCTCCGCTTCATCCTCCGGCTGCTGAGACAAGTTCGGAGCTGCAGCACAGAAAGACTTTTCACTCCAACAGCCCGTTCACGAAACCTGAGAGCGCTTTGTAAATGTTTGGACACTCATCAGAGGTTTATTATTGTAGTGATGAAATCATCTGAGCCCGAGCCAAGAGGTGAGGCAATTTGGATCGTCATCTGATGATTAAACTGCCAAAGTCAGAGCAGATCCAGTAAACACTATTCTGACTGGAATATACACATTTGAAACGAACAAAACAAATTAAAGACGAGGATTTATGATCATGCACGAGAGAGGGAAACAGATTCTGGTCAGCTGGTTGAAGTCATCCATCATTTCTGTACCAACAAATCCAGACGAGAAGGTTCCAGATGGCCTGAAGTCGTCACCGCAGATACTGAGCAGAGTCTGGGCTGAAAGCAGGGGAAGTTATCGGGACTGCAGAGAACGCAAATATGAAAACGCACAAGTTGGTATTCTTTAAGTTTATGAATAAATGCAACAAAAGTGCATTAAATACAATCATTTTTACAAATGTGCATGAAAATAAAACTTTCTCCGATCATTTTAGAGTCAATTAACTTAACCTCATACTGCGATAAGAATCCAGATTTTAACAGATGAGAGCGTTAATGCTAGCGAACAGGTTCAGGTCTGCTTCAAGGTGCTAAAACAGCAGCAGCGATAATTCACTCAAAGTTAGCGATGAATTTGGAGATATGTGAGGAGCTTTGTGCATTTGTCCATGCTGTTTGTTACAAGCCCCGATAAGAGCCAAGATATATCGACTGTTCATCACAACTAGGAGAGCAGATGTCCTCCGGATTAGTGCTGCTGAGTGAACGACGTGAACTGAATCACTCCGAGACCTGATTCGTTCCTTTCTCAGTTCAGTTGAGCTCAGCGGCGAGCCTGGCGTGCCGGTCGGGAGTGGAACTGCCACCTTTGACTCTTTGGCGAACGACACACAGCCAGCCAGTGAGCGAGCGGGCGGGTGGGCGGAGTCACGTGATTTTCTCTGTGAACGAAACGAACGACTTTCAAATGACTTAAGGTAGGCACAGGAGGGAGGGGCGTAGCGTCATTCACTAACTGCCGAGCAGCGGTTGGTTGACTGAGGCTAAGATAAAACAGGTCATTATGGCGCCTTTACATTAAAACACGTGTTTAAACTTTCCTGTAATAAGATTTAATTTCAGACGATTTAAAGAAATATGATATTTAATATCTTTAAAAGTATCTGATTCCCAGCTACAGCTGACATCTTTATTTTTTATCTCTCCACTTTACCGCCATATAAAAGAACGATGACTCGCTCTTGTTTAGCGACGTGCTGCTCACTGCTGTGTTGTTTCTGCTGATGGCGACACACGGAGAGGTGAGTTTTTCGGGGGTGGGGAGTGATTCTTCCTTCAGGACTTATCGAATGAACAACGTGTCACCAAATGAACGACGCTGTGACTTCAGCAGCAGGTTTAGTGAATGAACTCGCAGCTGTGTCACTCACTCATGTACGGCACTGACAAGTTGGGGCTCCGAAACACTGATTAGTGAACAAATCTTTTGAACGAATCATTTTAATAACGGGTTCTAAAGATTCAGTACAGTCAAAAGAACTGATCTTCCCATCACTATTCCAGATTGTCTCTCAGTTTGTATTAATCTACTCTGAACCCCCCCGATGAAAAACTGTAACTGACCCCGACACCAGAGTCCTGGTTGAAATAGTGCTGAATCAGCCATTTTTTAACTTCTGACACCACACCTGTCCTGTGCGTCTTCTCAGAAAGTGGCGAAGACCGGGGCTGTGGATCGCCTGACCGATGCGTCCAAGTACACTGGATCACACAAGGAGCGCTTCGACGAGACCGGCAAGGGCAGAGGTCGCGAGGGGCGTGAGGATCTGGTGGATCACTCAGGCTATGTGGGAGCGTACAAGGACGCCGGGACGTATGACACCAAGGTCAAGACGGAGAAACAATGAGGCGGGAAGAACAGCTCCTCAACAGCACTTAGTCTGGACCAAACCTTGAACTCTGACCCCCCCCTGTGTGTGTGTGTTTGTGTGTGTGTTGGTGTGAATGTGTGTGTGTGTGCTTGGTCTGGACAGACTGACGGACTTTCAGGTCTGTAGACTCTATGAACACGACTGATTGAAGTAACGAACCGAGACCAGGTGAACGGGTCTTCATTGATCTATTGCTCCATCAGGACTGTGTGGGTCTGCAGAGGAGGTGGACTTGGATTAACACCAGGGTTCAGTTCATGTTTGAATAAAGGTTAGGAAATTCAACGCTCAAAGATTTGACGGCTTCTCTGTGATTGTTATGGTCAGCTGTGACCTCGCTGTTAGTCAGGGGGACTCGATAAAAACAGTTCTTCAGGACTTTTCTGAATCAGGAAACCAGCGGCTCACATGTGGCTGCAGTCTGCATCACGCACCTGCTGTTTTAACCTCTTTCTCCAGTTTTCACGAGTTCAATCAGACAAAAAACAGAAAATCCACAAACTCTGCAGAGATTTTTGTCGAAGCACCGCGATGTTTAATCTTTGGTGTTAAAAATGTCAAAGTAGGACACAAAAATATCAGAATTCATGATGTTTCATTGGCAAAAACCTCATTCAACCTCACTTTAACATTTCTGAACTGGTCCATGTAAGGATAACTGGATGTCATACACATTTGTCCACAGGAGGCGCCAAAATCAGCACACACTGAAAGTTACCAACAGAAGCTTTAAACCTTGTGCACCAAGTCCAGTGATTTGCAGACAGATTATTCATCCTAAATCTGATTTATGTTTTTCTCCTTGTTATTTTGGATGTTACACGATAATCAAACCACCACAAAGAAACCAGAGCATCATTATTACTTCAGCATCAAAAGGTAAACACTTCCAAACAGTGTTGTAAAACTTCTCCTCCACCTCCTCTGTGAACCCTGGTCCCGTCTGAATGGAGCTTCAGTTTATGTAAAAAGTTCTTATAACTACTGAAGGCTTTCTTTCTAAGATCTGCTTAAACCTTCAGTCGGTGAATTTGCTCGACTTTATCGTTTCTACATCAGCAGCGGCTTCTGGATCCATGTTGAATGTGGCTTAACCTGAATCCTGAGTTGTTTTCTAATATTTGTATTTTTGCAGCTGTGTTATTTTCTGCAGTATAATGATTCTAAACATGTTTTTTTCTCTCAGATGTCTTTGTAAGGAGTTGTTGCAGATGCAGAAACTGGACTCTGGCTGAACTGAAAGTGACTTTATTGATCAAATAAAAGGCGAAAGGAACTTTTTGGTCCTGGTCTCATTTTTAAGAATGAACTTTAGGTTGTTTTCAGGAACTAATGAATGTTTTTGCTCCTTTTATCCACAGATTATCCTTAGATTGTCAAATAAAGCATTTAACCTCAGTGTAAATGTTACAGTAATGTCTTCTCAGGGTCAGAGAGAGGACATAAATAAGAGCATTAATTTGTGATGATGCAGCTGCAAAAGAAAAGTAAGATATATACGATACTGAGCAATTAAATATATGAAAATGTAGGATGGCGTATTAGGGCTGCATCAAGAAAAGAAAAGTTAAGACTTTGACATTAATGTTGTTAATTTATGAGAATAAAGTCATAATAAAGTAATGTAGTAATGACTCTATTACGACTTTATTCTCGTTAGTAATGACTTTATTCTTGTAAACTAAAGACTTTAATCTGAAAGTCTGAATTGTGCCCTAATACTCCGTCATAAGAATAAATTCTTGAAAGAAAAAGTTGCAAAAATTATCTTGCAAGAAAGTTATTAGTTTGTAAGAAAAAAGTCTAAAGTCTAAACAAGTAAGAAAGTTAGGAGAATAAAGTTATAAATGCACAAAAATCAATAATACATTGACAAAATAAGAATTAAAAGTTTGTAAGAAAAAGTTGCAAATGTCTCAAGAGGAAAAGTCACAAAATGTATGATAAAAAAGTAGTTATATAACCAGAATTAAGAAAAATAATTTCAAAAGGATAAAAAAATACATTTAAGACAATTTTAGGAGGCAATGTCACAAATAACCAAAAATAAAGTCTTAATGTTTAGAGAATAAGGTTGTAAGATAAAAAGTCACAGGAATATTAAGAAATTTACAAAAATACTGATGTAAAACTGAAAATGTATTCATAATATTATAAGAATTAAGTTGTTTTATCACCAGAATGCAAAAACTGACAAGAATCAAGTCAGAAAAGAAGATTAAAATTCTCAATCGACTAGAAAAATAATTCATATTAGAGGATAAATCAGATTTCTAAGAGAGTTAAAATCACAATCATCTTTTATTCAGACTAATATGAAACCAAGTCGAACGTAAGAGGAGCACAGATCAGCTTTTAACAGTTTGTTTCATCTCTGATCGCCTCGGTTTCAACGCAGTAGATTCAGAGTTCAGATGTTGACGATGTTCGGATGTGCCTGAGGACGGCCAGGTGTGTGTGTGTGTGTTCACCTGGGAGGATCTATGTTCAATCTCTATAAATAAAACAACAAAAGAAAGTGTCCTGAGATCACTTTGGTTTGGATTAGCTGATGGATGGAAATACACACCCAGTCTTTCTGTTTGTGTGTGTGTGTGTGTGTGTGTGTGTGTGTGTGTGTGTGTGAACCTGTTTTCCTCATCATGTAGGGACAAACAGCTGTTCCCATATCACATTGTGGGACCCGAGGAAAAATCCACCACCAGGGTTCAGATCAGGTTTAAGGATCAGGTCAGGTGAAGTCTCAGAGGACTGAGGGTGACGTGGTGCAACTCCTTCATTAGAGATGGAGACGTGTGCATATATGTGTGTGTGTGTGTGTGTGTGTGTGTGTGTGTGTGTGTGTGTGTGTGTGTGTGTTTGGGTGTGTAAATTCTATGCAACACCACCAGGAAGCAGATGCAGCTCCTCCTCGTTGCCATGGCAGCCACGGTGTAAACAACACAACAGTAGAGACGCAGCTCTGCTTGCATCTGCATCTGTCTAAGTCCTGATCTTATCAGATCCAGATTTGCTGGTTCAGCAGAGTACAGATCAGACCTTTACGGTCCTGTATAACAGGCTGGAGTCCACCTGCAGTCAGTTTTCATCACCTTCATGTTTTAAAGTACGATTGTTGAGGGCTACCTGAGAACCAAAGTCCAGATCTGACTCACTGAAATGATCCTTTTAATTATAAATTCATGTTCTGCAGGTTTTCAAGGACGATTTAAGGACATTTGGTTGGTTAGACCTGCAGACACTTCTACATGATGATTGGGAATAAAGTGAACGACACTGGAATTTCTGAGATGACCCGTCTTTTATTAAGAGAAGAAATAATTCAGAGGTAGACTTCATTCCCTTTAATCTCTGTCAGCATTCACAGCTCACCTCAAATATGATTTTTTCACACATAAAACAAAATAATCAAACTGTTAAAGGGATGTTCCAGCGTACAATTAATTTAGGGTCAAACACACCATAACACCGAGTTAGACACCCCTGAGAGAGATGAATGTTGCCGACCGCTTTCTTCTCTGGTCTGCTGCGGGGTGTCGCAGCTCAAGGAAGAACATTTATGATCATTTCTTTATCATTTCCTTGAAGTAATAATCATCATATTAATCATTTTACAGACGCGGTAGTTCTTCTGTCTTAGCGTCTTAAACTGATTGTATTTCCATGAAGAAATTATCATAAATGTTCTTCCTTGAGCTGCGGCACCCCGCTGTAGTCTGTAATGGACTGGCCTGAGGTCTCTCTACAAACAAGCGTCTGCTGGAAGAGAGTAGGTGAGTTGTGTTTAGTCTCTTTGTTAAAGAATTGAGTTAAAGTTAAAAAGATGTTTGGTGTCTAGTACTATGTCTGTGACCCTATATGTCCTGTTGATGAAGTTAGGTGCTGTTCTGAGCATTATTTGTGGCTATAGAGTGGCGTTTTGGTTGAGGTCTGACTCAGTGTTACGGTGTGTTTGACCCTAAATCAATTTTATGCAGAATATCCCTTTAACGGTTTGAATCAGAAATCACGTTTCTCTGATCAGTTAATTTAACCCCAAAGCTCTTCATATTTATACATAAAAGAAAGAAATAAACACCATGAGCGCTGAATTTAAACGGATAAAATAAATGATAAAAAACGAACACGAATAAAAAGATGAAGAAACTATTAAAACAAACATTCTGAAAGTTTCTAATCAAAGTCTGTGTCATCTGAAATAATCTCACTGTAGCTTGATTCTTCTCCACCGTCAGAGTCCTCTCTGTCCTTCAGGATAAACTGTCAGAGTCTCTGGACCTGGTCCTGGACCGGACCCCCTCCGTCCCCCCGCTGAATGCAGACACCAGGTCTTTGACGCTGCTGGCTGAGCGAGGCGTCTCCTCCGCCTCTTTCCTCTTCGTCCTCGTCTTCTTCGGGTTGATGTTCAGACTCTTGGACCGCAGCGTCGGGTACAGTCTGTCCTCATCCAACAGAAGCTCCTCCTCCTTTTTCTCCTCCCCTCTGTCGCCATGGTTACTCTCACCTGCTCCATGATCCCCGTCAGACGGCTGTGATGTTCTGTCCTCTTCCTCAGGTTTAGCTTCATCGCTCTCGCTCTTCTTCCTCGTCACTCTGGGGGAGGGTTTGGCTCCCCCTGGAGGCATGCTGCGAGACCTGGAGGCCGGCTTTGGGCTGCCATGGGGGCTCAGACTGGTCACCCCCTCCTGGCTGGAACCAAAACTGGATTTCCTGGGTGAGGGGGTGCTGGTGAGACTTGGGGAGGATAGATACTGCGTGAACTTTGACCGCTCCAGAGGGAAAGACATGGTGGCCTCCAGCGGGGATTTCTCTCCTTCTCTGGAGTCGGTTTTAGGAGAAGCAGGAGAGGTGTTGGGGTCACAGAAGGAGATCAGGATGTCCACGTTGGACAGAGACTGAGCTCTTTCTTTCCGTCCTGTCACCTCCAGAGTCGGCCCGAACTCCTTCACCTCACCTGGAGGTGACAGAGAGGTTCGATCAGAGTTTTTCAACCAACATTTTTTACATCGACAAAATCCTGGGGGACACCGCCAACCAAAATGACTCTCTATAGTTTAACACAGTATATGTTATAGAAAATAGTGATTCACCGAAATGAAAATTCTTGGCCAAAACTGAAAATAAGGAAACGAGGCCGAAAACCGAAAGAAATGATTATACCAGTTATTAGTAAGCATGCAACGATTTATCTAATGGCAATAAATATCAATGTCACGTTGTTACGACTCGAGGCGATGTGCTCAAAATTAAACATCAATGTCATGCAGAAGATGGTGCCCTTGACTAAAACCGCATCTCTAGTTCAGTCTGTTTAAAACACTGCCGTAACTTTGTTGGCACAACCCCGGCTCTAAAGGGTTCTGGTTCTGAACGTCCTACGTCACACGCAGTGCCGGTCAGAGAGGTAAAGCAGGGAAAAAGAGGAGCGTCGTGGGGATGTTTTGCAAAAAAAAGAGAGAGACACGTGGAGAAAATAAAGAGAAAAGAAAACGAGAGACATGGCGGGGATCGTCGAACCCAGTGATGTGGAGATAGTGCCGGCTCCGGTCACTTTTAAATCAGAAGTGTGGAAGCATTTTGGATTTCCTCGAACTACAAGAGAAAACGGCAAAAAGGTAATCGATACGAAACACACCATCTGCAGGTATTGCATGATACAGGTTCCTTACAAAACCAACACAAGCAACATGATGCAGCATTTATCCCGCTACCATTGTTGTAAGGGGAAAAACAGTGTTGTTATTGTGAAAGAAAGAAGAAAAAAATACTGTATTATCAGAGAAATAAAAAAAAAACAAAGAAAATCAAGTAATTTCTCTGGGTAATAATTTTGTATAAATAAAATCTTTTCGTGAACCTAATATTCGTGACTCGGATCGAATCGTGACTTGAGCGAATCGTTACATGCCTAGTTATTAGTAGGGTTGAAAATCACTGGGTTCGATGATCTCACATGATGAAGGTCGTCCGCATGTTTTTAATGCCTTTGACTGACAGGAGGACCTGGTTTTATCTCCCTCACCTTCAGACTCTCATGAGTTTGTTCCACCTGATCGTACGGTAAAAACTGCACTTTTGTTCTGACTGTAACTTTGGATCATTTCATCGCTGGTTCTCACCCGTTGTGACTCCTCCCTCTGTGTTCGCTCGTCTCTCTGGACTCTGCTGTATCCTCTTGTCCCCTCCCTCCACCTCTCCGGTCACAGAGCTCCTGTCCTCGTGCTCCAGCTGGTACCTGTACAGACTGTACCCGTCCGTGCTGTTGATGCTGCCGTGTCGCAGCAGGGCGGCCGGCTCGCACACCGACGACCCTCTCGAACGGGAGCGAATGAGCTCGGTGCGGTCGACGCCCGCCAGCTTCTCCAGAGCGTTCATCATACGGCTGGAGAACTCCTCCAGCTGAGCCAGGCGGAGGTCCACGGTCTGCAGGGATGCCTTCATGGAGTGTTCCCGCTCGTTCACCTCCTCCAGACGCATGAACATGTTCTCCACCCTGAGCACAGACACAGCAGACAGCAGCTTCAGCTCGGTATCGTCACTGTTTTACTTTGAATAACTTTCTAACCAACTCTAGTTTCTCATTCAACTTGTTTTTTATTTGAATCAGTTATTTTTTTACTCTTGCCGACCTCTCTGATGTGACTCTGATCCTTTCGTTGTTGGACGATTGCTTCTCGTCTTCTTTCTCTCTGAAATATTCCTCCACACACTGCTCCTCAAACTCATGCAGACTCTTCAGCTCCTCGGCGTTCAGCACCAGCTCTGAGGGAACAGAAAGATGTTTAATCTCTGGAGGAATAAAGAGCATCTCGTGAAGTAGAAACCAAAATATCTCCTCTCTGAGGGAACAAAGAGTGCTCAGTCTTTTTTTAGAGCAAATGTCACCCAATCTCTTGAGGGCTGGTGTCCACTGACGGCATTTATTATCCTGGCTACTCCTACTTTATATTCAAAACCAGCTCATTTTTATTCTGCTGCAGTTAAAACCAGTCAAAATCAGTTTTATCAACAACAATGGTGGAGGTGGACAGGGTGTTTTCCAGTCTCTCAGCTTCTCCTGACAGCGGGACCAGAATCCCTCTCATCGTTTTTGCTGAATCTGTGAAATTTCCTTAAATTAAAGCAAAAATAAAGTTTTAGAGACGTTTAAAACAGAGCTAACAGTCACTTTCAAGGGGAGCAAAAGTGTTAGAAGACAGTCTGTGTAATCTAACAACTGTTAATGTTGGTGAGAGGCCCTCTCAAATGGCGGGTGAGGTCAAATTCAGCTGTCAGTGGACACAGGCCCTAAAAAAGCTCCTGAGGAAGATCTGTGATAAAATAGAGAATAACGTCTTATAAAGAAACACGAACACAGTCAGCCTCTGAGGAAAGACTCTGTTGGTGAATCGTGTCTTACGTAGTCGTCTCTCCCGGTCGTCGTGTTCCCCCTCCGTCCGCCGTCTGCAGCGGCAGCACAGCCTCCGCAGGACGATGTAGATATGGGGGAAGATGATGAGGGGTGGAGGCAGGATGGGCCGGTCGTGGAAGGTCATGATCAGCTGATAACGCTGGAACTTCCACACCTGGTTGGAGATGGACTTCACCTCGAAAAAGGTGTTGCTGCAGAGAGGAAGAGGAGGAGGAAGGTTTTGTAAAGTCAGGTTTTTACCCACTAACTGATTTTGATATTCTGTGTTTATTTTCTCTGATCTGTTTGTTTGTTTTTTAAGTCTTCTTTTCACTGACTTGAAGACGGCAATCAGCAGGTTGACCAGCAGGATGTTGGCGACCAGCAGGTAACAGGCCATGATGGCGGGGGTGAGCCAGGCTCCGGGGATACAGGGAGGCAGTTTCTTCCCGTCTTCGTCGTACATGTTGTCTCCACACGGAGCTGAAACACAAACAAACCGTTACCCAATCACCTGTGAGGCACAGCTGAGGGTCATCCTGGAGTTTATGATAGATGAGACGTTATAAAGAGACCTAAAAACATGGTTATTTACTGTGTGATAATATTAATAATAAAAGATGATCTGGTGGAAAATCACTGCGTTTTATCAGGGATACTTACGGTTGATCTCCATGGCGTAAACTATAGTCACCAGTCAAAGTTAAAGACAGAGAAAATAATCAATTATCAGTAATATGCAGTAAGAGAAACAACAATAACAACAATAACATCATTCAGAGAAGACAAATACTCAAACTCAAAACTTGTAAGCACAGTGTTGGAAAAAAGTTTGGAATATTTTCTTCAGTGTTTCGTGTAACGAGAATGATCCTCCAACAAACGTGGCTGAACTGACTCAGGCTGTGATCCAATGCTGGCGAGAAATCCCGGTTGAAACTCTTACCAACCTAGTGACCAGCATGCCCAGACGTGTACGCGCATTGTACAATGCTAGAGGCGGTCACACAAAGTACTGACTGTATTGTTGTTATCGTCTTGTTATGTTTGATGTTGCTTTCAAAGATGGTCCACGTATTTTGTGGCAATTTAAAATTACAGCCGCTTATTTATGAAATACCGACTCATGATTTTATGCGTTATTTCCATGGCTTTTTGTGAATCATGAGGTGTCCGCCCTACAATTTTTTGAGAAGCAAAATAGTTTGATGTGAATTTCAAAAACATATCACAGGGACCAGGGAACATTCAAAAGTCTTTGAATAATTCTCCAGAAAGCAGCAGACCGCGTTAAACACGAGGCTGGGGTTGAATTGACAAATATTCCAAACTTTTGTGTGAATTTTCTGTTTATTTCTGCTTAAAAAATCATTTATCAGTCTTTATGTAAGCTTCATTCACACAGCTACATCACATATACAGTGAAACTGAGACTTAAATCTGTAATTATGAGTTAGAAAATCTGCTAGTAGGGAAAGAAAATCTGGGTTTGGACGACAGATGATGAGACAGAGGACGTCTGTTTATCAGCTCTAGATTTATGAGTCTAAAAACCACATTTTAGGTCCAAAATCATGATGAGGACAGAAAGTGAGGACAAAAGGTGAGGACATTAGTTTGGACAGAGGCCAAGGACAGCAGGACAGCAGGAGGGTGAGTGCGGCACATGAGGAGTAAGGGGCGTCTGACTGTAACTCTTACTATGAACTCTAGTCTTACGGTCTATGGAGTCTGCAAACACCTCTCCGTAGATCATCCAGTACGGCATGTAGAAGATGTTTCTGGCCAGACGCCACGTCGGCTCCTCGTCGGGGTGGAGGATGGCCTGTCGGGCGACGCCGAAACTCATCAGCACCACCAGCATGATGACCACGAAGTAGAGCATGTCCACCATCTGGAGACACGGTCACGAGCGTTAATTCGTCACAATATTCAGACATTCACGTATCAGCAAATGAAGTGGGTTGATGATTTTGAGCTGCAGGTCCTTCAAAGCGACTCCACAGGTTCTCCAAAGTCGATATAAAAAAGGTGGAAATGATAAAAACAAGTCTTCTTTAGATCTGAATGTTTTCCTGAATCCTACCATTTTGCCGATCATCATGACGTACGGTCCCAGGTACTTGTTGACTCCAAAGATGTCCAGGACTCGGATGTACCAGAAGATGATGTCCACGCAGTAGATGACCCGTCCGTACCCCATGAGGGGCTCGTTCTGCAGCCGCATCAGCAAACCGAGCAGGAAGACGGAGATGGCCACCAGGTCGGTGATGTTCCAGTAATCCTCCAACCAAACGTTGATCTTCTGCTTCAGCTTCCCCGGCTCCGACATCAGGATCTGACAACAGAGAAGGGGAAGGCAACTGAAGATATCAAATCATAGTTTACCGGCTTTGGGTCCGGGGCCTCCTAGATCCAGAGGGGTGGGAGGCCTCCTCTGTTTCCGTTTCTTTGTGAAGGTCTCTAAGATATTTTTCTGACTGTAACTCTGAGCTCACCTGTCGGACTTTCTCCAGTCCCAGGGTGATAATGTAAGAGATGACGATCCACTCCTGCAGAGACGGCCATCGCTCCATCTTCACCAGGATGATGTAGTTATACAGCATCAGGTACACCAGGTAGGAGATCTGAAAAAAGACACATGACCTGTTATATTTAGACCACACAGTGAAGGTCAAATCCACTTTAAACTTCTCAAGTGCTCCTCTTCCTCCTCTCTGCAGCTGGTCACGAAGGATAAACGTTCTTCAAACTTGCCGTGTTGAACCAGAACTTGGTGAAGGGAGCGTTGTAAAACTCGTAGATCTTCCTCCCGATGGGAGTCCTCCTTTTGTGTTTCTTCTGCTCTTCCTCTTCATCTCCTTTCTTTGACATTGCGTCCACGTTTGAGACCGCGTCCTGAAAGAGACATCCATCATTTCTGACGCTGTAAAAAAACATTTTAAAGGAATCAACGCTGAGGCTGTCCTGGTAGTTTGGTACCTTGCTGGATTTGTTGTCATCATCTTTAGTTTTTACGTCCTCGCTGTCTTTGGAAGAATGAAATGAAGCTTCATCTCCCAGACGAAACTCCAGGAGGAGGATGGTCGGAGGGAAAACGATCCCTAAAATCACCTGAAACACAAACAAACGAGAAACAAGTCTTTATTACATCTGTGCAGATAACTTCCCAGTTTTACCGCATTCAGTGTGAAATGAGAAACTACACTGTATGTCCTGGTCTCGTTGGTACCTTAAGACTGTTGCTCTTGCCCATCCTCAGACAGCCCATCCACATGTCGGTCAGCAGCATCTGGCTGCAGGTGTGAGCGATGAAGTCTCTGTGTTTGGCGGCCACGGCCAGCTTCAGACAGGTGGAGTTACTCCAGTTCTTCAGCTCGTAGGTCAGCAGCTTCATGGCCACCTGCTCGTCGTGTTTGTACGACTGATCCAGCAGCTCGTAGGCCAGCTGACCGAACTCCCTGCGGACAGAGACACGGTCAGTTACAGATGCTACAGTACAGGAGTGTTTGGGGATTTTTTTTCTGCTTATTTACTCTGAAAGAAGAAGAAGAATCTGTTACCCTAAAAGTCCTGCTATGGTCAAACTACGAGGATGTAATCTGGACTCACTTGGAGTTGTTCTCCAGGTCCTGGTAGATGTCGTCCACCAGCTCGCTCTGAGACGACTCATGAGCCATGGCTTTGTAGAGTTTACAGGCCACCAGAGCTTTAGCCATGGCCTCCTCTCCACGCTGCCACAGGAACAGCGCCATCTTCTGGCGCTTCATCAGCACGGCCCAAACCATCAACTCGTGGAACGGGTACTGGAACCTGCTGACCTCGGGGTCGTCCACGTCGATGTCCACCTCCTCTTCCTTCTTCTTGTTCTTCTTTCCTTTCCCCTTTTGACGGGGCTCGTCGTCCTGCAGAGACAAAGACGAGTCCACGCATTAGACATGAAATCCACCTTCAGACCCGATCATCTCTGCGGTTATAGATTGATTTCGGATATTTAAAATGAACAAACCTCCATGCCGAGAAGTTTCAGAGCTTTAGGCTGGAAAAGGAAACAAAAGGAAGTTAAATAAATTTGGTAAATTCATAAAACATGTAAAAATCCCAGAATAACAAACAAAAGGGCGTTCAATCTGGAGGAATCTTTGTGCATGGATGGTCCTGATCTTCAGGCTCTCAGGCGGCATTAAAATCAGACAGGACTCTGAAGTGGAAATCACCACATGGTTTCAAAATCAGCTCTTTGTCTGTGAACACAGTTTGTTCCCTCGATCCAAACATGCAGGTTAAAACTGAACATGTAAATACTGATCGACCTTCCTTCTCCTCCTCTGTGCTGCCATCTAGTGTCTCCTCTCTATAAAACATCACAGTTCTGTTAACAACATTAGTTAAAATCTCTGTTTGTTTCAGTGTGACTCACTCTCTTGAGGCCGTACAGGTTGTTGTAAAGCGTCCTGAAGCTCTTCCTCGTGTATTTGCAGCGATAAGCTCCACCCATCAGGAACTCCAGCACCAGGCCGATATCGATTAACGTGATCTGATAGTCTGGAGGAAGATTTCCCTAAAAATACCAAATTTTTATAGAGAAATGATCTGAGCAGGATGAAAGTGTCTGGAGTCTCTTACTTAAATGAAATTGGACAAAATTAAATGTCGGCAGCATCCTGATTTACTCACTTTCTTCACGTCTCGGACCACAAAATGCAGCGTGTTGGCTGGTCCCAGTTTCTAAAGCAGCAAAACAAGGAAAGAAAACTACAAAATAACTACTGTGTTCATGCATTTAATATTTTATGCTCTGAAAAGACTCTTAAAAAATGATAAGTGCTAAGGGGAGGTGCACATTTAGAAATCTGGTACTTTGAGGTCATTTTTAGCAGCTGTTGGGCTGCAGACTCGCTCAGACCTGATGTGCAGAGGGCGTCTGATTTTGGTTACGAGCAGATGAGCTCAGACTACGAACACACAGACAGCAGCAGCAGCAGCAGCAGCAGAGAGCTTCACTTTGATCCGTCGATAATGTGCCTCACATGAGCACCACATGTTGTTTTAAGAGCCTCTTTTTGAGTGAAGCAGATGAAGATTAGAGACGGTGGTGACGCAACAAAGATGAAGAGATCACTGATGGATGTTAAGCTGCAGATCAGCATGTCAATGAGAATATGGAGGTTAAAGTAGAAAGCTTTTGATAATGACACGTCTTCAGAGAATGAGGAGCAATACTGTTTGTATTATTAACTCGCTGCTTATTCTCAAATTTCTCAAATATAATTAAAGCCAAAGTATCATGGGAAAATAAAAGCGCTAATCCCAGTTTGGGTCAAATCAATCAGCAGTTTTTTGGCTCTGCTGCTTCCAAATCTAAATTTCTTTCTTTTAAATGTAAACACGAATAATTCACACATCTGACCCGAAAACTGTTTTTCTTGCTCCTCCAGTTCATATTTAACATCAACAGATCTTTGCTCAAAGGGAATTTTATTAAAGTTACGGTGAACCAAATGCACCGTCCTGCTCAAATATTTGGTATTTTGTCCTTAAAATGTGCTTCATTACATTTAACATTTAAAGTGCTGCAGAAAACAACAATATTGTTTCCTGAGATAACCTGCTTTTTACATTTACATGCTAACAAATTCAGTGTTTTGTAAAATGCTTTAAACTTGCGGTACGATATCCAATCATACATCCCTTCAGCTGACTGATCTCTGAATTGCAGCAAAAACATGACAAATCTCTTTGATGTTCTCAAATTAGCGTTATTTAGCTTTTGTTGCCACAGTCAAAATGCAGATTAAATATGAATTCTTAACACAGATATGTACATCGTCCTGCGGAGGCTGTGCTGCCGCTGCAGACGGCGGACGGAGGGGGAACACGACGACCGGGAGAGACGACTACGTAAGACACGGTTCACCGACAGAGTCTTTCCTCAGAGACTGACTCTGTTCGTGTTTCTTTATAAGACGTTATTCTCTGTTTTATCGCAGATCTTCCTCAGGAGCTTTTTTAGGGCCTGTGTCCACTGACAGCTGAGTGTGTCAGTGTCGCTCCTACCGTGTTGTACAGCTCCTCCAGACGGGGGATAGTCAGGAAGTGATGGATGTTTACGCCGTTCTCGATCAGCAGCTTCACAAAGTCCACCCTGTCCAGCACCAGAGCGTCCATCATGGCCTGCTCCAGGGAGTTCACCTGTGATAACAACGCCACCATCATCACCATCACCATCATCGTACCTTCAACACCAAAGCGCCCAACATCAACCTCACCGGTTTGTGTCTGTTAATTTCTTTTTCTTAGATTTGTTTAGCTGATGGTCCTAGCCTGTATTCAGTCCAGCTAATATTCAGGTTCTTTTTCTGTTGAGCTAATAGTTCATTTTTAAATTAGAGTTGTTAAGCTAACGGCTAAGTCTTGTATGAACAGCTTTTTCTCCTCAGCTTTAGCAGTGAAACAGTTGAAAGTTCATTCAAACACTTTTGAAGCTGCTGACTGATTTCCAGTTCGACTCCAGTCTGTCTAGTTTCTCACCCAGTTGCGCAGCTCCAGTTTCCTGGGGTCGGTCTCTTCAGGTGGTTCAGGTTTGGTTTTGCCTCCTTTTCCTTTCTTCCCTCTTTGTTTCCCTTTCCCTCCTCCTCCTCCACCTCCTCCTCCTCCTCCCGATGCTGCTGCCCGCTGGGTTGATGGACTTTTCGGCCGGTCGGTGGCAACGGCTCCAACAGGCTTCAAAAACAACGTATAAATTAGAAAAGGAAGAAAACCATGTTGGACATTGGCCTCCTTTCCCCCACAAAGACGGGGATGTGGTTTAAGGAACTCACAGGCCAGTGAAGTCCATACACAAAGATCTGACTGCGAGCGATGTCCACTCTGTTCCAGGCCAGAGCTAAACTCAGCTGATCAGACGCAGATGCATTCGTACCTGAAAACACACATCAGAGTTACTGATTTATGCAAAACAACATCGTTGAAAAAAATTCAGCAATTATTTTGACCTTTCAATAGAAGTGTCTCATTAAAAAGCTGAGAATTTGCATTAAATAGTGATTTTATAGACTGCCATTACAGTTGTGGTAGCTTGCTAACGCTGTGGTGATAACAGTCTCTAAAATGACCTTGTTGGCGTTTGCCTGTTGAGATGTAGTATTTGTCTTTTTTTGTTGTTTACCTTTCAGTAGAGCCGTCAGGATGGACATCTCAATGTCCTGCTGTCCCTCTGAGCCCATCCTAAAGACTGTGATCTACGGACGAACAACATGTGAATGTAAGAAATACACACAACAAACAAAGAAAATCAGGACAGGGTAGTGGGCGAAGTTTGTAGAATGTACAAGCATCTCAGGGTCATCAGCTGAGGCCACACAGAGAGGTTTATAGAAAACGTGGAGAAGGGAAGTGAACAAGGACGGATGGACAGAGTGGAGAAGTGACATTTTATCTGAGCGTACGCTGCGGTTAGAGGACCATCCAAAGACCGATCCTGATTGAGAACTCACTGTCACATTAACAGTGGAACAATGAAAACTATCTAAAGGGTTTTAAGTTTCAGAGTAAATAAAATCGATGTAGGTCCTTCAAGGTCCTTCTTTTCTCTCTTATTAAACCCCATTAATTCAAAGGTTCACTTAAGACCGACCCACTGCAGAATCCAGACAGTGAGGGACCAGGACACGACATGAAAATGACCCAGTTCACTCATTTCTCAAACAGCCACACTATTACGTTTCAAGGTTTTAACAACAATACAATTAATTTATGTAAGAAGAGTGATTTTACAAAAGCTAAGATCTGTAACCTTTAGAATAAACCCCCCCAAAACTACCTTTGGTAAGATCTTTGGTAAGTACCAACTGTCTTACTTGTGTTTGAGAAGCAATGTAATTAATCTTAAAAAAGATAGACAAGTTATAAAAGAAATACATCCATCGCAAAGTGTGAAGGAATAAGTAAATGAGCCGTACAGGCCAAAACTGTCTTCGTTCCGAGCTTCAGACGGGTTTATTTCTGCTGTGAAAATCTGCATTTTTAATATGGGTGTCAATGATGCCTCTTCAGCTTTTGGAGCCAGCCCCCAGTGGACATTTGGGGAACTGCAGCTTTTGGCACTTAACTGACTTACTTAATCTTCCAACACCTCAAGTTGCTGCTTTTTTGCAATGGACTTCAAGAAAATATGTGGAGAAATATTTGTTGTGCACTTGTTCTTCATGCTTCCCAGCTGAAGTCTGGATTCTAAAACAGCGACCCCGGCAGGAACAGATATTTCCAGCAGGTTTAATCCTCCTGCTCTTCATCTTATTTCATTTCTTGAGTGAAACATGTAAACCTTCATCATTTAATCTGAGAACAAATCATTTAAGTGAATTGCTGCGACTTTATTTAAATTTATGGCCAGTCGGCTGCAGCTGTTCTCAGGCAGAAGCAGAGGATTGTGGGATTAAATTAATAGTGGAGGGTCATAGAACAATCTCCATTAAGCTATGCTTGTTTGGGTCAAAGGTAAAACCTTTGTCATTATATTAATGTTTCAACTGCCGAGGTCACAGTGGGCAGGTTTTACATCAGAGCAGAGTGGCACATTTCCCAGGATTCACAGTGAGTGTGGAGGTCAGTCCGTTATGTGGTTCTCCTTCAGGTTTCACAGTGAGAGGTTGGGTAGATGTTCCAGTTATCTGCAGTTTTTAAGGAGTTATAAAAGTGCGGTTGATCACCGGCTCTCTGAATGAAAAGGAAAATCATAAATTCAATCTATCAGTCCCAAAGTAAGAGATTAATAACCGCTCAAACCTCAACGATAAAGTCAACCTGCATGAGAAATCAACTTACAGAGGAGTCTGACAAATTTCACCTCTGCCTGTTGACACTGTGGCAAAACTTTGTCCCTGTTAGTCTTCTGAGGTTGAGGCCTGTCATTCATTGTCTTTTAAAGAGCATATTCAGTCTGTTACCAAGAAGCTGAAGGTTTTACTTGTTTTTACTACAGAAATAAGTCTTGTGTCTCTTTTATGGTTAAAAGAGAAACGTGTTGAGTCAACATTTTTACCTGTTCTGGATTGTGGTGATTTACTGAACATGAACGCTTCTGCTCAGAGTCTACAGATGTTGGACAGTGTTTACCATGGAGCTCTGACCCACCTTCTTACCCACCTCTGTGACTTATACTCAAAGGTCAACTGGACTTCTCTAAGCACAGGTCGCCTCGGACATTGGTATGTCTTTATCTACAAAGTCATTCTAGGCAACACTTAGGCTACCCTTCCTTCTTGCTCGTCGTAAAGGAAGGATTACATCATTTGGGTTTGCTTGACTTTGTGCAGTTTGCTTTGTGCACCGTGCCTTTAGATTTCTGCTGTGACCAAGTCTAGCTCCTTTCTATTGGGTATGGTTGATGGGGATGAATGGTAATGAGATGGACATGAATTAAAACACACAGATGAGAGGACGAGTAATGACAAAAGATTTTATTTTGGCGCCAAAACGCACAAACTAAAACATTCAAATGAATTTCCCACAGACAGACAGACAGACGGACGTGTTCAGTATCAGGCGTCACCGTGTCATACCAGAGCCCTCTTCTTCATACACTCCATCACCATGAGGAAGATCTGCTGCGCCTGACTGCGGCTGTAGTTGAAGGTTTTCTGGATGGTGACCAGCAGCTGATCTTTGACGCTGTCACTCACCACCCTGAGCAGAAGAAACACCAAAGATCAGTCATGTGATTCTGTTCAAGGTAAACCACTCAATCTTTTCGTAGTTGTTCCAGATTCGGTGGAAATTTGGGGTAAAAGTATGACAAGCTTAAGCAAAAGTGTGATGTTTACACTTGAAACAACTACTTCAAACAAACTCTTTATTCAGCGTTCCGACTTCTCAGGAACAGAGGTTGTAAATAAAGAGGATATGATCCAGAAGTTTTGACCAAAATCTAGACCCATTTCTTCTGTCTTTTAACGCAGCGTCTAGATCAGGAACCAGGAAGCAGCTTTAAAAGGCACTAAATGATCCATGAGTGTCACTGACCCGTCCTCATTGCTGTATCTGTGTGCGAAAGAGAGGATGTCAGAGGCACGGCCGCTGCCATCGCAGACGACGACAGGGACCGGAGGCTCCTCCCTCAGACTCTCCAACGCGATGGAGATGACGTTTGGACCTCCCTCCAGGATCAGACACACCACAGGGACACCCTGACCGAGACCTAGCACACATGAAAAACACAGTAAGTACTCGTAAACGAGAGACTTTCTCACCTGTGGAGCAAAGATCACGTCCACAAAGAGAACCAGGTTCACAGTGGTTCATTTTCTGGTATTTGGACTTTTTTTTTTCTGGAAGTTTCTTTGTGGTTGAAGTGAGAGGTGACAGCTGAGCCTCCCTTTGCTGTCCCTGCCTTACAGACAGCTCCAGGCATAGGATGACAAAGGGAAACCCACAGGTCACATGATTTGTTGATTCTAATCCAGGAATCTGACACCGTTACAGAGGTATGACTCAGTCTGAAGACTTCATGAACATCAGATATCAACATAGCGGAGATAAAAACCAGAATAACTAAAACGTTGCGGCGGCCTGTAAAGCCGTCTCCGGTGTGTGTCACTTACGTGTGTTGATCTTCTGCAGAGAAATGTGTTTCTCCAGCTGCCGGCGGAGTCGAACCTCGGCGCCGTACTTCCCACTCGTCCCGTTATCGGCCAGGATGAAGTGGGAATGGCTGCTGTTCAGGACCGACAGCTTACTGAGGGGGTTCGACATGGTCTGGTAGGGCCGAGTGACCTGGGACACACAGATGTGATCAGTCCGATTAAAACCATAACGAAGTCTTACATTTATACGGTGAATTTGAGAAGGTGGTGAAACACTCGTTGATATTAAAGCCCAGCAGTGATTTCTGTGATCCCTCCAGTCTGCTGTGGTTTACTTATGCTGGTGTTGGTGTCTGGATCGGCAGATTTGGACTTGTTTGGACTGGTTTGGTTGAATTTGGTTGAGTCTAGTCAGGGTTAGTCAACTTTGATTGGCATGGTTTGGCTTGGTTTAGTCCTTTTCTGATGTGTTTGGTCTGGTTCAGCTTGGTTAAGTCCTGCTAAACCTGGTCTAGCAGGGACTGGGTTTTGAGACCTATTGACCACTGGTCTCATGGTACTGGTGCACTGCTTGTCCAAGTTCTGGGCAAGGTGTCAGCCATAGCTAAGTCCAAGGTAACCAACATGACTGCCTCCATAACAGGCCAGTCTTCACAGCAGAAATAAACTCATTTACAACCTGTTCTGGTCTGGATCAGTCCTGGTTAGCCTGGTTTTCCCAGTTCACTCATGTTTTATTGTCCTGGTTCATTCTTTCTCAGTCTCGTTTGACTTACGTCTCTCCCAATAAGGTCTTCTTTGTTCTCCACGATGCCCCACGGTGCAATGCCGATAGCGCAGACTTTTCCTCTGGACTTTGACGAGTGATCTTTGAGAGCATCTCCAACATGACGAATCACTCCTGAAAGACAGGAAGAGGTTTGATCTTGGTAACATTTATTTTTACCACGTCTGGTTATGATCGCCACACAACACGTGGAGTTTACTGTCACACATCGACCAACACCTCTATGGATTCCCTGACTTTCATACCGGTGCTGACTCCTCCGGTGAAGATCCAGGCCCCGGTGGTCACAGCTGCTTTGATCAGTCCTTTCCCAAAAACCTGCTTCAGTTTGGGGGGCAGGTCAAAGTTTTGCAGGCCCCCGTGGACAGATATGAGCAGCGTTGGGAGCTCCAGCTGCCAGTCCTTCACCATCAGCTGGAGCAGGTTGTCTGGTTTGGAGTCGTAGGAGATCCGGATATACTGCGAAGGAGGAGGAAGAGGTTTACTGAAGGAACAGGAAGAAACTGTGAGGATTATCGTGTCTTTGGGAGCGTATGAAGCACCATGGCTTTGTTGACGAGTCCTCCTCCTTGAAACTCGATGACCCCGTAGGCGTCGGTGGACGAAGTCTGGGTGTGTTTGAGGGCGGTCCATCTCTCTGTGGGTTGCGTCTCCAGCTGAACCAGAGGGGCCCCATCTTCTTTGGGCCCCTGAGGGACGGGGCTGTGCTGCGCCACCAGTTGACCACAACTGCACCTGAACAGCCATGACAGTTCATGTTTGGTTAAAACAGAGACGGAAAAGAGGCCCAGATTTAAGGACCTGGATCTCAATGTGTGAACAGTCACATATGTTACTCTTACTTTTAATAAAATCTTAATTAATCAGAGATATGATGTGTGTTGTTTTCATATGTTGCTTCAGATGTTTTAAAACTAGTTTACCCGCATTTTTTTATTGGTCAGATGGTTTCATAGACAGAAAGTCAAACCTGTCACCACGACTCTGAACATTTCATAAACTTTCCAAAATTCGCCTCAGAATATTTCATAATTTTGTGTCGTATATTTGCATCGTTCCCGGTGTGTAAGGACCTTAAGAGCATATAGCCGACAAAATTGAACATTTCAATGCCTCGTTGTTTTGATGTTGTTATATTTACAGTTGATCACATGAAATACTTGACTTGGTGCAGATGCATGTTCTCCTGGCTGGCTCGCCAGTTTGGAATTTGGTGTTTTTCCACCTTTGCGTTTGTCTGAATCGGTCAACTCATCTCCCAAGCAAAATATTGGTGTGAGTGTAATTTTTCTTATTCACCAAGTTTATGATAAACCTGCCCTTAAAAGGTCCACCCACAGTGCAATGCTTTCAGGTGATTGTGGGTAATATGAGCTTTTTCAGCATTTAGACCAACAGCATTAACAAGAAAATATGTCATCCATCAAAATTACACTATGTATTGTGATCTTTGTAAAGTTATACCTGCTGGTGTCTTTGCTGGGAATGATCTGGATACATTCTCTCTTCTGGAAAGTTCTCTCGATCCACGCTCTCTGAGTCTGGAGAAAATCAAAAAGACAACATTTTAGAGGTTCATGATACTCTTCGTAAAATCCTCCCTCATCCCACCATCAAATTTTACATTTACAAACAGACATTGAGGAGCAATGAGGAAATATCTCAGACCCTCTGTAGGAAGCTGCAGGTGCATGCTGGGGGGTGAAATGTTTGGTATTCGTCATGTCAAGAGTGAAATCAGTGCAGCTTGAGTTTACTGCCTGATCTAGCACACCGGCGCTAAGAAAGACAGTTTTAAAAGTGTGGATTAAATCTGACATTTGGAGTTATTTCAGTTTCCTGATGTTAAAAAATAAACAAGTAGAAGCAGTGAAGGACAAACAGTGATCAGACTGTGCCAGAGTTCTGTGATCTAAATATAAGTAAATAAAGGAATAGTAGATTGCCTTCTCCAGGTCGGAGGGGAGGTCCTGCCTCAAGTGGAGGAGTTCAAGTAACTCAGGATCTTGGTTACAAGTGAGGCTAGGATGGAGCGGGAGATCGATCGGAGCGGCGTCAGCAGTGATGCGAAGCTTAACCGATCAGTCGTGATGAAGAAAGAGCTGAGCTGTAAGGCGAGACTCTGGATTTACCGGTCGATCTACGTGCCGATCCTCACCTATGGTAATGAACTTTGGGTAATGACCGAAAGAACAAGATCGAGGATACAAGCGGCCGAAGTGGGTTTCCTTGGTGCCTCCCGTTAGAGGTGTTCCAGACATGTCCCACCAGGAGGAGACCTCGTGGCTGGCCCAGGACCAGGTGGAGGGATTATATCTCTCGCCTGGCCTGGGAGCGCCTGGGAATCCCCCCGGAGGAGCTGGTGGAAGTGGCCGGGGTGAGGGCCGTCTGGGCTTCCCTACTGGACCCGGATGAAGCAGAAGAAAACGACGACGAGAAGAAACCTCTGGGTAAACTGTCCCTCTGAAAAAGTTGTTGAGTTTCCCTCTAAAAGATTCACACGGTGAACTTTAATACTGACGGTTAAAACACCTCATTTAAACCACAGCAGCACAAAAGGGTTAAAAACCACAAATGGCTGAAACATCAAGCTGCACATGTCTGCATGAATCCGACTAATTACTGGACGAGTGGAGCTTTCCATTTCTTTCTGCATCAAATCCTCTTACTGTGCACAACCTAATCCTGCTGCTGCTGCTGCTGCTGCTGCACACAAAACACACGGGAGTGCCCTTTAAATCTGTGTTTAAATCCATACCGCACTAATGACTCTGTGTGTAACCGTGTGTAACTGTGTGTTATTGTTATACCGTGTGCTATTGTGAGTCGTTTTTGAAGCACTTTGTGAAATTTGTGCACTCTGCCTGATGGAGGATTAAAGCCCGAGTGTCACACGAGCTGCAGTTTTGATTGTCTTCTTCACGTGCGTGAAGAATCACCATCCTCATCATCATCATCATCACCCTCCTCACCGCCGTCATCATCTTGCCATCAGGAAATGAGTGAATGAAAACCTCACTGATAATTATCACCTCAGCTGGGCGGATGTTTGGTCGTTGGGTCAAATCAGGGCTGCAAGATTTCCTAAGAAGATTTGAGGTGCATTAAGTAAAGCTGGACTCTACATGGACTAAAAGGTTCTTGTTTTAAATTTCCAGAGCTGACCAGTGAGCGGGCAGGAGGAGGAGCATTAAAAAAAGGAAAAACTGTCCTGGTTTAACACCCGAAATCTGACTGACAAAACAGGTTTAATCACAGAAGAGTTACTGCAGGAGTACAAGGGCTGCAGAGGCAGAGGAAGTGCAGCAAAACATGAACTGAAGGAGTGCAAATATATGAGAAACACAGGAGCTGCAGGACTAGATTAGATATTCTCTAGGATAAGAATTACTGTGGGAGAAGAAGAAGAACTTTAATTGCTTGAATTGGGAATGTAGCTGCTGAAAAAGCTGCTGAAAATCATATATTTTAGGAGCAGAGATGCTGCAAAAGGACAAACAGAGTCGCTAGTGGAGTAGAGATATTTTAAAATTACAACACGAGGACTTCAAAACTGTAAGAAAGAGACAAACTGCAGAAATTATGAAAGCAAGATGCTGCCGAAGATAGACTGAGGTGCAATAGAAAGTATACTGCAGCATAGGGAGAGGAAAATATGTGCACTGTTACGTTTATGATTTACCCTGGATACTGCAGTAGAAAATATAAAACACATGAAGGGGTTCAGTGATTACAAATTAAAGTTCAATTAAAAAAATTTTTTATAAGAAACTCAAAAAAGTGTTTTCGGCCCATCCGTAAGACTTTTGGAGTAGAAATGTTGCAGGATATAAATTTTGTGAAATCAAAAAAGTTTCAAAAGCGAAATATACTTCAAGAGGAAGAATAAATACTGCAGACATGAAAGTAATACATTAAAACTTAATAACAGTTGTTCTGAGGGGTGAGAAGAAAAGCAAGGAGGGGAAATTTTGCAGGATCACGAACACTTCTGTAGAAGGAATACTGAAAAAGAAGGACTAAAGTAGACAAGTAGTTTGTAGAAAACTAAGGTAATGAAATGGTTCAAACTTCACTAAATTACATTTTTATCATAATTTTTGACCAGATTCCTCCAAGACTCTCAGAAAATCAGCAAAACTTTGGAACAAAAACAATATTTTTGAAGAGTTTAAGTCACAAAAACAAATCAAAAGTCAGTTGGAGTCAGATTTTCTGAAGCATCGAGGTCCTGGACTTACAGACAAACACAAACTTTTCTGTTGTTTTCTGAAAGTTTTCAACTTCAGGCTTTTTCTAAATTAATTTACGGAAACTTCAAACCTCCGACCGACCTCTGAGGTTCTTCAGGATCCGTCTCCATGTGTGGTCACGCAGCTCCAACGCTCCTCGTCTCCACCTCGACCTCCAGAGAACTTCATCTTCAAACTCAAACTGGACTGAGGACCGTTTTTTTGAGAAAACCCCGTGGCTCTGAGGACCGGGGTCTTTCAGCTCTGCAGGGACGTCTGGCTCCCTGGCTGGGTCTGCAGCCTCAGTGCGGCTCAGTAGATAAGTCAGGAGTTGACTATATGCGGCTGAGCGGGTTCATATGATGAGCATGTGAGGCAGCAGGCCTCTTTGTTGGAGCAGGTCTCATGACTCGGGTCCGAGGTAATCCTTCTGGGAGTCCCATGACCCGCCAAGCTCCAACACAAGAGTATTTTCTTCTTCTTCCAAGGCTCGACAAATCAGCTTTGAGAAATCCACACAAACATCCAAACATGCATCCGCTCATTAACAGAAAACAGAGTCCAGCTCCTTCTCAAGGTTCTGATTCCTGCTCCTTAATTTTTTTATTCACAAACATCCAGAACAACCGGACCCATTGTTGAGGTTTTAGAAACAACACTGCAGTTTGAGTTCATGACCTCTGAGCAGAAGAAAATAAACCTCCAAAGACCAAATGTTCAAAGTAAAACCCTGATTTTAAGTGTGTATGCTGAGTCTAAGAGGAGCGATTTATTGGATTTGATCTTATTTTTGACACACAGAGCGGCTGTCTGTCACTCCACATGGTGACCAAAGAATAATCAAACATTTCACTTCATCCTGAGGAGCAGACACTTCGATCTACAGGGGTTGGACAATGAGACTGAAGCAGAGTAATAGCAGTTTTGTTCAAAATATTGCAATGCACACGATATTATGGGTGATATATCAGAGTTCAAAAGAGGACAAATTGTTGGTGCACGTCTTGCTGGCGCATCTTTGACCAAGACAGCAAGCCTTTGTGATGTATCAAAAGCCACGGTGTCCAGGGTAATGTCAGCATGCCACCAAGAAGGTCGAACCACATTCAACAGGAGTAAATGTGGACGCAAGAGGAAGCTGTAGGATTAAATGTGCTCCTCAACTCTCCTGTTTCCACCAAAACTGTCTGTCAGGAGCTCCACAGGGTCAGTATACACGGCCGGACTGCTACAGCCAAACCTTTGGTCACCCATGCCAATGCCAAACGTCGGTTTCAATGGTGAAAATCTTGGGATGTGGACGATGTGAAACATGTTTTGTTCTCTGATGAGTCCACCTTTACTGTCTTTCCCACATCAGGGAGAGTTATGGTGTGGAGAAACCCCACAGACTGTTGCATGCCCAGAGTGAAGCATGAGGGTGGATCAGTGATGGTTTGGGCTGCAGTATCAGGGCGTTCCCTCGGCCCAATACTTGTGCTGGATGGGCGCGTCACTGCCAAGGACGACCGAACCATTCTGGAGGACCATGTGCACCCAGTGGTTCAAATACTGTATCCAGAAGGTGGTTCTGTGTACCAGGATGATAATCCACCAACAGCTAGACTGGAGACAGGGTGGTTTGATGAACATGAAAGTGAAGATGAACATCTCCCATGACCTGCACCGTCACCAGATCTAAAGATTATTGAGCCACTTTGGGTGTTTTGGAGGAGCGAGTCAGGAAACGTTTTCCTCCACCAACATCACGTAGTGACCTGGACACTATTCTGCAAGAAGAACAGCTCAAAATCCCTCTGACCACTGTGTGGGACTTCTACCTGTCATTCCCAAGAATAACCGATGCTGTATTAGCTGATGAATTATTGTGGTCTAAAACCAGGCGTTATGGGTATTTGTGTGACTTTTAAAGAGTGTATTTTAGCATTTATGAACATATTTTGTTCACTTGCATTTTTTTAAATTTTTTGCATAATCTCCTCGACTGCAACATGTTTCTCACCCCATGCAAAAAATAAGTCATTTTTCAGTTTTTGCACCACATTCAGATTTTTTTAAGTGATGTTGCTCATTATAGATCAACAGTCAAACCTGTGGTCTAAACCTGGACCAGAACCCCTTCATGCAAAGTTTTTCGTTGCCAAAGACAACAAACTCTAAGATTCAACAACAATCCAGTTTTTTCATGATCTGCTAATCCCTGAAAAATATTGATTAGCAATGTTAAAAAGGACAAAGTGCTTTTCTGATGTGAGTGAAGTCAAACTTTACAAACAAAAGCAGATCAGCTGAGGGTCCAGGGGGGAGAACAAGAAGGTCCTGTTCCTGCTAAAGCTCGAGTATCTGCACAGTCCAGCTGTTCTGAACAGAGCCTCCATTTGTTTTTAACCTTGGGGCACCATCGAAAACTGACTTCATCTAACAACGTGGGCGACTGACACCTGAGACTCTGCAGTTATTTGTGAAGATATGCCTCTGCGTTCGTCACTTTGACCGCACGTCTCTGTGGACAGTTGAATAAGAAGCGTGTGAGGGATTAAAGCAGCTGAGACTCACAACAATGAACAGAGAGTGTGAGCGAGTCCAGCAGGATCTGGATTATCAGGCTTTAAACCAGATTAATGTTGTTAAGAGGAGCGACTTGTTTGCATAATGAGCTCTCGTATTAGAGGCTTTTATTTCTCACACAGACAGGAAAGGACCAGCAGCTCTCAACCAATCAGAGGGGGATTCTGTTTCTAATTGCACCCCTCCTGATCCCGCCCTGCTCTGCTGTGATTGGCTGAAACTTGTTTTTTCTCAAAGTTCGCTTTCTGAGATTTCTGTAAGGAAGCTTTTTCATGGAAGATTACGGCAGACCTGCTCCGATCTGGTCTCAAAGTCCAGTTAGATTTGTTATTTTGACCTCTGACCTTTACTTGAACGCTGTCATACTTTCTCAGTATTCATGTGAACTTTGTTAATGGGGTAAAAGTCACAGTTTGGGTGGAAATATTAAGTCAGCGCTGACATTTGTCGTCTTAAATGCTGGAAACTGAAATGCTGTTTTAAAGCTGCTCCAAGGTCAGACTTTAAATCAGTCGGGCTTCAGGAAACCTGTGGCTCACATGTGGCTGCAGGCGGCGTCACGCACCATCCTGAACGCTGAACGCCGTTTTACCTGCTTTCTTGATTTTTTGAAGTTAAATGAATATTTCAGAATTTTTGAGGTGTGGTTGACAGTCAGCGCGTTTACAGTCACAGTTTAATCGGACTAAATTCAAACTTCTCTCCTCGTCCACATGCACATGCAGATCTTTTCAGCGGCGCTGTTTCCGGTTGACCCAACAACAACAGCAGCAGGTCGGTGTCAGACGTCAGAAGTGTCTACAACTGCTGCTGGGCATTTTAGAGAAACAAGAAGATGGAGCATCGTACAGCGTTGTTTTTGTCCGACATGATGGACGCGCTACTTTTTCAAAAGATGAGACCAACGCTACTCCTCTTCTCTGGTGTTTTTGTTGTTGTCAGATACTTAGGTCCTTATATTGATATATTTGTGGGTTTTGGTATTTTTGCATCTCAGTTTATTATGATGTGTGTAGAGTTTGTTATTCCAGCTCCTACAGCTAACACAGTCTGCTGAAAAAGGGTTGCGTACGCGGGTGTCCTGACCAGCTCAGACCTTCATTAGTGACATGTTTCTCATGTGACCTGAAAAACCCTTTGAACCAGAAAACCAGGAAAGACAAATGTAGGTTTGGGATCCAGCTTTCAGCCCTGAAAGTTAAAACCTAATCTTGACGCCCTGAAGGCTGTTATTAAAATTATTTATAAAATCGGTTGTTTTGTTTTTTTGTCTCGACTTGCAGCTTCTTTTAAAAACTTGAGCTCAAATAAAAGTCCTCAGGGCTCAAAGTTTCACAGACGCGGCGGTTAAAAGTGTCTGATTTCAGTCACATGACGGTTCCAGAGAAGAAACAGCTGATTGTGTTTGTGGAGCGAAATCACATGAAGTTAATTAACCACAAAACCGATCAGGTCACATGACGAACAGGGTCAGGTCTGCTCCACAAACGAGGTTCTGTTTCAGCCTTTAAACTGTTCCAGAAGAGGAGTCTGTCTGTGTCTGAATCTGTTCGAGTTTCATTTGGACATTCAGGTTCGGTTCTGGTCGGATTCGGACTTGTTTCGATCCAAGTCTTTTACAACCTGAAGCAGTTGAACTAGATTATTATCATGTACTCATGAAGTCCGGACATTCACCACTTCATCAAAGCTCCAGTGAAACTCGAGTGATTTAAGGACAAACGTATTTTAGTTTCTGAGATCTCTTCAAAATAAAAGCCCTGAGTTATTCTGCGTCATTGGAACACCTTTGTTCTGAAACAGCCACTTCAGGAAATGACGTTTTCAGCAGAAACTTCAACAATTCAAATAAAAGCAGGAGAGAAATGACAACTCGGATCACAGAGACCACAGAGTCCTGTTAGGCTCCTCTTTGACCACAGGGGGGCGCCAAAACTAACACAAACACCAGATTCCTTTCAAATAAAAAAAGACGTCTTCAGTCTTACCCTCTGAGATCCAGAAGACGCGCTCCGTTTGATGGACGAGCGTTTGAAGGACCCGTTTGTCCCTCTCCTCCCTCTGCTGTCCATGTCGTCCAATTCAGCTGTCCAACACGTTCATCGTTCTGTCCTCTTCTCTCCTCTCCTTGGGTTTCCTCCTCTCTAACTTGTCTCCTTGTCTCCTCTTGTCTCTTAATGTCTTGCCATTTGTCCACCTTTGTCCCTTGTCTTCCGTCTTAAATTCTCCTCGTCTCTTCTTAAATCTTTGGCTTCCTTGGTCCTGAGTCCTCCCTAGTGTCCTTTTTTACACACTGTCTCTTGTCTTTATAGTCTCCTCTGTGTCTTTTGTCTCTCAGCTTAATTTTTGTCTCTGCAGCCTTGTCTCTGTCTCGTGTCTCCTTGTCTTGTCCTCCTGTATTTCTTCTCTGTGATGTCCTCTCCTCTTTTGTCTCTTATCCTCTGTGTCTCCTCTTGTCTGGACTTGTCTGTCTCTTTCCCCTTTAGGATCTTGTCTCCTGTCTCCTTATGTCCTTTGGCACCTCGAGTCTCTGGTTGATTTGTCTCCTCTTTCCTTCTTGTCTCCTTGTATTGTCCCTTGTCTTTATTTCCTATCTATCCTTCCCTCTTTGCTATCATGTCCTAATTCTTGGAGTGTCTCCTTTGTCCTCAGTTTAGCCTAATCATCCTTTTGTCTCCTTTTCTGTCTTTTCTTCTCTTTTTTGTGTCCTCTCCATTTTTCCCTTGTCTCTTTTTGTCTCTTGTCTTCCTTTTCTGTCTCCTGACTCCTTGTTTCCTTCTCTATCTCCTAATCCTAAATTAGTCTTCTCCTTTTTGTCCTTTTGTCCACTTTTGTACTCCAGTATTGTCCAGTTTCTTCCGTCCACAGCCTCCTTGTCTCATCCGTCTCGGTCGGCTTTTGTCTCTTCTTGCTTAGTCTTGTTTCCTTTCCTTCTTTTTTGGCCTCCTTTCTCTCCTCTTCCCTTGTCCCCTTGTCGTTATTCTCCTCTATCTCTGGTCGTCTTTTGTCCTCTTTTCTCCGCCTCCATCATCTCCAGTCTTCTTCCTTCATGACTTTTGTCCCCTCTTGTTGGACTCTCTGGTCCTCTTGGACTCTCTACTCTTGTCGGTGATGCGTCGGGGCGCCCTCGGCGGTCTGTGGCGTGGTGGAGACCCGCTCCTTCTCTCTGCCTCTGTAATCAGGATTAGTGGACGCTGCTGAGGACGGAGGCTGGAGCTCTTTAATGGATGGAGATTTAATAAATGGTGATTGAAGGTAAATCTACTTTAGGACGACTCTGCCTCCCAAACCACTCTGAACGTGCGGTGGCGGCGGCGGCGTGAGCGAACAGAGAGATTGTTATTTATGACTTTCTGATGCTTCAGGGGTCAAACGCACTGAAAGCCCCACTGATACAGAACCACGTAAAACCAGATCGGTCCGAAAACACGACCCGCTTTAAAGGACTGATTTATGGAAACATGCCGTCCAAGACTAAACCTTTTTTTTTTTTTTACTAAGGAAGTTTGTGTTTGAAAATAATCCTTAAAAAAACCAACATCCTTAGTAAACACTTGAGTTGTCGTCATGCATCACCAAGAGGGACCTCCGTATCGATGTCCGTCCAAGTTTATGGTCAAGGTTCACGCTCATTATCCTGCCGACATTTATCACGTTTCCTTCTTCAGTCAGCTCATTTCCTGATTGGCTACCCTTTAGTTTTATGTGACGGAAATTCTGCAGCTTCTGGTTTTGAAAAAGTGAAGCTAAAAACTGCAGTTCCCTAAGCGTCCACCAGAGGCACCGGAAAACTACCTGCACAGTCATGTGTCTAGAGAATAAATGTTGAAATCGACCACGGTCCGTGTACTTGGCGGCCAACAGGTTTTTGTTTTTAAATGAAAAAATGAAAATCAGGAGACGACCGGTCGGGAAACGAAGAACAAAAAATGGAAACGGTAAAAATAACTCAGTATTTGATTTTTGTGATGTGGCTCTAAATGGAAATCGGATAATCAAAATATATGCGTGGAAATCTTTTGTTTTTAGTTTCATTCACTCAAATACAGCAAAGTTCTGTTGTCAGTTCTGTTGTTCTCGTTTTGCTTAAATGAAAGAAGTTACAATCCTCGCTAATCGTGTTAACTGATGGCGTCTGCGTGGCGTGGTCTTATTTCCCTTTGTCCCGGTAGTTTTACAACTTAATAATCCAAACTCCTGTCTCCTGTCAGTTTATTTCTTGTCTGCTGATTGAGTCCGACTGTTTTACCGTTTACTCACCTTTCTGCATTAAATCTTTAGACCTCCTCTAATACCAGCTGCCTGTCCAGCTGTGTGTGGTCAACATCAGGTGTACCGTACAGAATAAAGGACGAGGAGAAGCAGGAAAATTTGAGGCTTTGATGGAAATCGAGGATAAAAACTGTAAGGTTTGATAACAAAACACTCTTGTCAGTGGATTTTACACATAAAGAAGGAGAAATCTTTATGCTGTCCTCTTAGAAAATGAACGGCTATTTTTGGCATACTGCAAATTTCACATTTGTTCACCAACTGCAGACTGCGTAGTAAACTTTGGGTAAATCAGTACGAACTGCTAGGACAGTAGGAGAATTCAGAAACAGTCTTAGTTTCTGGTTCCCTGTGCAGATCGGGTTCTCCAAAACTTTCCAGCTGTTTTTTCTCACACCCAAAATGACCCTTTGAGTTTCAGAGATTTTTGGGTAACTAATAAGAGTCATTAACTCTTCTCAGATTCCTATAGAGTCTCCTCACAGTGTTTATTATTCACAGTGAATCAGTTTTTAATGTCCTAATCAAAATTTGTTGGATGTTTTAAATGTAATTTGAAATAAAAATGATTGAATGTTTGACTTTTGATTATAAATGACGCTGAAACCTTCAGATTAAAGTGATATTCTTCTGTAATCCAACACACACACACACACACACACACACACACACACACACACACACACACACACACACACACACACACACACACACACACACACACACACACACACACACAGATTACAGTCAGTCAGGATTATTGTTCTGCTGTGACACTGGGACACTTTGCTCAGTGGAGAAAACTCACTCAGTGTAATTGATCTAAAATCATGTTCGAAGTTAACAGACCAGAAACTTTGCAAACAAACTCATAAATTAAAGTTTATTTACAAGTAAAACAACCCAAAGTTAACACAACACAAGAATAAGTGTTTATTCAGCAGAGCAGCCGAACAGTGACGCTCTCACAGCTTCTTCAGTCTATATAAAGTCAAATGAAGAAATCGTCACTCCTGTAGTAGACGGTCCAGTTCTCTTTCTTGCACTGGTGTCCATGTCAGTCTGGTTAAAAACTCCTCACAGAGGCTTTAAATACTCGTCTTTGTTTGTGGACGTCAGGACGGCCCGGCGTTCGCAGCTTTCAGCAGCTGTGAGAAAAGTGAGTCTGGATTTTGTCTCAACACGTCCGGATGATCGAACTCGACCACCTGCAGGACGAGAACAGAAACTGTTACACAGAAAACCTGAAACACGACGGGATCAATCAAGAGAGGAGACACTTTCTGTTCAGCTGTTTGGTCTGTGAACTGTAGGGCTGCACGATTTTTTAATTTTTTAATTTTTTAAATTTGTGCAGTGTGACAATACAAGACATACAACAAACAATGGCATTTGTGGTTTTGTGTGTGTGTGTGTGTGTGTGTGGTGTGTGTGTATTATATATGTGAATAATAATGAAAAAATAAATAAATAAATAAATAAATATTACAATTGTCAGACAAGCAAAAGAAAAAGAAAATTATACTACACGAACAATAACAATAATAATAATAATAACAACAATAATAGTAATAATAATAATAATAATAATAATAATAATAGTAATAATAATAATAATAATAATAGTAATAATAATAATAATAATAATAATAATAATAATAATAATAATAATAATAATAATAATAGTAATAATAACAACAACAACAACAACAACAACAACAACAACAACAATAATAATAATAATAACAACAATAATAGTAATAATAATAATAAGAAGAAGAAGAAGAAGAAGAAGAAAGAATTTGTGGACCACCTAGGGCTGCATGATTAATTGATTTTAAATCGTAATCGGATCATTCGATTATGACGATTACGACAATCATCAAATCAATTTTCCTCTTACAGCGTTACAGCGCCACTTACTGGCTTGGCATATGTACTACATCGTTTTCACTGGTTTGGTTTTGAGAGATGATGAAGAAACTTTTTATTAAAGTGAAGTTTGGAGAAGTTGACACTAAATAAAAAAATCAAAAATTGAGTTTTCAGATAAAAAAATCTGGATAATCTGGAAAATTATTTCATATGTCAAACTGATCCTCTCTTATCGATTTTAATTCTAAATATTTATTTCGTTGTTCTCGGGTCAAACTGTGGTCTGTGTTGGTTACCTCTCCCTGGTCCAGGACCAGGACCCGGTCTGCCTGCAGGACCGAGTTGATTCGATGAGTGATGGTGAGGACGGTGCAGCACCTGAACGCCTCGTTCATGGCGATCTGGATCAGAGCGTCGGTCTCTGAATCGACAGACGCCGTCGCTTCGTCCAATAAGACGATCTGTTGAGGGAGACAGAGAGACGATCAATCATGGACGAGACACGACAGGAAAAAGACGGAGACGAATGGACAGACAGACGGACCTTGGAGTCTCGTAGCAGAGCTCTACTCAGACACATCAGCTGTCTCTGTCCAACAGACAGTTTCCCTCCGTTGTCCGTCAGCTCCGCCTGCAGCTTTCCGTCCAGGTTGCTTATCTGACCAATCACAAATGACGTCCAATCAGAGTCAAGCACCACAGCTGTTGCATCAAATAACCTCAGAATCAGAATCGTACTGTGTCTTTCATGTAGGTCTTCTCCAGCGCCGCCCAGATCTCCTCATCACTGTGGCGGTTAAAAGGGTCCAGATTGTACCTGCAGACAAACACCTTCACATAAAGACACGCCCCCTGTGGCTGAGGTTGATAAGACGGTAACACTTTACCTGACAGTTCCTGTGAACAGCACCGGGTCCTGAGGGATGATGGACAGTTTTGAACGCAGGTTGGACAGATGTACGGAGGTGATGTCCACCCCGTCTATCAGGACGCTTCCTGCAGCCGGATCAACCAGCCGAAACAGAGCCGCCGCCAGAGAAGACTTCCCTGAAAACACAAAGATGATTTTTTTTCCGTCTTCATCTCAAAATCTTTGATACCTATCTTCGGATTTGAAGGTTTCAGTGTTTCTCCACCTGATCCGGCTCTTCCCACAACGCCGAGCTTCTCCCCAGCTCTGATGTGGACCTGCAGCCTGTTGAGGACGACGGGTAAGTTCTGCCTGTACCTCATTTCATAATCCAGGAAAGTGACGGCTCCATGCTGAGGCCAGTCCTCTGAGACCTGATCCACTTGAAGCTGCCTTGAAGACTCAGACCTGCAGCCCTGAAACACAACCGAGAGTCAGGGTCACGTCACAGAGCAGCGGCTTTTCTTTCACGGTCTGTTGTTATCCGGGATGTCTCTGTTTTCTCTTTGAGTTTCAGTGTGGTTGCAAATCTAAAGTGACCGGCGGCAACAATCGATACGCATCTGACAGTGAGGAAAAATATCTTCAAACCATCTCAGAATCGGTACCGTCTGATACCTAAGCTCAGGTCTGGTACCAGGACTGATTGAGTTCTGCAAGTATGAGAATTCACAGAGATGCTAACAGCTCAGCTCTCCATCCAGATACAGAACAAGAGCAAACTGCACAGAGCTGCAAACATTCATGGGCCTGTTTGAGCTTGAACATCATCGGTGGAATACCCTTCGTAATTCTGTAGATGGTGCAGAAAACAGATGAAGACCTGAGACTCACTTTGACCCCAAATTTACACTGCATCTGGAACGACTAAGAAAAGGCCGTATCCTCCGATCGTAGCTGATAGTTTCCATTCAAGTTAATGTTAATGTGTCAATTGCGGATCACCGGACTCCTCAGCTGATCACCAGAGTTCTATTTTTTCTGGACGCCGGAGCATGGCGGATAAATTCAGCACAGATTAACCCGTGCTGGAAAGGAAGTCGGGCACAGACACAAAATAAAACATCCGGCTTCTTTTCAAAATAAAACATGAACAAGTGAAAGGTTTTTAGACGTCATTTCACCCCGATGACACCATGGATGAGGAGATGCTGATTCTAGAAGTCTAGAAGTAGATTTCCTCCTCTGGAAGGACACAATCTACTGCTTATATGTCTATGTGTCTGTCTTTAGAGAGTCAACTGGTTATCGTGTGATTGCTGGTGAACTTGTGATTTCTTTTGAGTTCTCACGATTCCTGCCACAAAATTCCCCTAAATCCTGTAGGGATTGGCGGATGGTGAAAATCGCCGCTGTCTGGGTGTGTTGGAAATTGGGGGTGAGGATGTGCAAACCAGAAGGAAACAGCCGAAACTGCAAAAACTGACCTTGATGTACTGAAGGACTCGCTCCACAGAGATGAACCTGACCTCCGTGTCCAGCAGAGTCTGGATCATAGCCTGAGATTTACTCGTCAGCTGTTAAAACCACAAAAACACGCCATCAGGTCGAGATTCACAGACGACTTAGAAATGAGGAATCACTCTGAGGTTATTGTTCATCCTGAGGGTACTTAAGAGGGGGAGTGCGTACCCTTAGGATGCGGCTCAGAGCGAGGGCTTTCATGGCAGGGTCGGTGACGTCATTGGAGACGAAGATGACCAACAAAGCCACCGGCAGCGTCATGATGGCGCACAGAGACTCCGTCTGGAAGCTGAGCCAACGCGACCCGTAGTGGGAGAGTAGGAGGTGGTTGGTGTTGGCGTCTGACAGCTTCTTAAACCTGAAACACAAACAGGATGAGACGCTTATCCTCTGAGATTCTTCTACAGCTTTCTCCTTCTCCAAATCTTCTCAGATATTGGAGACGTTTCAGAGCGACAGAGTTTATCTTACAGCTCCGTGAAGTTGTCCATCTTGTTGTAGGTCTGGATGGTGCCGAGGCCCTGAGCGATGGAGGTGCACACAGAGGCGCTGGCGGCACGACTGATGCTCTCCATCCTCTGAAGCTGAATGATGTTTCCCTTGAACATCCTGCAGAGAAACAAAGGCGGCGTTCAACCAAAGTCCTGAGCTCTACAATCAAATCTGGCGTTTGTTAGTATCACGGCTCAGTGTCGACCCACCAGAGCAGGAAGGTCAAGACCGTCAGCAGGATGAACACCGGCAGCAGCATGATGGGGAAGATGACGAGGTTGATGATGCAGACGCAGAAGGCGATCAGCCACAGCGTGAGCATGCCGTTGAGATGATGAGGCAACAAAGAGTCGATCTCATCCTGACGTTTGGAGAAACATCTGAGGATGTGTCCGATCTGAGTCGTCTCAAAGAAGCTCATTGGACTTGAAACGACCTGAGGAGGACAACAACCAATCAGCAGAGTCGAATCATCAGTGACAAAACGCACAACACTTCAGCTGTACCGGGACAACTGCATGAGCTCTGCCTGCCCCAAGATTTACTTAAAGCTTAGCTCAAGTCAAACACCATAAAACTGCAGTTCCTAGAATGGCCACTGGAGGGCGCCCTTCGTCAATCCTAAAACATCTGCAGTAAAACGCAAACAGTGCTGGGTCTCATGTTTAAAACTTCTGCAAATAAAAGTCCGAAGAATTAAAAAGTTCACAGATCAGCGGGAAGAAAATTTTCAGATAATGAGATTAACGATAATTTGGAGGAAGTGGAATAAATTAAATTTTATTATTATTATTTTTTGTTGTTGTTGTTATTTTTATTAATATTATTAATATTATTATTATGAATATTATTATTATTGTAATTGTAATATAATTATATTTATTATTATTATTATTATTGTTATATTATTATTATTATAAATAATTTATTGTTAATTATTTATTAATAATTAATTAATTAATATTAATTATTATTGTTGTTGTTACTATTATTTTATTTTAATTTTGTATTATTATTATTATCATTATTATTATCATTATTACTTCTACTGTTATTATTATCATTACTGTTATAATAAAAACAATTATTATCACCTATTTTGTTATTGTTATTATTTTCATTATTTTCATAACTATTATAATAAAAACAATTATTATCATCATTATTATTATTAATGTTATTATTTTCATTATTATTAGATATACAAAAAACAGATGTATTAAATTTTAAACAACAGGTTTATGAACAAACCTATTTGCTCACTAATTTAGCTGTACACCTGCACTCCTATAGTGAACAGAGAATAACATGAATTATCCTCATTATTTCTGATAACAAGTGTCCTTTTAGATACAGAGTATGATTATTAAAAGTATTTAAAAGGTGCTTATTTTGCTGCTTTTCTGTCTTTGTGTTTAACTCTGAAACACGTGACATTTTACACTTCATTCATATTTCATATTCTGTTAAATAAATGTGTAAAAGTTTTTTCACTGGTTGGTTGGTGAGTCTGAGTTTCTTACTTTGTCCAGCAGGCTGTTGTGCAGCGTGTTGGAGGCACGAAACGTGACCTTGATGTAGCAGAAACATTTGATCATGTAGATAGTCAGCAGGGTGCTGACCATCGCAGCGAACCCCAGCTGATAGAAGAGGAGGTCAGGGTTCGCCGAGAGGTTTCCTTGATCAGCAGATGTCACGTTGCCGAGCTGAGAAACAAAACAACAGAGAGAGTCAGGCTGTGGAAAAACATCAGCTGCCTCTGGGCACGGTGGTAAGCGGGGAGAAACTTTTTATAACTCATGCATGCAAAAAAAAAGTGCAGTTCTCCCAGTGTCCACTAGGTTAAGACTTTTAAACTCTGTACTGGAGCTCCAAGAGAAGGACAGAGATCTCTAAACTCTAAATATGATTTACACATCACAAGAAACCGTCATTTCATCAGCGTGGAGTGTACGTATCTCACCCCGTGTCCTGACCACAACCACAAGCTGATCCAGCCGTAGCTCAGAGCCATCGTGATGGTCATCAGGACGAAGACGAGGAAGATGGAGAAGCTTGCACAGTATCCTGCAGGAAGAAAACAGGCTGAAACCTCTGCTGTGTTTATTCACCGTCTTAAATACACAGAATATTTGTGTTTTTACCACCTGCTGCCCGACAGTACTCTTGAAACGTCCTCCAGGTGACCGAACTCTTCCTGCTGATCTCCTGACGGATCAGCTGATCAGCAGCTTCACAGAGAAAACAAACATCATAAATCCATGTTTTTGATTTTCAGACTAAAGTGAACCACATCAGTTTTTATCTGATAACCACATATCATTAAGTTACTGTTACTGAGAATTATTGAGTCGAAATGAAGAATCGAATTGATGACTCAGTTCAGAGTGGATTTAACACGACATATTTTGGTTTCAGGATTAAACGTAGGAGAGAATTTTGCAGAATTTTCTGCATTAAGGAGTTTTACAGTTTAACAGCACAAAACTCCAGATGAGAGGAGGACTGTGGCGACTAAACTTCAATTTGAGGGAATGCTCAGTCACACGTAGGGGTGTGCGATCTGATGATCTTCGACTGTGAAGGATTCAAAAGTGACGATGATCTGCCAAAGCTGTATCTCTAACATGTATCTGAATAAATGTCTTTTCCTCTGAAACACTTTATTTTAACCACAGAATTGATGTGTTACACGTTGATAAAAGTAACTTAGTTTTAAGTGATTTTTATTATTATTCATACGACTACCTTTCATTTTTGAAAATGTTGACTTTTGTGTGTTCAGTCTTATTTAAGAATGAGACCAACAGTTAAGATAAATGTTAAGTTGTTTGTTGTTAAAATCTGAATAAATCCAGATAAAATTGTGATTCTGGAAAAAAAAAAGACAATATGAAATTTTTCCATATTTCCATACTTACGTTTGCAGTCAGATGAAGGTGCATCAATGTCCTCGCCCACTATGTCAAAGGCTGTGAGGAAACAAAAGTTTATATATCAGGTGTTAAATATGAGGAAATGGAGGCTGAAGGTTGTGGATGTCTGCTCTGTGTACCTGGATTGATAATCCCTCCGTTCATGTGGTTGTTCAGCTCCACCGTCGTCTCTCTCTCTTCTCTCTGAGGCTGTCAGAAAAATCAGAATCTCTAAGTTTCGTTTCGCTGCAACTTTAAAAGCATAAATAAAGTCAGTAAAGATAAATACCCGCTCCTCCTGAGTTTGGTGTTTGTTGATGAGCTCGGCGTAGTGTCCCTCTGCCTCCATCAGATCCAGGTGACTTCCTTTTTCCAGGACTGTCCCCTCCTTCAGGACCAGGACTTCATCACAGGACTCCATGTACTGAGAGAGAGAGGGAGAGAGAGAAAGAGAGAGAGAGAGAGAGAGAGAGAGAGAGAGAGAGGTTTAGTGTCTGTGAAACGGAAGAGGAGAGGCTGAGATGTAAAGAGACACAGACCTGCAGCTGGTGGGTGACCAGGATGACGGTCTTCCCCAGCAGCTGCTTCCTGATGCACTCCTCAAAGATGTGTTTCCCGACAGGAGCGTCCATCGCAGACAGAGGGTCGTCCAGCAGGTACAGGTCTTTCTTGGCGTAGACGGCTCGGGCCAAACTGATCCTCTGTTTCTGTCCCTCTGACAGCTTCACGCCCTGCTCTCCTAACTGGAACACACACACTCTCACATTGACCTGAATATGTTTGTAATCGTCTTATAAACTCTCCTGACACACAGAGAGGGAAGAGTTTCTCACCAGAGTCCGATCACCGTGAGGCAGGATGTTGAAGTCGGCCTCCAGGCTGCAGCTGCTGATGACTTTGTCGTACCTGCAGAAGATCGACACGTCACCATCGAGTATCAGCTGTTAGCTTTGACCCACAGGGACCGGACTCTCTACCTGGACTGGTCCAAAGGTTCCCCCAGCAGGATGTTGTCCTGGACTGTCCCGTAGAAGATCCAGGCCTGCTGAGAGACGTAGGCGATCGATCCGTCCACGGAGACCGATCCCTGCTGCAGGTGCATCTTAACAACACAAACAAAAACGCAGATTTGAATATTGTCATTATTGAATTTAACAAACACCAGTGTGAGTTTTCATAACAGCTGTTTAAGACCTTCCTGATCCTGACACTTCCTGAAGATCCTCTCTTAATTTTTCTTTGTAAATCATAGTTGGACTTCGCTGTAGTTCTGCTCTCAGTCTGTTCCAGAATTTCCACAAATAAAAACCTAAAATTTTCTTTGTTTTTAAAAACACTGAGAATCTGGAAAACTTAAGAGTTATCGATCCCTACATGATAAAACTTAACCTATAATTGTCTTATTCATAAAACACCTAATTAAAGTTAATAAATGCTGTTTAAATTGTTTTGTTTAGTGCATTATTTTATCAAAGGGTTATATAAATGTATATAAACACCTTTTAAAAACTGTCTCTGCTGTTATTGGTTATAAATTCCCTGTTAGTGCATTATAAGCCAATTAATATGTCCATTTATCCTAAATTAAAATATATATTAATTAATCAGATTTAATTTATAAAGCACTTTTCATACATAGAATGTTACATAAAGTGCTGTCCATTTAAGTAGGATATTAAAAACAATAAAATAGAATAAAATAAATAAAACTAAAAAAAAATAAAATCTGATTACTGTGAATAAACATCTAATATATGTTTACAGAAAAATAGATGTGTTAATTATGCATTTATTGAAACTTGTTAACGTTGTTAATAAGCATCCTATGAGGTCTTGTAGGCAGTTTATAATCTATTAATAATTAGAAAATGAGACTTTTTTTGCCGTCTGTTCAGTCGCCCTCTGGTGGCCAAAAGAAAGAATGCAGTTTTACAGTCTTGAGGTAAACACCACGCAGACTGACAGGTGGACTCACCTGTTCCAGCAGACTGCAGATCAGCGATGTCTTCCCACTGCCAACATTTCCACACACACCGAGAAGTCGGCCCTGCAGGAAACACACAACATCACCAACACAGAGCAGCTGATCGTGGACACCACTAGATGGCGACAAAGTGTCTTCAAAATAGACAGACTGGTGTGAGAGGCCAACCCAGTGTCACATCTCCAAAGAGGTCTCATCAGGCTGACCTTCTGCAGGGTGAAGGAGATGTTCCTCAGGGTGGGCAGCACTTCAGAGTGACTTGTTTTGTTCACCAGGTCGTCCCTGTCCTCCGTTTCAGCTAGGTGGGTCGGTTTGGTCCAGGACAGAGTGGCGTTCTCCATGACGACGGCTGCACAAGCGTTGTCTGTCTTTCGGAGGATGTACGGCTCTGGATTCTCGATCAGCAAAAACTTCTGCAGCACAAACAAACACAAACTCCTGCACTCTCAAACATGCGGGTGAGTCTTCGCGAGTGTTGTGTTGGATAAATCGCTCACCTCGAGGCGCTTCACACCTAGAGCAGCTTCAGCCACGAGCTTGACTGCGGCGGGGACCATGGACAGGAAGAACCTCATGCAGTTGAAGACGGTGATGACGGGATACGCCTGAAAGCAGAAGAGTGAGAGTCGACTGGAAGCTGCTGTCTGCTGTGAAGGACGCACTCCTCTTTACGACAGCTGTCGTGGTTTTACTCACTGTGCTGGTGTTGATGGGTAAACCGAGGGAGGTGTGGACGATGAAGGTGCTCATGATGGCGATGAGAGGGGCGTGGGGGGCAATGGTCGCTACAACATTCTGGATGAGGGCAGCTTTCTGCAGCATCCTCCTCTCTGACGTCCTGATGTCTGACTTACACAAACACAAAAACAGACACACAAACAGAGTGTGACTCTCTCAGTTATCACAATTCACACTATTTCAGGCGCTTCATTGGACGACTGTGTTTGATAAACACCCTTTAAAACACGAGAGTGAATCTGTTGAGACTCTTCCTACCTGTTATCTTGCTGCTGAAGACCTGCTCCCACACGTACATCTTGATGAGTTTGATGTTAGCGAGGAGCTCGTTGGTGGTGCGAACACGACTGGAGGTCGTGGGGGCTGCGCTCTGCTGGATGTGATAGACGAGTCTGGTCAACACAACCTGAAACAAACAGAGAAAATATGATTAGTATTGATGAAGTGGTAGAAATCAATTGGATTCTTTTCCTTAAAGAGTCTCTGATCAGCGTAAAAAGTTTTCATTACATGCACACAAGTTCATTGTCCTTCAGGAACAAGATAATCGTGTCGATTTCATTCACAGTTAAATCATATTTTCTGGCATAAATCTCTGATCTGAGCTCTTCTCATCAGATATTTCTCCTGACGCCTGCTCTGTTCTGTCCTGAACAGTCTTTGCTGCTGCTGCTTTATCATCCCACAGACTCATGTGGAGCCTGTTGGAGCCTTATATCATTATTAATGCCAGAGAGTGTGGATGCAAACACTTCTCGATCAACATATTTGGTGGCTATAAAGGTTATAACTGTCTTCTGTGCCATGATTTGTTCTTCGGTTTTGTTATTTGAGTTTATTTTCTGTGTTATTTTTTAGTGTTTCTGTTCCCCTGTAGTCCTGTCTTGAGAGTTTTCAGTTTGTCTTTGACTCTGTTTCCCTCCTGTTCTCTGTGTTTTATTCTTTAGATCAGTTTTCAGTGTTTATTTCCTGTTTTATTTTGTAGGAGTTGATTCCTAGTTTTCCCTCCTTCATTAATCACTCATCAGTCTCACCTGTCTCATCTGTCTCACCTGTTGCTCGTTTCCCAGTGTGTATATAGTCCCTGTCTTCCCCTCTGTCCTTGTTGGTTCATTGTGTGCGTTTGTCGGTCAGTGAGTGTCTTTCATAGTCATTGTCATCGTCTCCTTGTGTTTTTTCCCCCCAGTGCCTTTTCTCAGATTTTTTTAGTTGAACATTTTGAAGGACGTTGATTTTGAGCACAAGACAGTAAAAACGATGACCTTTGAGGGACCTCGGAGCTCCCTAATTTACTTCAGATGTTCCCAGATTTTCTTTAACTGTCTGTCCTGCAGATTTTAAACAGTCGTGTTATTTTATATGTTTGCTTTTTAGCTGTGGCTTTAAATCTGACGTTTCATCGCTCTTATTTAATACTGGAACCAAAGTGTCTCATACTTTTGTGAACAACCACACAGAACTTTTTTCAAAAATCACTCAGGATATTATTGATGAGAATTTTAATCAGAAGAAATTGTAGTTTGGGTGAGATTCACTCAGTTTGACCTGTTATTGCTTTAACAGTCTTCAGCAGCAAATGTCAATGGCACCCTCTGCTGGACAAAAAGGTGAAGTGCCAGATGATGAGTATGTATAATGTGTTATCTTTAATATTATGTAATTCAAATCATCTCTGTGCTGAACAACAAAACGTCTCCGAGTATCAAACTCTCTGAAAACAAACTTTAATTTTTCTGCACTGTCAGCGTTATCTCTGTGTGTCCGTGTACCTGGAGAACGATGAAGACGATGAAGATGGAAATGCCGATGAGGGCGGTGTAGTCGAGGATGTAGCAGGTGTACACAGAGGAGATGATGAGCAGGAGGGGGAAGGGCAGCACCAGCGGACCCAGGAGGACGGCGCCGAACAGCTTGTTACTGTCTCTGGTTAAAACATTGACCATCTGAGAAGAAACCCAGGAGACACACACGTCCTGTCCACATGAGCCCCTGAGAGCAGCAGAACATCTACTTCATATCTAGATCTAAAATGATCATCACCTGTGCCGCAGAGACTCGGCTGTGCATCCCCAGAGCGATGATCTTCTTGAAGCCCAGCATGAAGAAACCGGTTTTCAGTCTGACTCCTGTTCTCAGGTTGATGGCCCAGCTCAAGGAGAGGCAGCAAACCTTGAAGAGCTCCACACTGACCAGACCAAAACTCAGAGCCAGGCCTCTCCAAAATGTAGCCGACTCTTCGTGGATGATGTGGCCGAGGATCTCATGGAAAATGACACCCTGACAGGATACAAGATTAAGACGAGGAACTTCTACAGAGATATCGAGGAAAATGTTGTTTAAATACGTCACATTATGTGACCTTGAAGTAGGGATGGGCGATATGGGCTAAAAAATTGATCACAATAAGATTTGCCATTCTGCCGATAACGGTAAAAGTCCCGATAAAAATATTATAATTCTTATCTACATTTTTGACTCATTTTGTCTTGAGAAAACCAGTTGGAAAAGTCAAATAAGATACTGAACCGCAAGATGAAGAGGTCGGTTATGGAGAAAACTGATGAGCTCAAACAAGTCTCAACTGTGAAAACATTTTCATTATTTGTTGAAAACTCTTATTACAAAGAGTGAACATCAGCAGATCCTCTGACTGATGTTGGGCAGACCTGACTGAGCTCATCTAAACTCCAGTCTTAAAGGAAATCCCTCATGTGGATCCTCGTTCAGTAACCAGCTGCTCAGAAACGTCTTCTTCATCACCTTCGGCCATGTTTGTTTATTATTCTGCTCTGTGTGGGCAATGGCTGCAAATCTGTTCGCGCTTACATCATCAACTTTTATTTATCGTATTTATCATGAGATGGCGAATATTTATCATGGAAAAATTTTCTGATGATATAACGTGAACGATAATTTATCGCCCACCCCTACCTTGAAGTATTGCACCTTTTTCTTAGAGAGGCTGACTAGTATAGAACTGTCTTTAAAAACCCTCAAAAAACACAAAGTGGTGTCCCACAAGGCGCTATTCTCGGTCCCATTCAATTCATAGTTTCTATCAATAACTTGTGTAGAGATGTTGTTTCGCCAAAGTTTAGTTTTTATGCTGATGATGCTGCTATATTTCATCTTCTATCCTTACTTTTAGATGAGTTAAGAAATGAGTTGCTCTGAATAAAACATAATGTTCCATGTCTCTGAATAAAAGATTTTAAAAACTGTTTTTAGATCTGGTGTCATGGCTGCGATGGATGAAAAAGACTCACCGAGCCGACAAACAGGGCCAGCGTGATGATGACGTTGATGCAGAGGACGCAGAGCAGTCTGTCTCTTTGAAAACGAAGCAGCACTCGTTTTAGGGAGGCTTTCTGTGGACCGACGGCACACACCTCCTGTTCCCACAGAGTCTGCAGCCTGCGCACACATGAACAAAAACATACCAGGCCTTTTCAAGGACTTCCACGGAGAATCAGAATCAGAAAATTCAGTCAAGAGTTGAGTAAACAAACTTTTAAGGCGGTTTTTATAAGTCTCACCTGTCTCCGTTGGTGTCCGCTCCATCCAGAGGAGACAAACTAAGTGAACTGAAGTCCAGCTCTTTCCGGGACATGGACCACATCACAGGAGTCATCCAGGACATGGTGGTGAGGGACAGGAAGCTGGTTCTGTCCAGATGGCTCAACCTCAACATCGAACAACCGGCAGAGGAATCAGATACTGACTCAGCATGATTGAGATTTAGAAAAACACTGACCTTGAAACCGGACTCTGTGACTCACCTCGAACCCGTCACCGTCTCTGATTGACTGGAGGAATAACTGGGAGGAGGCTGGAGTTTCCTCCAATCAGCTGCTGGATCCCCTTTCCCATCCATCCTGAAACTGAACTCAGATCAGTCTGTGGATAAAGATACAGTGAGGGATTTTTGCCAATTAAAAAAATCATGATTCAGATAAAATTAAAAACCTGCTTTACGTCTTCAGTACGGCTGCACGATATATCGTTTGAGCATCGTCATCACAATGTACGTGTGTGCGATAGTCACACTGCAGAGCCTGCTGGTGTTTTACCGAGAAACGTATGCCCGCTGAGAATTACTTCGGGAACATTCCTCATCACTGTTTATCCCCACAAATAAGAACTGTTTGGATTTTAAATTGTACATTTCCGTGGACCACTCCACTGTAAGTGGTGCACATTTCTGCGAGTTGGATGCGTTTCTCGGCACAACACCAGTAACAACAACAACAACAACAACTGCAAAATGAGCAACGAACAAGAGAAAACCACCGAAAATGAAGATTTGTTGCTAAAAAGAAAAGGAAAGTCAGTTATCTGGAATTATTTCAGTTAAAAGAAGGATGATGTCGACCAAACAAACATCTGTTTCCACAATTACGTCCCAGAACAATAAAAACTACAAATATCTCTAAGACAGACAGAAGCCATTCTACTAACATTCACAAAAAGAGGAAGGTTAAAGCAGGTTAACTGTCCTCAAGATTTCAGCAGAAAGTCAGATTCAGGTCATCTGGAGAAAATTTCTCTTTTTTTTGAACATCCTAATATTTATCGTAGGGTTGACAAAAATTGCAATATTAGTTTTTTCCAATATCGTGCAGCCCTAGTATTCAGTTTCACAAAAAATGTGTCTCACTACATGTGGAAAACCTAGATGTAGATGTGACAAGAGTGGGTCTGATTGATTGATTGATTGATCGATTGTTTGATTGAGAGCTTCCTGACATATGGTTGATACAGTATGATGGTCTAGCTGTAGATCTTAAAACGGCTCAGTGGATTAGACTCTCCTCTTCCATCTCTGAAAGAAATCCACTCGAGCACGTTCTCCACCCAACAAACCAACCAGACTGTTTGTGTTTGTCTACTCATGGACAAATAACCTTAAAAACACCCTCTACCCCCGAGCTGTGGACAGACTATCAAACCTATAAAACCCCCCACTCCACAAAAAAAGGACAAGTACACAATGTTGATCCCACATCCACCAAAAGTTTGACACTCACTCAGTAGCTGCGATAATCTCTTGCTGCCAAATTTACATTTTCTACCTCGGGAAACTCTAAAGTCTGTCAACTCTATTTAATCCCTGAGGTAGCTCACTAATCCTCACACATCAACACACCAACACTGTGGTTACCTAAAGTACTCTAACTGTGAGTGACTGTTGTCGCTACCCGACCGTCATGGAAACCTGATCTATACCGCACATGTGTGAAACATACGTCACTTCCTCTCCTCATATTTCAATGCATTTTACATCAGTTAGTCGTTGCTATTGCTACCTCCCTTACCGTACTGCGTAAGTGCAAATTTACCTTAAAAGTTTTATTTAAACTACGACCAATTTCAGAAACCACTTAGCCATGTGACAGGCTAGCTAGCAGGAGGCTCCAGAGCTAATGCCGAGGCATTCGTCAGAGCTCCTGCCCAGCACAGTGAGACCTTTTGGGCCACAGAGAGCGCCACCATCCTTAAACTAGAAGTAGGAACCTTTGATCGTGAAACTGGGCACCATTCTCTTGACTTTCCGGCGCCCTGCTTCAATCAAGGGAAGCGCTCCTTTCAAACCGCCAGGGGCAAAGAATTGTCGAGCTGTCGCAAAGATGGCTAATAGAGGAAGTGACGTATGTTTCCCACATGCGCAGCACAAATCGGGTTTCCGGACGTATCAGGAAGCGACAACCGTGATCGCTGATGTCTGACTTTGCTCATGTTTTCTGAAACACGTGCCTCAGAGTTGCTGCGTCACCGGATGACTCAGGTTTCTTTAGCCCTGGGTGCTGTCTGCAGGTATTTCTTGTTGTGCTGTTGAATGTTTTATAAACCAGATCAGACAACGACGTGCTCTCAACTCCAGAAGTGACGCTGTACTCGTGTAGCGCTATTACTCGTGCTGCAGGTAATGACAGAGACGTACGCAGGAAATTACGTCACTAGGACCAATGAAGCATAGTGTGGATGTGGTAAGATCTTTCAGTATCAGCTGGATGGATGACAACAACCAGTATCTCCTGTGATCTGATGTGTGGTCCTCCTTGCATTGCTGACACTGGCTCTGAATAATCTCCTGATGTGACGACTTTGGGTTCCAGCTGCTGGTTGGTACTGGGTACATGTCTACTGATCTGAAGTTGTCCACTGGTGTATTACGATAACTCAAGGAGACTCAGGTCAGGCTCTGACTGACCAGCTTTCGCTTATTCCATGAGAGATTTTGCATTTTGCACAGATTTCTCCGGGGCCAGTTGTTACGTGAGTAAACTTCCAAGTGCTGGTAAAGGTAAAGGTTTTAAACTCCTTTTTCTTGCTTGGAATGGCACATTTTTGCAAAATGGGTCCATTTATTGCACATTTTGCAGGGTAAACCTTGTTTCCACAGCAGCCACATTTGAGTCCGTGAACCTGATCAGGGAGTCCCCTTGTCTTGTCTTGTCTTGTCTTGTCTTGGAACGACCACTGTTTTCTCCAACTATAATTTTAGACCTTGTAATATCTACTGCTTTGTCCAGCGATAGCTCTGAGAGTCTAGCAGCTTCTCTCTCGCTCTCTTGGTGAATGAATATTTCTTTCATACTTCCTATTCGCTCGATATTTTCCACCAGAGGACGGATCAGCCTAACATGTCATAATTAAACTCCAGAAAATCACACGTCCACAGTTTGTCCTCACAGTACTGTCTGCACATTCAAGAACACAGCGGATTGTGCTAATCCTCTGGAGTTTTCTTTAATCTACAGGCAAATAAATCCAGGTACATTTATGCTAACATGAATACTTTAATTCGTTTAATGACTGGATGTACTCACCTAAAGTTCTTCTCCTCATGGACTCTTCTCTTTGTCACATTTCAGTACTTCCCAGAAGGAAACAGTCAGTCAAATTGGAGGTGAACTGGATCCACCAGCTCTTATCTGTCAGACGCTCATCCCACAGCAAACATGTCAGTTAGCTCACCTGCCTGAGGCTCACCTGCTGCTGGGACCATCTAACACACCCACCTTTAACCACGCCCACCTTTAACCACGTTCACCATAGTCGTACAGTTGAATCTGCTTTATGCTCAAAAAAGAAAAAAAGTGTTAATCCAGTTGTACACAAAAACTAACAAACAAATGTTGACAGTTATCTGATGAACAGTTCACCTTTTATAGTAACCACATGAGCTAGCCATCATATGCTAACATTAGCTTAACCATATTTTAAAAGCTAATGCTAACAGATATGTCTTTACATTGAGCTGATGTGTGCCTTCATTAAGAGATAAGTCCCTTAAATTACACAAATTATGGCTAATCAAGGACCAACGGTTGGAGATTAATAATCTAAAATGACTCATAATCTACCAGGAGAGCTAATCTGATGCTAACCTATGTGTGAAGGGAAAGGTGGTCTGGGAGAATATTACATTACTGAGAGTTCATGTTTTTACTATCAAAGTTTATGTAACCTGCTCCTCGCCACTGACTTCCTGTTCATGTTCAAAATAACTTTACGATTTTACTGATCACTTTTTTATCTGAACTATTGACCCGGGGACCTCCTGGCTCCTCTTAAGTCGAGGTTTAGGACTAAAGGTAATCGAGTCCTTCCTGTCAGGACTCCTTGACTTTGGAGAATGAGGAGATTCGGCGTGCTGAATCAGTGACATCTTTTAAACCACCGCTTAAACTCACTTTTTTAAACTTGCTTTTTCACAATGCTTTTTAATTGCCACCAAACCCGTTTTCAAGCTTGTTTGTGATTTATATTATTTTATCTACATACCTATTATTTTAATTTTAGGTATTTAATTATTATTTATTTGTTGAATTTCCCTTCAGGGATAAATAAAGTTCCTCTTATTATTTATACAATTATTTATTCAACAATTTTTACTCCTTACCGGTTACTCATCCTTTTATTCCTGTTTTTACCATTTTCACATGTTTTAATATACCTCTGCCATCATTATTTTTTCTAAATTTAATATAATTTATCTATTCTTTCTCTTTTATCTGTCCTCTTCTACCTTCTCCTTTCTCATCTGACCTTAACCCAAGTTTGGCTCCACCTTGTGGTCAAAGAAAGAATGTCAAAACTGTGACTCAGTGAGAGTAAAGGTGGAGGGACAGCTTTGGACGCCATTTATTGTTACATTTTCACATTTTATAAGCACAAATATAAAATATACACAAACATGATCACAGACTGAAACAGCAACAGTGGTGTGTTGGAAATATGAAGTGAATAAACCCACACTCTTGTAGTAAACCAGCTTAACTGAACAAAAGATGTTTTTTTTACTTTTATGGAGAAGTTATTTCTTTAATGCTGTCTGAGTTTGATCACAGGAAGACCTCAAATTAAAGAACTGGAAGCATTATTTTAAGGAAATGTTATTTAAAGGTGAATATGAAGCATAACTCAGTCATAAGTTTGTATTTAGTTCAGTCTGCGCTTCAAAATTTACAAATTTAGAAAACATAAAACTAAAACGTTTGTGACTGATGTTATTTAAACAGTAAAAAAAAAAAACTGGATTTAATATTCCTCAAAATATTAATGTAGTAAATAAATAAGATTGAGGACAACTCATGAGTTTTGTATTTTTAATGATACATTCAGTTCCCTTGTGTTGTAATGTTATTTTTGTGAACCTCTAATGTGAATTACGACACATTTTCTTCCAATTAACTTCAGCTGTTGGACTTATTAACATTCAAGTGTCTAAATAATGTGAATTTAATTAATGGACTTTGGTCTAAAATTTTCTATATCCTATATTTACAAGATATAATAAAAAATATTCAAATAAATAAAAAGGCACAAGACAAGAGGTCGATTTCCTTAAAGGATGGTTGAAGAGAAACGTGGAATTATGACACCAGTTAGTTATAAATGAAAAATAATTTCTCAGTAAGTGTTTGGAAAAGCCTGTTAGACTATCTAAAAAATGTCTAAAAAACAGGGCTTACATTTCTGTGCTGATAACGTCTTCATCATCGTTCACTGTGTTATGTTTAGTTAGAAGTTCATGCTGACCACAGATAAAAAAGTGACAAACACCATCCCATAAAATCCTGATCTCGGGACTCTGTGATGATAATCTGGTCGCACTAATCTCTTTCCAGGAGTTCTGGTGTAGATGTCAGACTGAGACTCCCTTTTCTCAGTGTGTTGTTATCGTCTACAGTCTGGGGAGAATGGAGTCCGACTTTAGAGGTGGCGTCTCAGTGCACGGTGTTCGCTGCAGTTGCATGGAGATATTGTTGGTAAATTGCAGCCAGTGGGTTACAGATGTGCATTGGAGTCAATGTCTGTTTATAAACAAGAGTGGCGGGTCTCCATCTGAACCCTAATCAACACATTAGGGATCATGTAGTTCAGAACAAACCGGCTCTTTTGGCCCCAAAGTGGCCCTTCACGGTGAAGTCACATACAAGAGCCGAGTCTTTTGCAGCGGACACATCCTTTGGCTTTCTACATCGGCAAAGTTAGTGTCAGTGTTCCCGCAGTGAAGTCAGGAAACCTCAAAAGACAAAATACTTAAAATCTGAATTTAAAGCTCCTATAAGGAACTTTCTATTTTGTTTTGTTTCTGGCGCCTCCTGTGGACAAAGTGACAACTGCGATTGATTTGTCCGTCTTATCTTTTTAACTGTTTAAGTTGTTTTCTCAGATAAAAAATCTCATCCTGTTGTTTTTTTTTTAGTCAATTAAAACAGACGTAAAATATTGTCTGACCCCCCCCCCCCCCCCCCCCGCAGCAGTTATGAAACAAGGTAAAGATACTGTCAATTCCAAAATACGGTAAATAACCGTAATTTTTGATGATTGTTTTTGCTTGTTTTGTTTGTCAGTAATTAAGAGGTCTCATTATCAGAATCATCAGATTTTTGTCGGTGACCTCAAAGTGCTCACTCAGTCACACTTCCGACTTCCAGAAATGTGGCTGCCAGTTTGTGCCTATGACCTCTCCGACCACCACCACACAACACTCACAAATCACACACACACTGGGAGCAAGGTGGGCTAAGTGTCTTGCCCAGGGACACAACGGACAGACTAGAGATGGGGGGGAATCGAACCGCCAACCTTCCGGTTATCGGTCGACCGCTCTACCTCCTGAGCTACCACTACCGCCTAATTTTAGTCTGTTTCATGACCATTTCTAAACTCTGCTTTAAAGGTGGCTTCAAACGTTTTGATAATTGTTTTTGAAAAAATACAGTTAATTTTGGATAATTAATGAACATTTGCCCAGCTTTGCTCACTCTTCCTTCTTCGTCTTGTCTCTGATAGAAAACTGTCTCCGCTCTTGTTATTTATCCAATAATGCGCCTCCATTCTTCAAATGTTGGAGGTGGAGTGTGTGTTGGAGTGTGTCGTCGAGAAATTCTCCGTCCGAAAGCGAACCACCTTGCTGTTGGGGGGCGGGGAGTACAGGAAGCGGCAGGTGAAAACTTGACGGCAGGCCTTGCGGAAGTTCTCGGACAGGAAGGCGTAGAGGACGGGGTTTACGCAGGAGTTCCCGTAAGACAGGCAGTGGGAGACGATGCGAAAGGCGAAGGATGCGTCGTTCAGGGGGAAGTCGCCAAACTCCACCCACATGGCGATGATGTGATGGGGCATCCAGCAAATGGTGAAGGCGGTGACGACCAGGAGAACTGTCTGAGCCGTCTGAGAAGAGACAAAAGATAATAATAATAATAATAATAAATTTTATTTGAAAGCGCCCTTCAAAGCACCCAGGGTCACTGTACAATATTAAAAGCAAGACATTCGTGATAAAACAATAAATAAAACAATAAGCAATTTAAACAGATAAAAATCGACACAGGGAAACAGCTACAGGGAGTATGCGGAGCGAAACAGGTGGGTTTTGAGTAGTGTTTTGAAAGAGAGAAAGGAGTCAGTGTTTCTGAGATCGGGTGGTAGTGAGTTCCAGAGCTGGGGGGCAGAGCGACTGAAGGCTCTGCCCCCCATTGTACTGAGGCGGGCAGGGGGGACAGAGAGGTGGATGGAGGAGGAGGACCGGAGGGAGCGAGTGGGGGTGATGACGTGCAGGAGGTCGGACAGGTAGTGGGGGGCAAGGTTATGGATGGCCATGTATGCGAACAGGAGGAGTTTCTAGATGATCCGGTCTTTGATGGGGAGCCAGTGGAGGTGCTGGAGGACGGGGGTGATGTGGTGGTGTGTGGGGGTCTTTGTAATGATGCGGGCAGATGAGTTTTGGACCAGTTGCAGTTTATGGGGAGATTTCTGGGGGAGGCCGAAAAGGAGGGAGTTGCAATAGTCCAGGCGGGAGGTGACAAGGCTGTGAACAAGGACGGCGGTGGAGTGGGGAGTGAAGGAGGGGCGGAGTCTGTTGATGTTGCGGAGGTGGAAGTAAGCGGTGCGAGTAATGATGTTGATGTGGGAATGAAAGGAGAGTGTACTGTCGAGGATGAAACCCAGACTCTTTACCTGGAATGAACACCAGTGAACATCAGTCCGTAAACTTCCAGTTGACACTGAATAAAAAGTCAAAATCGAGTTTTCAGAGAAAAAAATCGGAATTTTATTTTTGGCCAAAATCGTGCCGCTCTACTTCTCCTGTACATCATATTTAAAACATACTTAGAAATACTTATTAAATCCACTAAAGATGCTTCATGCAGGACCCTGGTGGTCCAAAGATACCCTCCAAATACTCCCCACACTCTTCGCCTCTCAATCTTTGCCTCATCCTCTCCTGTCATCTATCAGGACCAAAACCTCATGCAGAGTTTCCTCCTGTCTGATCATAAACAGGACCCAGATGCTGTCCTCCAAAATAGTGTCATAACACTCCACAGACACTCCGCAAAAACCACGACAGTCAACTCAAAACTGAAGCTCCATCTGTGAGATAAATAGATTGAATATGCAGAAAAGTTTAACTGCGGGTGAACGGTGGACTGATGGATGAAGTGAGAGCTTCAGAAACCAAACAGAAAGAGGACGACAGGAGGTGGACGAGGGTCTGTGCACTTCAGAGCTGAAAAAACACAGAGCTGACGGGGGGACGAGTTCACTGACAACCCCTCGAGATTTTTGCAACCGATGAAAAATAAAGATTTCCTGCAAAGTGAAGAGCGGCACGCAACCGTCCCAAGAACTTTCCGTGAAATGTATTTTCCTGCATCATTTCAGCGTGAAGAGGAGCAGGAAGACGCAGGTGTGTGCTCGTGTGTCTGTTAGTGTCTTTAACATAAACTCCCTCCTCCATTACACTCCGTACTCACACCTCTCAAAGCGAAGTCAGTCTAGGACAGCGTTAAAGTCTGTCTCTGTTGAATTGTGTTGTTATAACAATCATATTTTCACATTAGCGTCAGACCACACCTGCTCTAGCTCTCATGATCCATCTCCATCATGTCACTTTTTCGTGTTTCAGCAGAAACAACTTCATGTAAATATTTCATTATTTACGTATTTTAAACACATGAGGGGGTAACATCTGGCCTCCCAGCTGTGAAATACTCCGTCTGTGAACAGCTGCTGGCTTTCAAATAAATGTAAGGTTAATAATAAACACTCTATAGGACAGTGAGTCGGTGCTAACGGCCTTAAATGATGAGTTCTGGTTCGTCTCTTTACTCAGATACTGAAGCTCTCATTTATTTCCGATGTGTGGGCTGGATGTCGCACTTTTTGGCTCATCGTCTTCATTTTTTTATGTTTTATTTTCGTTCAGGGCTAAAAAAAGAATTGATACGTCTTAACATTATCATTAAACACCTTCAGCATGATTTAGCATCAGTGAAGAGACTGTAAATACTGAAACAACACAGCAGCGTTGTAAAAATGAAAACGTCCGATTGTTTCCACAGAGACTCGAGTGTTTCTGCTGATTGGACTCGCCTCCTTGTTTCTCAAAGTCAGACTCTGAGGGAATCTCCTCTATTCTTAGTCTTGCTGTCTAAATATTTACCCAGCAGCCTTTGTTCCTGCTCCACTGACCCGCCGAGCCGCAGATATCTGGTGTAAACTGTCTGCTGCTAACTGATTTGACCTGCCGTAACAGGACGTCTGCACACTGTCCACCGTCAACAAGGGTGGCCCTGCTAACACCGGCTCTCTGACTGAGCCGGATCCTCCTGGTTTCACCTGCAGGCTTAGACAGGAACCACAAGGGGAGCTGGGCGAGTGAGACCGTCTGTTTGTGGCAACACCTGCGGCCTCATTTATCAACCGTGCGTACGAACATTTCCAAGCAAAGTCTGGAATTTATCAACCTGTACTTGTACTTAAGAACGTGAGTAAATGTAAGCACAACTCTGAGCATGCTTACTCACAAACCCTAGTGGTAGAACAGTGAAACTACATGTAGAACCCATTAAAGGAGTCACAGCGTTCAGCAATCTCAGACTTCACACACGTTCTCTGTTCCCTCTGTACAAAATTTATCAGTTAGTTATTGATCAGACATTTTGAATGGATTTCGCAACCAACACTAAACAGAATATGCCGGCAGAGTTGGATGGGATAAAATAAAAGCACCTTCACACAATTAAAGGTGGGCTAGGAAGGAATCGGTTAAAGAAGCAGCTTTTATATTTGTGGTGTATGAACAAAAACTCTTTAAATATCAGTCAATAGTTATTAGTTATTGATGATATTTGGTAATATAACGATATCTCTGTGTTCTCTTATGTCTGTCATTTTTGAGCGGTCCGCTCTTTCTGACTGTAAACAAAGCCGTTCTCCACCTCCTCTAACCTGATTGGTTGTGAGGCAGACGCTGCTCCCCCGTGTCGTTCAGGAGCCCAAACAAAGTTAGCGTGCTACAATATCGGACAGTAGAAACCAACCAGAAAGTTCGGAAAATTGTCTGAATCCTCCTTTGGCCACGACTGCCGACACAAGCAAGAAAACAAAGTAAATACCGGAGACTCTGGAGGAATAACGGGCGCTTAAAACGGAGGTAGACCGGACAAGAGCTAAAAAGCCGGGTCAACATAAACGATGGGGGACGCTTGGGGATCTTGGTGACCCTGTAACCTTTCTGCTGGACAGGTAAACCGCTTTAACAAAGTAAGACAAGTGTCTGTAACAGAAGTGTTTCTTGTCAAACGGACCTGCTGTAGCGTGTTGTAGCGCCATCGCTAAACTGTCCTCCCTCGGGTCCTGGACTATGTCACTTTATCCTCGTTGTAGAAGTCCTGCAAACATTGTGTTTGCTGGTAGTCTGTTGGCATCTACAGTAGCACCAATGCTTTTGACTTTCACCTTGACTGGGCCCCATTTGTAATGATCTGAAGTGTTTATCTGCATTATATCTGAATTTAATCGGAACGATACGAGCGAGCAGGAGCGTCTGTTTGTGGGCGGGGCTTGTGAAGGGGAGAGGAGGAGCTGAGGGGAAAACTGGTTATATAGTAACCATACAGTCTATATACAGTCTATGGTAGGTTCTCATTCATCCTGGTCATGGTTATCCAATTCTTCGTTGAAAAGGCAGATTGTTTGAGGTTCTCGAAGACGTTTTTGCCTTTCTTCCAAAATTCCAAATTTCAGAGGGATACACAAACCCGATTATTGCATAAGGAAAACTGATGTAAGATTAGGGACTTTTTTATGTCTTTGTCTGTGAAAATGGGTCTTTTATGTTCATCTGAGTACACCAAACTGTCAGCTCAGAGAGGCAGCTGTGTGTTTGAGCTGCTGGATTTGATCAACAGAAGAAGAAGATAAAGAAAGCAGAGCTGATGGACTTCCTGTCACACTCACAGACACAGAGAGAGAGAGAGAGAGCTGAGCGAGCGCTGCATGATGATCGATAACCCAATCACTCTAATTATTGAGAAATAGCAGCTGGATGATAAAACCCCTCTGACAGTCCCAGCGACTCTCTGCTTTCATCATCATTTTCATCATTATCTTCCTCCTCATCATCAGCTGACCTCAGACCAGGACAGGAGTCTGCAGGACATGAAACGAGATTAATTCAGGGACTGTCAGAGGATCATTGGAGCCTTCAATCTGGACATCCTCAGGGACCGCTCACAAGAACTCTGTCAGACCTCCAGTGAAATCTCGTTTCCGTTAGAGCAGCTCAACGACATCTAAAGTCTTCAGGAGAGATGGGCGAGTAAATATAATAATATGAAATATGATAACGAGGTTTGGACGACAACTGTGCCAAAGGAGAGAGGAGAGCAGGGAGAGGAGCAGGAGGAGGAACGAGGAGGTGGTTGTTTCTGTACGTCTGAAAATCCAAGGGGGCGGAGTAAATGTGATGGTAGTGAAAAAATAAAATCTCTTATTCAATTTTGAGTTTTATCACCAACATTGATCAAAAGCCTCTAAAGTAGAGGGTTTAAATACGGTCCCTTTCAGTTGTTGTACAGGTGACTTTTAGAAAAATTGATATTATCCTTTTTTAGTTTAGTTTTTATCGTGTTTATCAAAGTTTTTCAAAGCTTAAAGCACTTTTAAGTTTGATTCATTTGACGCAGATTTCATAAATTAGAGGTTATTTTTTGTCTCTCCTAAAATTGAAGCACCTGCTGAATGGAAAACCTCAGGAACCTCTGCCAAAGAAATCAGACACTTCACTCTCATGTGAAGAAGACGGGTAGATCAGGCTTAGCTGAGCGGTTTCTAAATGTTTTTTCCACTGCAGGACGTTTTTTTTCCAGGTGGGGACGTCTATTCTTCACTCCTGTCAAACCTGTCAGAGATTTTTGCAGTTTGCCAGAACTTCCTCGAGGGTCCACCTGAAGTCCACCCAAACCTCCATGAGGACAAACAGGGAACTTTTCTCAAGGTGGAAATTCAAAGACCGCAGAGATAGTTTCCCAAACTATTCACACCGAGTGAACTCTCAGCACCTCCAGCTCACCTTCTTTAAAAACCTCACATTATTTAAAAACTCTACCTGGTCCCAAATGATTCAAGAAATATCAGCGGTGTGGAAGTGTGGAGTTACAGATGAGTGAGGGGAGGTTACCTTTCTTTTGGAGCGTTCAGATTTCTTGGAAATGTTCTTCATCTTTTTATGGAGATGAAACAAAACCTGAAAACAAACCAAACATCAAAAATACAGAGTTATCTCACAGTCGCAGACGAACAGAGTTTGACCGAAATAAACGAACAAGAAATGGCAATAACAGTGACAGAGGGGACCAGTGCCCCACTTCCCATTAAAACCAGTTAAACCTCTTCAACTCCAACTCTGCAGGATAATTATGACACGTGTGTTTTAATCTGAGCCCATGCAGTGACTTCCACTACAGAGTCGTGTCTTTTCTGGTTTCTGTGTTTGAAACCCTCTGATCTTCATGAGGAACATAATTCTGGGATTGTTGAACTTCTTGCTCACGTCTCCCTCACAGAGACGTAAATCTCTCCCCGTCTTTTCTCTGAATGTCTTTTCTACAACTCTGTAACCTGTTGCCAATTCATGTTATTGTTGAGGAGATGGTCCTCTGAGTGTTAACATGACTTCTCAGCGTTCAGTTGTCTCAACTTAACTCAACTTTATTTATACTGTAGAGGGACTTTAAAAAACAACCAAAGCTGACACAAACTGCTGTAAGACAAAAACATAAAACAACAATAAATCGTAGTTTTAAAATATAATAAAAAGCAATAAAACAAATGCCATCTCATGCTGGGTCAAAAGCCAAGGAGTAAGAGTGGGTTTTCAGATGGGCTTTAAAAATGGACGGTGAGGGAGGGAAAATCATCCCATACTGAAAAAGCTCTGTCCCTGCTGATTTACAAAACATCAAATTGAAAAATGAGCATAAATTTAAATCATAAAACAATAAAACTTTTCAATTTCATTATTTAACAAATTATCTTTTCTCTACTTTTATTGAAATAAAAGCTTTAGGTTCATTACAAACCGCTTGAATCTTATTTCACCTCAGCTGTAATCTCTCTAAATCATATTGGAAATGTTACACATTTAGTCCAAATAATGGCTCTTAAAACCCATAAATAACAGAATGACTAAAACCGATTTTTAGATCTGTGAACCTGTGTTTTATTTTGAAAGTCGTGGCCGGTACTTCCAGTGTGTGTCTCCGTGCGCTTGACTTTTACGCACAGCTTTTATGATCTCCAGGTATCTGTGTGCGCACTTTGCTCCTTCTGCTCTGTTATTAATCTGTTTTTACAGCAGCTGAGAGTCAAACATTATCCCGTTAATGAAGCAGTTATTGTTTTTTTAAACTGACCTTTGCGTAGCAGCAGCTGATGAGCAGCAGCGGCAGCAGGTATCCGATCACCAGGATGGTCACCTTGTACGTGGGTTTGGAGGCTCCGGACCACCGCTCCCAGCAGAAGGTACTGTTCGGGGCTTGGGGGTGGTTGGTGAGGACCTGGTGCTGCGCCACAGGAATCGAGCACACCACAGAGAGTGTCCAAATTACGCACACGCCAACCAGCGCGTTCCTGCGGTTCCGGACGCACGAGGACTTGTTGGAGAGCACCACGGCGATGTAGCGATCCACGGACATGGCCACGAGCGTGAAGATGCTCACCAGCATGCTGACGGTGAAGAAGTAGTGTCCGAACTTACAGATGAAGGCTCCGAACACCCACTCCGGCAGGGAGTAGATGGTGGCCTGGAAGGGGACGCAGAAGAGGAGGAAGCTGAGGTCCGCCACGCTCAGGTTCAGGATGAAGATGTTGGTCGGGCTGCTCGAGTGCTTCACCCCTCCTGCTCCACCTCCGCCGGTGTACCTCACCTTCCCGATCACCAGCATCACCAGAGAGTTCCCCACCACCCCAACCACGAAGATCAGCCCGAAAACCACCGGCACGATCACCGCCTCCGGCCCGGACCCGCCGCCGCTCTCCGCCGCGCTGCCCGACACCTGAGACCGGTTGGACCCCAGGATTTCAGCCCAGCCGGAGGAGTCGTTCCCCGGCTGCAGCATGTCGAAGCTCCGCGGCTGGGGGTGGAGGGTTAGAGCAGGAGGAGACCGAGAGAAACCGAGTCCATGATCTGGGTCAAACACGTCCAGCCTCAGAGTCCGGACTTTACAGACTGCTGGAGACTCAGAGGAGTTCAATGAGTTTGATTGAAGCGTTTCCTGTGGGAGACTTTCAAAGTAAAATGACTGAAGATTTTGGAGGGAAACTGAACAAGGGCAGTTTCCGTGGTCGTCAGTTTTGTACTGAACACTAAAATAAATTCAGAATAAAACAAGATAAAAAAATATACATGAATTATTATTTTTTATGATTGTCACTGAAGAAGAAAATCTTATCATGAAAACTATTAAGTCAAAAGGAGGACAGGAAACAAACATAAGTGAAGTATTGTAAACAAAAATATATACACAATTGATCACAGAATTTTTTACAAATTAGGTATTATTTGTCTTTACAAAACTTGTGTTGTCATTTACAAAACTTTTTCTTCATTTACAATTCAATCTGGCCTCTCTTTGACATGGGGGCGGGGTTAGATAAGTGGCGTATCCATGGGGGCGGGGCTAGATGAGTTGCACGTCCACAGAGGAAAATTTAAACAAGAGGCCAAGAAGGATGGTGGACCAGAACAGTGGTGGTTCGAGGCAGCCCAAAGCTTCAAGTCCAGGATCTCAGGTGTGTACAGTTCATAAATGATCCCAGGATGTAGGATGTAGGCCCATCCTTTGTCAACACACCATGATGCAGCCTAGCTAGCTTTGTCTGTGCTGTAGCTAGCAGTGTACAATGCTTCCTGACCTCCTTTTGACTCCATAGTTTTAATTTTATTCTGACATGAAGCAGAAAAAACTGTCCTGGGCTGACAAATCAAAACATGGACGCTGTGTCAGCGGCTCTGAAGAGAAACTGGACTTTCTGGCTGTTAGCAAAGCACAAAACCTTCAAACGTCAGCACCTGTGGGGGAGCAGAGAGGCAGAGAGAGTGTCCATAACATGGGTAACTTAGGCTGTGTTCACACCGCAGGTCAATTCTGATTTTTTAACCATCTGTGACACATATCTGATTTTTTCATCTAAGTGTGAACAGGTCAATTCTGATTTGTTCAAATCCGACCCAGGCCTCTTCTGTATGTGGATATAAATCAGATATGTATCCGATGTGACTGCAGTGTGGACGCTCAGGTCGCGTTCATCCGACCTATACGTCATCAATATGCGACAAACGTCACCATTGTTCGACAACACAAACAGGCGCGGAAAGAAATGGTGAACGAGGGAACGGAGAACAGCCAGTGGGGAAAAGAAGAAACATTAGAGTTGATAAATATATGGAGAGACCCGTCTAAAATAGAGGGTTCATACCGTAACCAGGCCATGTTCGAGGAAATTGCCAAGGAATTGGCCGAGCGAGGCGTCAAGCGGTCCTAACTGCAATGCTAGCAGAAAATCAAAAGCCTTTCACATTAGATGCCGTATTCATTGTTGTAATGAGAACGACCGCACAAAAAGATTGGATTGAACCAAAAATCTTAATTGTGCATCATAACCTGCAGTGTGAACGTAGCCTTACACACCAGGAAACCTTACAAAGTCTGGGCTCCTAGTTTTATTTCTAATCCATTTCTTCTCTGATTGTCAAATATTTGTATAAGTGTCTGGACAGGTTTAAAGGAGATATCTTTGAGATGTCTGTCGAGCTGATTCATATATCCTGTTACCTCTGGAACACTTGGGCCCATGACTCCAACCAGGATATGAGAGTTTGGTTTCCTGCTCCACCTAGCCAGCGTCTGTCTGCAACATTATGCTCAAGTTTGTTTCTTGTGTTTGTGCGCTCTTCAACACCTCTCACTGCACCATAGTAACACTCCAACCTTCACAATTTCTATTTTTAAATAAATGATTGTTTATGTTTGTCTCCTCCTGTCTTTTGTCATGGCTCAGCTCTGTACAGACAAACCGGACCTCGCCATTATCGGGCTGCAGAAGTACCTTCCTCTGGGTTCTCTCGGGGACTAACTTTAGTACAGGAGTTGTGAGTTTATCTGCTGCCGGCCTTCAGTAAAATGTGCATCTATTCTCTTCAAGCTGATGATTACGTCCTGTTAGATCTGAACTTCGGCACAGACTTCACACACCTTTGTAAACGGCCGACTGTTTTGAAGCTGCTTAACATCAAGTTTGAAACTGAACCATCATGAGGTTCGGCTCTTGAGTGACTGAGTAGTTGTTAGTTTTATTTATCTTTTCACAGCACAAACAGACGGTTACGGTAACCTCACTCAGGGTGTAAAGTTGAGATGTCTGATGCAAAGTGTGACAGAGAACAGACGGTGATTAGACGACGTGTTTACAGACCTCAGAGTTCATTTCCTCTCTAATAATTTATGATACGAGATATATTAATGTGACATACGCGTGTTTAAACAGCTGTTGTTTATGTTGTTGTGGACTCGGTTCATGAACATGTCTTGAGGTCGAAGCTGCAGACGTCAGGTGTGTTGTACGATGTGATGATTGAGAGGTTCGAGTTGGAAAGACGGCGTTGTTTTAAATGATGTTAAAAATAGTTTTGTGACTTGGCGTCTTGGAGCACGCAGGGTTCAAACTAAACTACGATGACGCCATCGAAGGGTGTCTGTGTATCGTCACATCTGCAACACAGCCGCTAAGTTTTGTCTGTTTGTGCATCTTTACATGACTGATGATGTTTTAGCACATTAGGAAGGAGATCAGATGGTTTGTCTGCAGGGGTCCATGAGCTCCAATGTTTTTCTCTCGGGGTGTGTTGGTGTTTATCCCGGTCTCTAAATGTTTCGCTCATATTTTTCTTACATGATGAAGTCCATTACAGACAAGCTCACAATAATTCACAAACAGATCCATAAAGAGAGAACAGATGCAGAGTAAGTCCTTCAGGGCGAAGAATTTTATATTACATTTCTTTAATAAGTGAAGGCAGACAGACATGTTAAAAAATATTCAGGACATTAAAGGATGATGCACGAAAGCAGACTGGCACACAGGCTCAAACTGGACCAGGAGAATATTTTGGATTTAAGGAGCTTTAAATAGGTGGACGGACTTTACACACTTCTTCTTAAGAGATGTAAAATAATGCAACAAATAATGTGGTGTTAAAAAACAGGATCGGCCTTGGAGTCACTTCTGCTATAAGTTTGGTTTATTTGGCCTAGATATCTACATGCCATGTGAGGCCTGATTGTGGTTTGGTTTTATGTGTCTTAAATATGTCCATGTGTTGGGGCCAAACAGGAAATATAATTTAAATAATGAATTTAATTTTTGGTAAACTAGCTTAAGGAAAGAATATTAATTTAAAGCTGGTTTCAATTTTCTTGCTTGCCTAATTGTTAATATATTTCGTTGGTCCCACTCAGCAGTGGTTTTCTATTCTTTAATAAATTAAAATAAATTGAAATAGAAAAATAACCCAAACATATTTATATATAGGCTACAAGAGGAAATGTCTTATGTTAATGTTTATGGTTTTGTTGTCTCCTATGTATGATGTCCTCCTGAAAATAGAAGACAAAGTGAGAGTTAGAGGCCTGTTGGAGGCTGTAATAAGCCCTGTCTGATTCTGCTGTACACTCTGCTTACACCCACACTGAGTTTAGAAGAACCTCTTCACTTAGAGATGAAGATATTAGCTAGCTAGCTTTAGCATCTGTCTGAGAGATTAAGACATTAGCGAGCTAGCTTTAGTATCTGTCTGGGTGATGAAATTATTAACAAGCTAGCTTTAGCATCTGTCTGAGAGTTGTAGATATTAGCGAGCTAGCTTTAGCAACTGTCTGAGAGATTAAGATATTAGCGAGCTAGCTTTAGTATCACTCTGGGTGATGAAATTATTAACAAGCTAGCTTTAGCATCTGTCTGAGAGTTGTAGATATTAGCGAGCTAGCTTTAGCATTTGTCTGAGAGTTGAAGATATTAGTGAGCTAGCTTTAGCATTTGTCTGAGAGTTGAAGATATTAGTGAGCTAGCTTTAGCATCTCTCTGAGAGCTGAAGCTATTAGCGAGCTACCTTTAGCATCTGTCTGAGAGTTGTAGATATTAGCGAGCTAGCTTTAGCATCTGTCTGAATGATGAAACAATTAACAAACTAGCTTTATTGCCCAGCCGCACTTTAAAGTTTGGTAAAATACCCCATCTGTCTTCAGGCACTTTTGCATAGAGGAAAAACACTGGTAAACTAACAAAACCAGGTGACATAATGTAATATGATATTTAAGTCTCATGAGTGAAACATGAGTTTGTAACAGGCTGAAGGAGTTGCTGAGTTTCCGCAGTGAAGTGAGGTGTTGTCTTTGTTTTCATCACGTTTAAAACTCATCGACTCCTTTAATCTGATTTCTTCTAAACAAGAGAGATGAAGAAAAGAAGAAACGTGTCTGTGAAGTGAACTCCCATCGCTTGTTTCTCCCTCTAATGAACACTCTGTGTCATTTTTCCCTCCTTCTCCTCCGGTAAATTGATTAAAAAACTTCCTGAAAAAAAGGAAATTCAATATCAGAGAGACTAATGAGGGTGTTTGAGGAGCAGCTGGAAACAAACTCAGAGACGTGACTCATTAAGTTTTATAACGTTTTCTGATCAGTGCAGCTCCAGGCCTCATTATTCTGAGTTTCTCTTTGTCGGCGCAGAAACCTTGAAACTAAGTTTACACAATAGTTCTCAAGTACTCTAAATTACACAAAACTCACACCTTCAAAAGTCCTACAAACACAGAAACATCTTCAATTATTAAAAACAGGTGCAGCTTTCTTACAGTTAGAGTGACTCTGAAGAAAGTGAGGTGTTGCATGAATGGTTGTGTGCACACTTAAGTGTTGACACTCTGCAAATATAAAAGAACGTTTCAATGTTTGTGCAGGTAAATAAACTTTAATAAACTCTCCGTGTCCTCTCCTCCTGGAACGGTAAAGAAATATCACCGGCCTGCTGAATATGACCAAGAAAACTCTCAGACAGACAGATCATTGGACTCTGACTCGTACGTGTTTTAGCCCCCTGGTGTCAAACACAGATTACTGCACTAAAGCCTGTAACATTATTGTCTGTCGGTTTTTAGAGGGGAGTGAATCAACTCCTTTTTGTTGCATATCAGTGCAGAGAAGGCTTGTTTGCTTCTGTGCACAATACACCAATGCTCCTGTATTTAATATGGCCCAGTGGGAACATGTGAATGCAGAGGTTTGTTAAAATTGTTAAAATTAGCATCATCTCATGGTTTTTGTATGAGCTGAAAAAAATTAAACCTACAGTCATAATTACATTCCTGAGATTGCCTTGGATGAACCAGCGCCGCTGGATATGACAACTATGGAGAACTCTTGGTCAGCACTGTTAGTGGTCAAATCGGCTCAGGATCCTGTACTGGTACAGAGTGACTATAACAGATGTGTTCAAGAGATGGACGCCAAATTACAATGCGAAATATCATTAAACTGAATGTATAGCCAATCATATCGTGTTACATCACAGTGGGCGCAGGTGCCCGCGCTGATTTGGGCGCCCTGGCACAAGCACCGTGACATCTCTCCATTAATACACGTCCATAAGGTCCTGTTTGTGCATGTTTGAGTGTGTTACAGTCTGTGTGTGTGCTTTGAATTGTTAAATTTGACCCTCAGAGATGAGTAAAGAAAATAAAGTATGTGGTCCTATAGGAGGGTGTTTTGTAGGGCTGCAACATTTTGGCTAAAATTAAAATCCGAATTTTTTCTCTGAAAACTTTATTTTCAATTTTGATTTCTTATTCAGTGACAACTTCACCAAAACTTCACCTCAGTAAATAGTTTTTCTACCATCTCTCAAAATGAAACCACTGAAAACGATGTAGTGCATATGCCAAGACAGAGGATCCTGGAGATGTTTTTCAGCTTGAGTCTTAACCTGACCTCTTCTGGTTTTTGGGATTGAGACAAACGAGCCAATCACTGAGCTCCTCCACCTCACCCCCCATTGACCAATCATTAACCAGATCCTCAGCTGCTGATAAAACAAACTTTCCCAGAGAGCGTCACCTCAACGATTTTAAAACACCTTAAACAAGATTTGTTTGTGTTTTTTATTATGCATGCAGATATAAAACCCACCGGAAAAGTTTAGAGAAAGAGAATCATTGATTAAGAATCATTTGTATTTATATAAAGCTACAGACTCAGTCACCTCACCCTGAGATGCTGTTTGCAAACATCACGAGTTTTATCAGGATTCAATAAAAGGTGCAAATTGTAAGTGACGTAAAGCCTACTACTGTATAGAAGCAGAGCGGTAAATAACTGTATCATCTGCATACAAAGAAAAATTTGCATTAAGGACATTTTGACTGATACTGTTGACATAAATGGTAAACAACAGAGGTCCCAGAACAGAACCCTGGACAACGCCATTTATCCAATTTTGATCAGAGGGATGATTTTCAAACCAGCTGACAGATCGTTCACTCAGATCGTCTGAGTGAGAATACGAAGTTTTACATGAACCTCAGACCACATGCTGTGAGTTATTTCTGCACAGAGTGTGTTCATGTTACATGACTGGATCTGCTGACGGTTCAGGAAGTGTTATCACTGTGTTAACATGTCACACATGAACACACACACACACACACACATATGAACACACACTCACAAACATCTGCTGACTGCTGCGCATCTATATTTAGACTCAGTTTACTCTAATCCAGATGAAATGATTAACTAGTCTGGTCTTTTTTCTTACACTTAATGAGACTCTCACAGAAAATATCAATAAAAAGAACAGATAACAGAAATAATGGAGATTTTCACTGAATCTCAGTGCTGACATGGTGAAATGAGTTATAATCATAAACTCTGATTTCATTTCAAAAGACCAGTCAGAAACAAATCTACATTATAGTTATCTCTGTTGCTGAATAACTGTGGAAGTTTCCAGAACATTACACAAAGTTTTGCTCATTTTAATGCAACGCAGAAAAAGCATTTTACACAATTTGACAGTACAGCCAACTCTCCCTCCTCCCCGAACCCGAGCGCTCATCTGGCTTTAAGAGAGAAATTTTCCTGCACTTTACTAACCATTAGGAAGCCCATTTTGTTTTTGACATGCTTTTCCACCTGCAGCAGGTTTAGATAATCAGGTATATATGCTGGAAGTGTCACTGATAAATTTTGATATTTGATCATTTTTTCACTCCTGACAGACAAAATTTTTCTCTGTTTATGAGCAATATTGGGATCCCTCTTGCTGTCCACTTTGCATAGAGGTTTCTCCACTTTATCCTCCAGCGAGTTGCCTGAAGTCCATGAAGGTGTCCAAGTGTGTGTGCAATAAACGACGTCAGATTCACTCATTTTTTTAAGTTTGTCTCTTGAAATCCTGCAGATTTGAACAGTTTTGGTGCGCTGTGTACCAGAGAGCATTTTTATGTGGCTCTGCAAATAGTGCAAAACACAAATGAGTTTTCTGACAGCAAACAGATGAGAAATTCTAGTCAGAGTGAACACCTGAACTGAAGTTAGAGTTAGAGTCTCTCAAAATTAGCTGAGTTATTTTCCAGAGTCGGCTTCGTCCGCTGAAAACTGTTGCCCAGTTTGTTTCTCTCCTGGCAGTTTCACTGAAGGAGCCTAACTAAACATTCATCGTGGATAATACACAAACTAGTGACATGTAACTTAAACATCCTCCCTCTAAAACAATCACAGAGATATTCTTTCATCACATACATTATGTTTCATCTGTAAACGTCATAGATAAGTAATGAGATGAATCTAAATGTGCAGAAATGTCATTAAATGTTCTCGTTTTATAAATATAATGAAGGTTTGATTCTGTGTTAACGTGGGGAAATATTTGCTGACTGTTTTCACTTTTCAGCCAATCAGAAAGCAGGGAGTTAGGGCGTGTGACCCGTGAGAATGCCGGCTTCCACGAGTCTGATAAGCAGCTGGACGAACCAGCGGTCGCTCTGATTGGCTGAGGCCGAGCAGGTTTAGGTATATAAGAGCAGCTCGCTCCTCCGAAAACACATCATCGTCATTGACACCATGGCCTTCCTCTGGTTCGTCTCCTGCCTCGCCTTCGTCAGCGCCGCCTATGGTGAGAAACACAGACATGTTTTATTCACACATGTATTAATAGAAAGTGTGTGTGGTCATATTCAGTCACAGAGTTTAACAGTGATGATGAAAACAGCAGAATATCCCTTTAATCGGTGTCACCTGTCGTCCTGCCAGGCTGCGGTGTCCCCGCCGTCCCTCCCCAGGTGACTGGCTACGCCCGCATTGTCAACGGTGAGGAGGCTGTGCCTCACTCCTGGCCCTGGCAGGTGTCCCTCCAGGTGAGTCAGCTGATGACCCCCCAAAAAAAGAAAAAACTCTCCATTTCTTCTTTTTCTTCTTCTTCTCAAGAATAACTTTTCCTTTTATCCTCCAGCAATCCAGCGGCTTCCACTTCTGCGGTGGATCCCTGATCAACGAGAACTGGGTTGTGACCGCCGCTCACTGCAACGTCATGTAAGTTTAACAACCCAGTGTCACTCCTGAGGCTGTAGATGAAGGTCCAAAAGATCCTTCTGAAGAGTCTGAAAACACCTCACATATTTTTATTGACACGCTGAATAACACAGCTTATTGTAGATCCGAACTTGAGTGCTTGGTCGAATTTTAAACACTGCAAAAACGAACACCAAGCTTTCAAAGTTTTTTTGTCTCAATTCTAGTGAAAAAAAGTCTCATTAGATTTGAAATAAACCACTTTCACTTGAGAGTGAAATAAATATCTTGTCCAAAGATGTTGGAAAACTACATTTAAGACCTGCAAAGTAAGAAAATTTATACTTGTTGAAGATCTTTCTGTTTGTGACTAATCTGGCGCCCCCTGTGGACAAAACAGACTCTGCTTATCTTTTCCTTTACATGCTTCATTTGCAACTTTTGACAAAAAAACTCATCCTTGTTTTTTTCTGAAAGACCTCTGTGCAATATGGCCAAATATGAGACCTGCTGAGTCAACCATAGACTGCAATCTCCATGCTGAAGTGCAAAAAAGCTGCAATACCTCAAGTGTCCACTTGAGGCAAGCTGCGAAAGCCAAAAAATCCCCCTTAGATCCAATGAAAAAATGCCTGACTTACCACAAATATTAAACACAGTCGAGTTAATGAAACAATTTTGTTTCCATAGCTCAGTTCATTTGTGCTTCAGTTAAATTTTGCCTTTATAATGAATCTTAATGTTGATATAGCGGCAAAGAATTAAACATAAATTGTGACGACAGTTTTGGTCCATTAGCTCTGCATCAAAGCGTCGTTTTTATCCGTTTTCCCAAATCTTATTTGTTATTGTGTGAACTGGCCCTTTAAACTCCTGCTCCCTGTCTCCTACCAGGACCTACCACCGTGTGGTTGCTGGAGAGCACAACAAAGGCTACGGCTCCAACGAGGATGTCCAGGTCCTGAAGCCTGCCAGGGTGAGAACCAGCCATCAGCCAATCACCTTTCAGAACTCGCCACTCTACCGTTTCTAACCCCTCCTCCGTTCCCCTCAGGTGTTCACCCACCCCGCCTGGAACCCCCGCACCATCAACAACGACATCGCCCTGATCAAGCTGGCCACCCCCGCCAGGCTCGGAACCAACGTGTCTCCCGTCTGCCTCGCTGAGTCCTCCGACAACTTCCCCGCTGGCATGACCTGCGTCACCTCTGGATGGGGTCTGATGCGTTACAACGGTGAGGCTGCTGTGTATCATGCTAATAACAATACAGGGCTTTTATTTTGAAGGGTCAGGAGGGAGTGTGTTTGAATGTGTTTGTGTTTGACCTCCCACAGCTCCCAGCACTCCCAATGACCTGCAGCAGGCCGCTCTGCCCCTGCTGTCCAACGAGCAGTGCAAGAGACACTGGGGCAGCAACATCTCTGGTGTGATGATCTGCGCTGGTGGAGCTGGAGCCACTTCCTGCATGGTGAGGCCCCGCCCACCCGCTCACCTGTCTGAAATCTGATCACAGATGCATACCTGTCACACATCTATCAGTCTTCTCTGTCTCAAACTTCTCCACACATCACTGCCTCACCTGTCTCAGCTCCTCGTCTCACCTGTCTCAGTTCTCCTCTATCTGTCTCTGATCTCTCTGTCTTCTCTGTCTCACACCTGTATGTCTGATCATTTCCTGTCTTTCAGGGCGACTCTGGCGGTCCCCTGGTCTGCCAGAAGGACAACGCCTGGACTCTGGTCGGTATTGTGTCTTGGGGAAGCAGCCGTTGCTCCACCTCCACCCCTGCCGTCTACGCCCGCGTCACCGAGCTCCGTGGCTGGGTTGACCAGACCCTCGCTGCCAACTAAATCCTCCCTGGCAACGCTGTTCACGACTGGGGTTACCCTCTGACCTTTGACCCTTTACCTGACCAACCCCAGAGCCCCGACCTTGCCCGGTCTGGAAGTCCACTCGGAGTGTGTGGATAATGAATGACAATAAAAACCTTTAAAGCTATTCATTCGTTTTGAGTTTTGATTGTTGTTGTTTAAAGAGTCTTTTAAAATTCTCAATTGCAGTCAGCAGGGGGCGCCCTCATCCTACAGCCTTACATGAACTGAAACGTCATTGGCGAATAAAATCTATTAATCTTATAGACTTTATGTGGTTGGCATTGACTGGTGCTTGGGGGGAAAGTGGAAATGTCATCTAAACTCATGTTAGCCGCTCCAACTTACGGCAGAGTATGAGGGTCAAAAAAGAGATTTTGAGATTCAAGTTCAAAATAAAGACCCTGTTAGGAATTATTTGATGTTTATGAAATAGAGCAAAATTCATAATAATGACCAGAGCAAACAAAACTATCAGTGGCAAGACTTACAAATTATCCTGTCTAGATCAGCTCATGGGCTCTGTTTTAGTGCTTGCCGGCAGTGTGGCGGAGGGTGGTGCACCCCACGCAGTGGTATTTTTGTCTGGCTGGGCCCGGCGTACAGCCAGTTTGGTATTTTTGTAGACTGAGGCGCACCGAGCTCCGCCAAGCTGGGCATGGTGGCGCAGCAGGGGGAGGTGTCGACAGAATCAGCTGACGCCGATTCAAACCTGGTCAGCTTTCAGCGCAGGCGGAGCGCGGCTGGTCTAGTGGTATTTTGGTAGCGCGCATACGTCACCGATGCCTCACCGGCAGGTTTCCACAGTGTCAGGCACATTTCAGCTCAATAAATAATCATCAACAACCAATATTCTGAGTTGGCACAAACATTTAGATCTATATCAATATATTCTGATCTATACCTGATCCAATGAGTGCGATTGGCACGCGGTTAAACACTTAACCTGACCGAATTAACACAGCTGAAACTGCATTAAATTAAATTAAATATCTAGTAAATAGACAAACATGATGAAGTTAACAAGACATTTGATTCATCTCCCCTGTTTCTATCTTCCTCCTCCTCTTATTTCTCGCGCAGCTCCACCTGGACATGACATGTCATCTGTGCGAACAACCCACCTTTGTCACGTGAGGTTTGAATATATGCAACTTTTTGTAAGTGTTTGTTTGTGGAAAAGGATGTTTGTCTTACCAGTGGGTCCAATCTTACCCACACCAAATCCATCTGTGCTTATTTTAGAGAAGGTGGAGGATGCCCTCCGCGGCGCTTAAAGCGACACTTGTTGAGGGGCTGCCTTCTGTCACCATCGTGTGGCATCGCTGTCTTCAGACATCTCTTTATCTCTTTGACTACTTCACAAAAATTGTAATACGCCTCGCCAGTGGCAGATTTAAAGGTGAGGAGAGGAGCTGATGTGGTTGGTGAAAACAGGTCTCGGCTGTGTTAAACCCACTCCACGCCTTATCTCCTCCCTCTCTATGACTTACGCCGCTAGGAGGGGCTGAGTTAGGTAGGAGGGATACTTACGCCGGGCTGCGGCGCTCACCAAAATACCAAAATGTGCTTGGGCACGCCTTATTGGTGCGGCAGACCTGACTGTGCCTGCGCCACGCTCCTGGCGAGGAACAAAAATAGAGCCCCTTGCCTTTAATACTGAGAGTTGTGTGGTCTCTGTCTTTTATTGTATTTTTATATTTTCTAGTGTTTCATCTGATTTAATATCTTTTTTTTTCTTTTTTCTTTTCTTGTATTTTAACTTTATTTGATCTTTTTTGTGTTTTATCTGTTGTGCAGCACTTTGGTAACCTTACTGTTTTTAAAATGTGCCATACGAATAAAGGTGGATTGGATCCATTTCTGCCGTTCGTCTGCATGGATTTTTGATAATAATCTCACATGATTTAAATGTTCCTCCTTTTGAATTTGTACAAGTGGGACATGAGTCAGACCAACTGAATTTTGAAAGCCAACGCAACCAGTTAAAAAAAGGAGAGCACTCATTCTGTGTTCAGTGATTGCAAAACTGTGATTTAGAGTGGAGATAAGTGGAGCTGGGTCTAAATTTCTGCAGTTTGGAGTCATGTTGTTAATAGAGGAGCTTCATGTTTGGATCGTGACTCTAAAATGTCAGTTTTTGTGTGTTAACAATAAGTAACACTCAACCAGTCACATGTCATGAGTATGTAGTGTCGGATTTCTTTAATTCAGTTCCTTCGATGAAAAACTGCAAGAAGATCCTGCATGTAAGCTAAGCTACAGTTTCCTGCACACATGCAATAAAGCTAATTCTAACTAATTTGTCTTTTTAAACTAAACTTTGTTGTGGGTTCTTGTCTCTGTCGCACGGTTGCACACACTCTTCACATCTAAATGTACGCAGGCGGACGCACGTGTCACATGTTTCTGCTCACGTCCAGCCCGTGATGCAACGTCTGTCCATGTCGAGCTGCAGCTGATAAAAGCTCCTCTGAGAATCCGGCACATGTTCAAACCAGCTGACCTTCCACACGGCGTGAACACGGCGACCCACAGCAGAGTGACGGAGATGCAGTTGAATTTGTGTTATTTGATCACACCTCAAGTTTCGACCCACTTGGCTCAGTCGGCATACAAAACCTTCACCTTTCCAGACTAGTCCAACTGAAATCAGAGGATTGGGTTAACCTGAACCTGAACTGATCTAAACAAGAACTGCAGGCACACTAAACTAAATAAAAGTAACTCGACTCATACAGAGGCTTCAAACCGTTCAAACGACAATCAAATGAAATGTTTCCAAACTAAAACCAGGAATAGTGCTGCACAAATACTCAATAATTTGGACTGAAAGACGTCAAAACTCAATGCATGAAGGGTCGTACTTATCATTGATCACCGAGGCTTTATGTCCTGCAAGGCCACCATCGTTTCTCCAGAGAGAAGGTTGACCAAGGGAGCATTTTAGTCCGAAACGAGACCACAAGATATCACTTAACCCTCGGTTCCTATTATGTACGTTTTAGGACATTTGTCATTTTTTCATCTTTATTTTGAGCTGACAGTCACAATTTCAAAGATTGGTGCACCAAATTTGGTGAGAGATCTTACTTTTCTTCATAAAAAAACCAAAAACAAAAAAAAAACTCAGTGTCCCCTGTAGTATTCAGTCGCCACATTTAGCTCCACCCACCCTCCTTTGTCCGCAAATTGGACAATAGACTTCCAGTAAAAACACGTTTTTTGACCGTGTGTTTATGGCACCATAACAACTTTTTTTTTTTTTGCAGTCACTCGATCACCAGGGCTCTAAATTTTACTTTCCAACAGTGATACAACAGATTGAGCCAGCACATAATTTTGTGTTAGAAGCGCTGATTCATCCACTAAACATCATCAGAAATAAATGAAACTTTACATGACACTAGATATGGATGTCTAAGAGTGGGATATGTGTGGAAGGAAAAGTTTGTGTGCTCCTGCGTGTGTGCACGGGTGTGAATCTGTGTCCATGTTTATAACCAGGCATGCTGTGAGCATCGCAAAATGAATGAACAGAGTTTTTACTGTTTTATGTTGAAGACTGACCGGTTAGAAAAGAGATTAGTGAACAGGGGAATCAAGTTTACTCTCACATCTTCAGCTCTCTAACATTCATACGGTCAGTAAGATCTGCTTTCTCTTATTATAACAGTGAAGAAATGCACTGACGATCATCTAAATAAGCCCCACCTTCCTATAAATAAATAAATTACAGTAATAGAAACAGCTGTTCAAATCAATCTTCCATCTGAGTCTCTGGTTCTTCTCGAACCTTCATGATCCAGCCTCTCTCCTCAGGTGGAAAACTCTCCGTCAGCTCCACCTGTCTAAACTCCCAGCGTCTCTGATAAGATGTCCTCTGTCCTCTCTCGCTTCGTCCAATCACGTTGCTTCTCTGTCTGTATAAAAGCGACTCACTCAGACAGACCCGACATGATCGAGCCATGGCCTTCCTGTGGATCCTCTCCTGCCTCGCCTTCGTCGGCGCCGCCTACGGTGAGACAGACTTTGTAACGTTAAAGAGAGTGAGGCATGATGGGTAGAGAAATCTGTACCACCAGCAGAATGAAGTTTGAGTTTGTACAAAAGACTGTAAATCTAAAGTTGGTGTGTTTGCCAACATTTAAAAGTCCTTTTTTTGACAGTTACGTTTCAGTGGATGATAAATTTGGAGACAACAATATCTGCGATTTCATAAGAACGTCTGATCTGAAGCTCATATTTAGTCCAATAATCGTCTTTATGATGTACAAGAGTAAAGATTAATGAGACACATGCTAATCATTAAGGTTGACAGTTGATCTTTATGTTATTTTAAGTCATTTATGATGTCCTGATGATGTCACCAGGTTGCGGCAACCCCGCCATCTCCCCCGTCATCACCGGATACTCTCGTATCGTGAACGGTGAGGAGGCTGTGCCTCACTCCTGGCCCTGGCAGGTGTCCCTGCAGGTAAAAACACGAATACACCGGATACATGCGCACATGGGTACAAACAACCATCTGATCGATAATTACCTGTCTGTGATTGGCTAGAGAGAGGAAGTGGGTGTGGCCAATACAAGAAACTAGTTTTTTTGCAACAATTATTATAAAAAATCAAAAAAAGAAAAGACGGTTCTCAGTCCAATGGCTGTACCTTCTGTTAGCCGCTTGCTAACGTGTTTTAGCGATTGTTTTGGTACGTAAAACTTTGACCTGGGGTTGACCTAGTCGTAAGCAGCTGAAAGGAGATATGGTTCAAAGTTTAAGGTTTTTCCTTTTGAACATGGAGTTATAGAAGAGACTGAAGGAGCTCAATGATACCTACGATGGCTCCACCTTTTCTTGTCCCTTTCTCCTTCTTGATCAGGGACTGAGTTTCCTTTCCTCCAAAAGACCCTGAACTTAACTCTAACGTATAGTTTGCCTCCTTCTTTAAAACAAAACACCAACAGACGACAGGTATGCAGCCCACTGCTTAAAGTTAGAGAGATGAGGTCCACAGTATGAAGCAGATGGAGTCAATAACGTGGGCTGAATCAAACGTCTTCCAACTGGGTTTTTTGTTAAATAGGCCGTTTCTTTGAGAGCTGCAGAGTTTTGAATGACGTTAAGCTAAAGTCTCTGAATCCAGCTAAACGAAAAGTTTTTCTGTGACATCAAGAAGTGCGTGCAGAGATGAGGAGGTGTGTGCTTCAATAGGTCCATGCATTTGTTGTTGGGTGGATGGAGCATGATACCCCAAAGACAGCTCAGTAAAAACCCTGCTGTCTTATAGACTGGTGAGGATGAGAACACATCGTTTTTAACCTCTGGATCATAATGAGCGTATTCTCATTTTAAAACTATCCAAGTCTATCTCATTGTTTGAGCCTTTCCCCGTTCATATTCAGGTGTCGTCAGTCAAACTCTTGTTGCTGTCTTTCAGGATTACACCGGCTTCCACTTCTGCGGAGGCTCTCTCATCAACGAGAACTGGGTGGTCACAGCTGCTCACTGCAATGTCAGGTAAACAAACTCATCCTCTCACCTCAGTCCAGAGTTCCTCAGAGGTTTTCGACTCTCGTAATTCTTGTTTCTGCTCTTTAGGACTTCCCACCGCGTCATCCTCGGAGAGCACGACCGTTCCTCCAACGGTGAGGCCATCCAGACCATGAGGGTTGGCAAGGTGAGCATCAAAAACCTCATCTTTGACCCTATGACCATTATCATTCATCTTCCAGTCATAACATCCATGCTATTACCTGACAGGTGTTCAAGCACCCCCGCTACAACGGCTACACCATCAACAACGACATCCTGCTCATCAAGCTGGCCAGCCCCGCCCAGATGAACATGCGTGTGTCCCCTGTGTGCGTCGCCCAGTCTGGAGACAACTTCCCCGGTGGCATGAGATGCGTGACCAGCGGTTGGGGTCTGACCCGCCACAACGGTGAGGGCATCTGAGCGGATCGACCAATCAGATATCAGCAGACAGAGCCGTTAATGAGTCAGTCTGATTAATGCATGTGTTTGTATGTTGCAGCCCCTGACACCCCCGCTCTGCTGCAGCAGGCCGCCCTCCCCCTTCTGAGCAACACTCAGTGCAAGCAGTACTGGGGCAACAGGATCTCTGAGCTGATGATCTGCGCTGGAGCCTCTGGAGCTTCCTCCTGCATGGTGGGCGCTGCAGACAGACGCCTCCTTTATGTCTCTGAAGGTTTTCTCGTCCTCGCCGTGTTGTTCATTATCGACTTGTTTTGTATTTCAGGGTGACTCTGGTGGTCCCCTGGTCTGCCAGCAGGCTGGAGCCTGGACCCTGGTCGGTATCGTGTCCTGGGGCAGCGGCACCTGCACTCCCACCATGCCCGGCGTGTACGCCCGTGTTACCGAGCTCCGCGCCTGGATGGACCAGACCATCGCTGCCAACTAAGCTCTTCACTCAGGACAGCTCACAGATTGAAATCATCATCAATAAAAAGCTTAAACTCTGAAACACAGATGTCTGACTTTTGTTCACACTGACCACATTCAGTTAGTCTGATAATCCCTACTCTTCATTGGTTTTATCATCGTTAGAATCATGCACCAACAGACGGCACATCCTGCTGCACTGAGAGGAAGAGGAGCGATAGAAAGGAATCCCAAATCAGGACTGATGGGACTTAGCGGGAATCGCAAGAACTCACAAGAACCCGCAGATTCACATGCAAACACGCGATAACGAGTTGTCTCTTTAAAGACAGACACATAGACATATAAGCAGTAGATTGTGTCCTTCCAGAGGAGGAAATCTACTTCTAGACTTCTAGAATCAGCATCTCCTCATCCATGGTGTCATCGGGGTGAAATGACGTCTAAAAACCTTTCACTTATTCGTCTCCACCCACGTTTGCATGGTGTGAAATACGATCCTCCTGAAACACGGAGTGTTTTATTTTGAAAAGAAGCCGGATGTTTTATTTTGTGTCTGTGCCCGACTTCCTTTCCAGCACAGGTTAATCTGTGCTGAATTTATGCATCCGGTAAAAATACTCTGGCGGCAGGCGGCCGGAAAGAAGCCGGTTGAAATTGACAGATTGACTTGAATGGAAACAATTGTTTGCAATCGGCGCCTTTTTGCAGCCGTTCCAGATGCAGTAGAAATTAAGGGTAACAGCGCTGTGAGCAACAATACCTTATCAAAGTCCACTTCTACCAGCTGTGCTAGGACCAAGGAAGTGTATGGTAATACAGTATGGAACTATATATATAAGTAGCATTCACATTAGTCAAATAAACTGGACTTCAGGGGTGATTAAGGGTTAAATGTGCAACACTCAGATCGAGAAATTTCATAACTTTTATAAATCACCAGCTCGTTTCTCTGTGTTTCTCGATCCTTTAGAGTTGACCTGTTGGTTTTTTTTGCAATAACAGACACCAAACATGTTCACTGACTTCTGAAAATATAATTTTACTGCACACTTCATTCACAAAGAGCACTTTTTATACAACATGGAACAGAAAGAGCGTTAACTTATCAACTTATATCAACCGGGTTCATATCAGGTGCGTCGGGGTGGGCAGGCGTGGCCCACTCGGCGGCAGTAGCAGATGGCGTTGAAGAAGCGGCAGTAGCAGGTGTCACAGGTGTCGCAGCAAGGTAGAGGGTAACCCAGACAGGACTGCTGGTGGGGGATGCAGCGGCGAGGAGAGCGCATGGCTCGACCCTGCAGCTGCAGACCTGCTGACGAGTCCTGAAGACGAGAGCGAAGATGTTTTAATGTTTCGACCACGGGAGGATTTAACTCAATCAAATAAGCCCCACCCACCTCATCGTAGGAGGCTGTGTCCATCAGGAAGTGATCCTCCACCGAGTCCACATGGAGGAGGTCGGGGTCATGCACGGGGTCGGGGGCGTGACCTCTCTCTGCTGAACACCAGACAGAAAAAAAAGTTCTTATTACCTTCTGAAAACCTTCACCCCTTCATCTGCGATTCAGACCCTGCAACAACAACAACATCTCAACAGGTGACAGGTAAGGTGGCGTTGGACCTCCAGGTGTTACTCACTGATGTCAGACAGGTACGAGGAGTCAACTCGGCGTCCTGCCGCCGGACCGTCATCCAGCGGGATGTTTCCATGAACCAGAGAGGAAGAGAGACGCAGCAGAGTGAAGGAGCAACAGCAGAGCAGCACAGATCCAAACATCCTGCTGTTAGAGAGAAGAACCGCAACTCCCACAATCCTCAGCTTCTCCAAAAAGATCCTCTGGAGGAGAGAACACAGGGTCAGTCTGTGATTTTAAAATGGTTTCAATTCAGTCCTGGATTTCTTTATGACATTTATTCCTTCATTTTATTGATTAATACATTTATTTTTCCTGTTTAACTCTATTTCATTCTCATTATTATGTTTCCTATTTCATGTTATTGCCTTTAAGTTTCTGTTATTTCACTTTAACTTATTTTTTACCACCTTATCGCTTCACGTTTTACCTTTTTTTCCCCACTTCAGTTCATGTTGTTGTTTCCTGGACTCTCATCGGATTTTATGGTTTCCTCTAATATTGGATTACAGTGTTGTTCGGGTGCTTTTTGTGTTGTCATTCTTGATTTTTTAATGTTTTATATAAATAAAAAAATATCACTGTTATTATACTCGTTATTATTAATATTATCATGATTATTAGATTGAAATGTAATACTGTAATATTTGATTACTCAAAAAAATGGATTTAATGGTTATCTAAGCTGCCAAAACAATATTTATTATTATTATTATTATTATTATCATAAAGAGATACATCTGCAGTTTGTTTATGATAATAAAGAAATCTAAGTAACACTTAACCTGAAGAGACAGTAAAGAAAGCTTAAAACACATGATACTATTAGACCAAGGAATTAAAGTATCAGTTTGTCACAACAGGAAATAATAATACTTATAATAATGATAATAATAGTAACAGTTATAATAATAATAGATATTGTTTCGGCAGCTTAGTTAACTGGTAAATCCACTTGTTTTGCGTAATCATATATTACAATACCATATTTCATATAATTCAAACACATTTTATTTCACTGTTTGGTTTTAAAGTATTCATATATATTTTTATGAAGTCAGTTAAACCGCTTCAAATCAACAGAGATGAAGAAATCCTCACTAAAGGTCGACGGTAACTCACCTGTCGCTGTGGCTCCTTGTCGTCTCTTTCTCTCTCTCGGGGGTCAGATGGGCATTTAAAGGCCCCTTGAGAGGAGGGAGGTCACATGACCATCAGGGGGTAATGATGGGGGGGGGGGGGGGGCAGGGCGGGGCGGGGGTGACCTTGTGAGAGGTAAACATCAAGAAACATCAAGTGAAGCAGGATGGACAATCAGATGTTTATTTACCTGTGTGTGTGTGTGTGTGTGTGTGTGTGTGTGTGTGTGTGTGTGTGTGTGTGTGTGTGTGTGTGTTAAAGACTTTTATTATCCTATTTGCAGTGAAATCATTAGAGGATATATAAAAAAACACACTTTCAGGATGATTGTAGTTTCCTTGTTGACATGTGTTTGTCTTAGTTTCAGGACGTTCTGAAATAATGTTCTGATAATGAAAGTGTTCCTCCACCCTTAATAACACCAGCCGTGTATTTTTACTCTGTGTCACTCTGTGTTTTATTTTATTTATTGAACATCCGTTTGATTCGTCTCTGAAAACAAGCTGATGGAGAGGCGTCCGTCCGGGTTTATTATCTGTATGTTTGGGAGTAATGCTCCTCTCTGAGAGTCTGATCAGAGAACATTAGATCAGCTGCCTCCTCTGTCAGCCGCCTCATTAAACCCCTCGCCCTTCGCCTGCAAAAATGGCGCTGATTCTCTGAACTGTGACAGCTGGTGACATCACAGCTGATCAGCAGCAAATGGTTCCTAATGAGACATATTTGACCTCTTCATCATCATCATTATCATCAGCAGCAGCTACAACAACAACAACCACAGTGTCCTGCTCATGATGTTTCAGGTTAGGCTGTTCCCGTGGAAATACTTTAGGATTTAACAGGTGAGGTGTTTCAGGTGGACACTAGAGGTCAGTGTGGAGCAACAAGAAGATCACGCCGACTTCGAGTTAAGGAGTGATAGGCTGTGGCTGTGTCTCATTTCAGAGACCGCATCGGGCTAAGTGCCCTTCTGCACCGTCGAACGGTGCATTTGAAGCGTGCATGACATCACGACAGCGCGAACGGTGTCCCATTTGGCACGAGATGCTAAGCGTGCTTAGCATTTTTTCAAGCATGCATAGAAATAAGAAAGCTGACAAAACTACAGCAGAGGATCAGGACAACATTGAGGTTTTTTTTGCTTTTAAGATTTAGAGATTAAAGTTGTAAATTTAGGAGAATAAAGTCATAAAGTAAATAAAGTCATAAAGCTGCTTTTGTGGAGGGGGAAATGACTGAAGCTGGTCATCTGCAGGGTTATCTGTGGATGTATCAGCGGGTCATTCAGAGAGATTTTGTGGTTTCTGAAGAAACAATCAAACTGATGATGATCAACATTTGTGATCCAGAGGGAGTCGAGCTCCGACGAGCACCACGTCTCTGACACCGACGGTAACCTACACCTGCAGAGACACCAACACCTTATTATGGCATATAATAATAACCCCCCGCCATCTTCATGCTGTGATTTATAAGGTTTCCTGACAGGCGTCACACTTGGTTTTGCAGTATGAAGTTATTCTTTGTCTTTGTTTTTGGACTCAGATGTGGTTTCAGAGCAGCAGAGATCGACTCCCTTTTTCCTGCTAAATAAATCAACGAGAGACTTTTGTACTGGGTCAGGTATACGACCTCCATTTGAGCCATTTTCACTCATGCATTTTTGGGCACCCCTTCTGAGATGATGAGATACACCCTGAAGAATGTGTGTACCAAATTTGGTGCTTTTATCCACCGCATAACAATTTGGCCATTTTTTCAAGTTAACAGACCCTACTATGAGGTGGTGTGTTCGAGCCTTTTTTGGGACAAGGTGAATTTTGAAGTCTAGTGTCTAGACAGGAAATTGAAAGAGGAAACAAATGGTATAATCCTGTGTCTCCAAGTGGCTCAGAGGATAAGAACACTGACTGGGATTCCTGAGGTCACAGGTTCGAGTCCAACCTTGCCCAGTTCTAAGTTAATTTTGAAATCTAGTGTCCACAAAGTACAGTGATATATGAAAAAAAAAAACATGATGGTCTTCTGTGTCCACATGGCTCAGGGGATAAGGAGACTCACTGGTACTCCTGAGATCGTGGGTTCAAGTCTTACCCTGTCCAGTTCTAGGAGAATTTTAAAATCTCGAGTCCACAAAGGACAGCGATATGTGAAAAAAGAACCCAATTCGCTTGTGTGTCCACATGGCTCACAGGATAAGGAGACTGACTGGGACTCCTGAGGTGGTGTGTTCGAGCCTTGTTCGGGACAAGGTGAATTTTGAAGTCTAGTGTCTAGACAGGAAAGTGAAAGAGGAAACAAGTGGTAAAATCCTGTGTGTCCCAGTGGCTCAGAGGATAAGAACACTGACTGGAACTTCTGAGGTCATAGGTTTGAGTCCTACCTTGCCCACTTCTTGGTGAATTTTGAAGGTCTATAGCAGGGGTCTTCATATAAATTTTCAGTGGGTCCACCTGAATGAAATGCCTGCAGGCCTGGGTCCAGGGATTTTTATTTATTTATTTTTTTACAGTGCATTACTCTTTTGAAATATTCACTTCATTTGTATTGCCAATAACTGACTACTTTCAATTGGCTGTGTGCTTCCTGCGGGTAAAATGAATGCAAATGACTCGGTCCACTCGCCATAAAACACCCTGTTCTCATTCTCTACCTTTCGTGGTTTTTAAGCCGACATGTTTAGCTGCTGCTACAACTTTCTCCTCAGTCTGCCGCCTGACAGTTTTCAACATCGGGATTGCTCGGTAATCTTCGTGTCGAGTAGGCTAAGAGGTCTGATTTGATTGACAAGTCAAGCGAGTAAGCAAGTGATGTAATGCCTTCACTTGCGAAAGTAATTCTCAGCGGACACGCGTCTCACTCCATGTGCAGAACGTGTGCAGGGGTGGGTTTCCTCCTCTCTGATTTTGATTGACAGCTGGCAGGGTAGTCTGATTGGCAGCTGAGAACTGAGTCTGATTTGGAACTGAGTAAAGGACAAAGGTGATTGGTGGATCGCTGCAAAGCACATGCAGAGTCACATGCAGTGTATCTCAGTCAGTTACCCTTGAAATTCACTGAGTTCATTCACCTCCGACATCGCAGGCTCTGCGGTGTGACTATCGCACACACTTATATCGTGCAGGCCTACAAGAGAGAAAAAAAATATACATTTTTCTGCGTATTGGACTCTTTCCCGGTCCGCCATTATTACTTATTGTAGGACGCCCTCTGCTCAGCCGGCTGGCCGTCCGCCGCCCCCCCTATAATCCCCCCCATCAACCAGAAAGCTGAAGTATCTCTAAAGTTCAGCCTGCTCTGACTTCCTGTAGCATAACCCCCCTATTTTATCTCTCTGGAAACACCGGGGGGGTAACCCCACACCCCTGGGCTGAGCGGGTTTCGAACCAGCAGCCGGTCTTCAACCAGAACACATGGCTCACATTAAGGCGTTAGATGTCTACCACACTGCGCCACCGGAGACCATCCACAATTGGAGATGAGCTCTGCGTGCTTTTATCTTGGTACTTTTGCTCCTGGACTTTAAAATTCATCCTGAGTAAGGTTGAGTAAGGAGTCCCAGTCAATGTTCTTATCCCGTGAGCCATGTGGACACACAAGCCACATGTCCTACTATAAGGATATAGAGGTATAAGTTTGTCCACAAGGGGGTGCCAAACTCCAGACAGAGGCTTTAAATAAATTATTGCTAACTCAATTCTGGAGTAAAATCACTTTATCCCTTTAGTACATTCATAGTACTCCTCAGTTAATAATAATAATAATAATAATAATAATAATAATAATAATAATAATAATAATGAAGAAACCAAAAGCACAAATAATCAAAAAGATTAGGGAGTTAACATCAGCAGCTTTATTCTTAAAATAAAAACAAACACAAGCTCCAACTTTCAATTGCAATTTATTTCAAGTGACGCTAAAATGAAAATCTATGTTTAAAAAACTTATAAACACTCCATTTATATCCCAAACACACACAATACCTATAGCCACCCAAATTCTGCAGATACAGTAAATCCTTCTTCAGTAGCCGCTTAGTTAACTCTTGATCAAACAGTACGAGGACCTGTTAGAGTATAACCCAGCTGCAGGTTGTCTGAAGGCCTGTGCCAAGCCTTGATGTGCATAATATTCAGTCCTGTGGAATTAATAAGAACTCTGATGGGTTTTTTAATGTGCAGCTTAACAGTCGAGTAACATCTGGTCCTTTGCATGTTAATAAAATACACTCAATGAATGGAACGAAAGCACTTTTCAATGTGATTCTGTGTTACAAGAAAGAATGACAAGGTGTGAAAGCATCATATAAATGTGCCCAATGTAATTGCATACTTCTTCAAATTGTTCCACATGTAAGGAAGGCTATATATAGACCCTACAAAATAAAAGTCAATGAATGCACAGTGAGATGTGAGCTCGTGAAACGATGAGGGCGTCTCGGAATATGCGGGTACAGAAATATTAAATGTCTCGAAATACTAAAAGGTTTGGTTTACAGATTTTAGTGAGTTCAGAGATCATGCTCTCATACAGCCTGAGCTGACTGTCTGCTGTTTTTGGATTTCTTGTATTTTCTTTGAAGACGCGCTGCGTCTCCAAACGAGTCCAGCCTCTCACCCGAAATGCGAAGCTGTGCAGCGGCACGCAAAGAATTCTGGGATACCGACGGCACGAAAGCGTGCATATATGCACGCTTGAAAAAGAGGCGGGGGTAGTGTGGTTTTGAGACCAAATTTGAGGCGCGCTTAGTATTTTGTGCCAAAAGGGACACCGTTCGTGCCGCGTGATGACCTCACGCACGCTTCAGATGCGCCGTTCGACGGTTGCGGTCTCTGAAATGGGACACAGGAAGGGTACATAATGGCGCAAAATGGCACGTAACGGCACAAAACGGCAGTGCACTCAGCTAAGCGCCGTTAAGCGCGCTTCTCCCGATGCGGTCTCTGAAATGAGACACAGCCATAGTCTCTATTAACAACAGAAAACCATGAAAAAGAACAATTAATACAACCTCACTGTGGAATATGTTGGAAAAACACAATTTAAATGAAAACAGTACAAAAAATGTAAATGTAAAACTAAAAATCTAAAAAAATGTTGATGCTGAGTTTGACTTTTTATTCTGTGAGTTTTCTGATCTATTTCCCGGTTTCTTCCACACCCACATGTGATTTTATGTTTTCTTTCAGTGTTTTCTGTCTTCAAGCTGAGCGAACACCTGAGGGTCTTTGAATCAGCCTGGTAACATTTCGCTCCTATAGAAAAGCCTTTAACTGTGACCTTTTTCAACTGGGGAGACAGTGAAGATATCACTTTAACGTCATTCCAGAAACTCAAACAAAGAAACGTGGAGAACACAGGGCCCACTGTGTTTATTTTTATGATCGTGTTTCTGAGCCTCAGGCAGCTGAAATCTTTCAGCAGGGTTCAGGGAGTTAAAGAGGACACATACCTGTGACGCACAGGACTGTCTTCATCCTCTGTCTGTACTCTTCTTCTTTTATCTAACACCAAACACATAAGGGAGATATTATGTTGTTGTTGTTGTTGTTGTTGTTTTCAGTCATAATAACATAGAAGTGGTCAGCATACATACAGACTAGTTTATGTCGAACATAAATCATGCAGCTATGTCCACCAGTCTGTGGCATATCAGAGTGAAAACATGATATTTCCTTCTGCCACAAGGGGGCGCAGTGACTGTGACTGACCCAGGCCTGGACCTTAACTGCATGACTAAGGCTCTGTTCACACTGAGGGTCAATTCAGATTTTTTAACCATATGTGACACATTTCTGATTTTTTCATCTAAGTGTGAACGGTTCTGACCCAGGCCTCTTTTATATGTGGATATAAATCGGATACTGCAGTGTGGACGCTCAGGTTGCGTTCATCCGACCTATATGTCATCAATATGCGACAAACGCCACCATTGTTCGACAACACAAACAGGCGCAGAAAGCAGTTTGTGCTTTGTGCGCGTGCGGGTCACTTCACGGACGCATTCCGTTCACAATAGATTCCACATTCGTAATGTGAACGGCCGCACAAAAAAATGGGATTCAACAAAAAAACCGAATTGTGCATCATAACCTGCAGTGTGAATGTAGTCTAAATAGAATGGACGCCATCTGCCTCCACGCTGGGTGAAGTCACTCCAAGAACAGCGCCCTCTGGTGACGGGCTGCAGAATAGGTCATAAATCCTGCCTCCGCCAGCAATTCCTATGGAGCTGTGGACAAACTTTATAAATTAATGACACAGAATATAAATGTTTCTCCCCCCTGGTTGTGATGTTGACATGTAGTTACTGTCAGACTAGTTTGTGCTCAAGTCCTCTTTTTTCTGTGCAGCTCCATTTTTAAAAGTTATTAGGGGGTTCATGTTTTTTTATGATTGACACTTTATACAGCTGATGGGCGTATGAAAATTGCGTACGCCCATAAGCGGGGATACACTGTTTGAGCCGACCGAATGTGTACAACGATCCTGCGCAATGTTGGTTTCAGGAAGTGGAGAAAAAACGCAGAATCACCAAGAGCTTTTCCGCTTCAAATCCATATACAGGCGGAAAGCGGAACCAAGTTGTCAAGAGTATATACAGTCTATGACCACGACATAATGCATGCTTTTCAAAATAAGCTATTCTCCAAAATAAAAGACATGTCAAACATCAGATGCGCAATGAATATTTACTTTTTAGACCAGCTGTTCGTGACTCATCCAGAACGTGTCCGCGACCCACTTTTGGGTCGGGACCCACCAGTTGTGAACCACTGCTTTATACTACAAAGTGCTTTTGTCAAACATTAGATTTATAACTTGATGTTTTTTGAATGAAAATGTTTCTAAAATGTTATCGATGAAGCAAATATATCAGAAAGTAAAGGACAGGTCTAGGTTTAAATAAGTTAATGTAAATATTAAAGGTTTTTTTTTAAAGAAATAACCTCTCTGTTGACTCACAGTCACCTGACCGATCGATGCTTTCAATCACATTCACCACCGTCAACGTACAGACGACACTAATCGATCAAACACAGTAGCTGATCCCAGAGTGAGTCGATCGTTGATATATCACACTAACTGAACAGGAAATCAGGTGCAGGCTCACGGAGACCCTTTCACAGGGTCGAACCCGGAGCTTTCAGTCATGGTCTTCGAGTCTCTGGTCAGCGACCTGCTCAATAGGTTCATCGGAGACTATGTGGAGAACTTGGACAAGTCCCAGCTGAAGATCGGGATCTGGGGAGGTAAGCTTTAGAAGCTAGCTGGAGCTAACGTTCGGAGACGTGCGAGACTTTGTTCAGAAACACCACACTTAAGATATAAATGCGGTACATCTCCACATGAACGCGCTTTATTAAACACACTAACATGTAAAGATAAACAATAGGTTACGCTTTTTAATTCGGCTATGAAAAAACTTAAAATTTGATCATATTTCGATGGCAATTCTTGATTTAATTGAGACGTATGCTGCTGTCACTGCCACATCTCCACCAAAACACACAGAGGTGTAAGCGGAAGACAGAGCCTTGTTTTGGCAAATAATAACAGTTTTTCATAATGGGAGTCGTTGTCAGTGGATTTTATCTTTGCCGAATTGGAAGACAGGTGATTAAAAATCCTCCCAGCAGAGTGTTTTTCTACAGTATGATCACAGTTTATTTACAGTGAGGTGTCAGATACACGACAGTCCACAGTCTGCACCTGTCTGTCGTCTGTGAAGGTAAATATCTGATCAGCCTGACTACTGCCCTGCTGTAACTGAACTGTTAATCTGACTGACTGGCAAATAGGCTTAATTCAGTCAACAGAAAACCCAAAGTGCTGCTTATCAGCTGAAAACACCCACAGAGTCTGTCCTGTAGAGTCAACACAGCTCTCTTTAGTTATTTCTATCTGCTCTTTATCATTATCAGGTCAGAAACAAAGCATTTAACAGACACGAGCTTAAAGAGAGTTTATACTGGATGTGGTGGAAGAGATCATGTGCTGTCTGATTCAATCATTAACCCTTATATCTCAACGGCCACGCACAGGGAGGTTTTTACTTTCAGTATTGTTTCTCCTTAGTCTATCTATTTCATTTTGCAGACGTTATGCATTTTTTATTTTTGTGTTTTTGTAGCCAAAACCAGAACAAATGCAGTTTTTTAAAGGCTCGCTGTTGCAGCCTAAACACATGCAGTATCTTCTAAGATGTATTCAGTGTGCGTGCAAAGCGTCAGATTCTTACTTTTATCTTTAGTCAGGGAAAAACCCCTGTGGTGAAAGCAAACTGTTCTTTAAATGTATTTATTTAACCTTTATTTAACCAGGTTTGTCCCATTAAGATCTGAGGATCTCATTTGCAAGGGAGACCTGACCAAGAATGGCAGCAATATATACAAACAGTCACACAGACTCAATACGGAACAAAAATGTGAGGAAACATCAGTAAAAACAGAGACACTCTGAGAGTTTGGACTCCAGCCTTTTAACTGCAGATTTAAAAACAGTCAAAGGCACCAAGTTTTGCCTGAAAACCTTCTTTCCCATTTCAGTTCAGACTCTGGGGACAAAAAACTGTCTAAATCTCAATGATCTCAGGTTGTGTAATCCGTCCTTTAAGATCAATAAGGAGGAGAGGTAGTCCGGGATTTTTCCAAGAATGACTTTGTAAATGAAAACGTACCAATGACCAAGCCGACGAGTAGTTAAAGAAGTCCAACTGACTTTGGAGAATAAAGTACAGCGATGAGTTAAAAATCCACAGTTTGTTATAAATCTCAGAGCTCCATGGTAAACACTGTCCAACATTTGCAGACTCTGGGCAGAGGCATTCATGTATAAAACATCACCATAATCAAGAAGAGGTAAGACTGTAGACTCCACAAGTCTCTTTGTAACATCAAAAGAGAAACAGGACTTGTTTCTATAGTAAAACTTTCTAACAACATGCTGAATATGTTCTTTAAAAGACAAATTTTCATCCAGTAAAAACCAAAGGTACTTAAAAGAAGACACAAGTTCAATTTCTTGACCGTAAATATTAACAATATTCCCTGACAGTATTTCTTGTGACGCTCTTGTAGATGAAAACAACATGAGTTTAGTTTTCTCCACATTAAGTTGCAGCTGCCTAAGCTGATCTTGGACCAAATTAAAAGCATGCTGAAGATTTTCAAAGGCCAGCGCAGGTGTTGGTGCACAGCAATGAATGACTGTATCATCTGCATAGAAATGAAAATTTGCATTTGGAACATTTGGTCCCAGGCAGTTGATATATATTGTAAATAAATAGATAACCAGGAGAGATTCTGTTCAGGTTTCAAGAACAGGTGTTCCTCTCTGTGTCTTTAACTTTGAGTTTTTGCTGCTGGAAAAAAGATTTTAATCTCAATGGGACTAACCCGGTAAAATAAAAGATAAATAAAATAAAGAAATACTGCAAAATCCCCACATTAAGGACTAACTCCTATGAGTTTGTCTCACACTACAAACAAACAGTTAAGGTTCAGTGTTGCAGATCAGAGACGGGAGGTCCCGTGGTTTCTTTTGTCTCGCTCCAGCAGCAGCTCTGAACAATGAAAGGCTGCTCTAAACCATTTTTAAGAATTTGTGACTAATGCTGGAGATCAATTACTGAAGCAGTCAAACACCCACTAAAATACAACAATGATTGAGCCGAATATGATATAAACACAGTTAAACCTGAACATTTCTTTTATGAAGACACTAAAACCAAATAATTACCGACCCGCTTCATTTTATCTGCAAGAAAAGACTCGACCTGCTGCATCTCATATCACCTTTATTTTGTATTCAGTGTTGATGCAGTTTGTGTGATAACCAGAGAAGTTTAACGTTTACCTGCAGCTTCCTCATGCCTCTGACACACATGTTAGTATCATACCTGCGAGACAGGAATCTAAACTAACAGGTTTTACTCACTAGTCGCTGTTGGGAAATAACCTGCAGGTGTTAGACAGGCAGATCCTCATCAGTCTAATCACTATGAGACAGAATCATCAGCTGGTGATTATTACAAATCAATAACATCACGGTGTATCTGTGTGGAGTATCACCTGTTTGACCTGCTGCAGCGAAGTTTAATGTGGTCATAACAAAGAGGGTTTTACAACACTTTAACCTTCTTCATATATTATATCAAAGATCTGTCATGTCGTCAGTGTTTTTAACTTGTACATACAAGCAGCAGCTGATTTATCAAAGTTACCTCCTGTTTTACAAAATCTAACCGGTGCCGATCATTCAGAGTTTAAACCAGCTGTTCTGATGTCAAAGCTCCTGTAAGGGGGTGCTTTAGTACCACTTGATACAAAGGTCCTTACAATGAGCAGTAATTGATAAGATAAGAAAAGAAGAACTTTATTGATCCCTGAGGGGAAATACAGTAAATAGTCTATAATGGTTATCTATAACCTGCCCTTAGGACCTCATAAAATGCTTGTAAATAAATCTCAAACTGTTATAAAAGCTTCATTTATTATTTCTTATAAGACAAAGAAGGCCGTCATTAGGAACTCATGTGTCCCGTTAGCTGCAGTAATAACATGTTGCTCCTCATATAAACCTTTAAGCATTTTTTGATCGCTCCTCTTTCGTCGCCTGGAGCTGTTCAATTTGACAAGCGGAGCAGGAGGAAGTAAAAATGATGTAATATCATTTCTACTGTAAAAGCACTGCAGTGACACAGCTTCATGAAAAGAGGAAGAAGACACGAGCAGGTGTCAACCCTCGATCTGTGAGACTTTCACACATTTACATCTTTTCTTCGTCGTTCTCACCCAGCAGACCGCTGGAGCCTCGTGTGAACCACCAAACCAGACCTCAATGAATATTCATTTATTTGCCTTTTTTGCTATTTTTTCAGCTACACCCACAGTTTTGCTTCACTTATAGACAAAGCAGTGTGTCCCGCCTGCCTCCTACTGTTTCCCTCTGTCTGTCACCTTCATCAGTTTTACAGAGACGCCCATCTAACAGCTCCCATTTTGAAATATGTCCATCAGCATAATAGACATGTGGTGCGTTGGCGAGACTTATCAAAGATATAGCATTTTGTAACAAAGCAACTCTACAATAGTTCAGAAGGAGGATCATTGGAGGATGGTACTGAAGAGCCTGAAGAGTCTGCAGGTGATCAGGTACGAGGGGTCAGGAGCTGCGAGAGCTTCTCTAGTGAAGTGATTTAATGTGGTGATCTGATCTCAATAATAAAGACAACATAAAATCAAATATCCTCAGAGGGATGAAAACATACTTCGTCAGCCCGTCCTGGTATCATTTATGTTTACGGCAAGAAGTCGAGTCTCTCTGGTTGAAGTCTTTTTAATACACCCTGACTTTTCACTGCAGAACTTTGTCTCTCCATTATCGGCCTCAGCTCGTCATCACGACTGATATTTGGCCTTTAGCTGACTAGTGTGTCACATGTTCAAATTACTAAAAGTATCTCTGTATAGCAGCAGGACAAATAATAGGAACCGATATTCTGAAAATGATATACATATGTAGGCCATACAATATATAAATACTGCATCTGCTCTTTAATATATGAAAAAAAGATGTGTATCAGTTAGGGATGGGCATTTCAAGCAAAAGCGCTATTTGATATTTGCTGGCAACTATTTGAGAATTATTCGGAGATCGTAATTTGCTCTGTGCGTTGATCACATAGACTGTTTGTACTATGGACAACGTGGCTCCGCCTTCCGTCATCAAACAAATTTGAAACTGAATTGCTCTCCGTATTTCCGGGATTTTCTCCACTTCTGGAACCAAACAGCGTGTCCCCCGGCTGAGCTACGCAATCTGTGTGCGCCCATTGGCTGTTTCAAGTGTCAATCACAGAAAACATGAACCCCCTAATAACTTTTAAAAATGGAGCTGTACAGAAAAAAGAGGACTTGAGCACAAACCAGTCTGACAGTAACTACATGTCAACATCACAACCAGGGGGGAGAAACATTTATATTCTGTGTCATTCATTTATAAAGTTTGTCCACAGCTCCAGAAGGAGGCGGGGTTTATGACCTATACTGCAGCCCGTCACCAGAGGGCGCTGTTCTCACGGTGGCTTCACCTAATGAGGAGGCAGACAGCATCCATTCTATATACAGTCTATGGATTTGCAGCATTAACTAGCGCAACAGTTAATGTTATCGTGTTATTTGGAGGAACCCTGTCTAAAACAAAAACCATCGTCATATGAACTCTTCGATTTTTATAAATGTTAATGACTATTCAGATATTTGAAAATTATTGCCCATCCCTAGTATCGGTATCATATTGTTACAAATGTCCACCAAAATAAGTTTCAAAATATCAGCGTATCAGACATCTGCAAAAATTCAGTGAGTTCTGACAAAATTGTTGTTACTGTAAATGAACAATATATATATTGTTGGCATGATGTTGGTGTCAGTAGATAATGTTAGCTGTAGGTATATCTGCATGTGTCCCTAAAATGAAAAATAGAGCGCAGAAGAGTTTTGCAGATCTGTAGTTATGATACAGAATATTATCGGCGTGATATCAGCTGATAAAAGATTAAAAAGTTAATAATCGGTTTAAGCAGGTTTAGAAAACTCCGTGACTGTCTTATTATCGGCAACAATAAGTCAGAGCTGATAGGAGTGTGTTGTGTTCTCTGTTGTTAAAGTAAATATTTGCTCTTATTAAACATTTATATCCTCCAATAAGGCCGGCTGTAACTCTCGGCTTGACTCGCCCTGAGTTATGCTAACCCTTATATCTACAGAGTGTTTCTAAAAGGAGAGAATATTACGGTGCATGCAGCTTCCTCCTACACGCTCATATATGTGACATATGTTGAAGTCAGATGAGCAGACAGGAATCTAAACTAACAGGTATCCAAGTCATCTCTGCATGCAACAATGTTAGGAAAGAGTCTGGAGGTTTTTAGAGCCGATGGAACGAGAAGGGCCCGAGGGGTGTCCTGGAGGAGTGATTGACAGGTGAGCAGGTATGTTGAGGCTGTAGACAGTGTTAACTGACACTGAACTGTGTGTCATAACCTTATATCCCTGTGCTGTTAAACACCGTTACCCTGAAACATCCCGGGTTATACTGGTTTGAGGACGGGCTCAGAGAAAGCTGCGATCCCATTGGAGGAAATGCCTCACGTTACGTATTTTTATGCACTCCTTTAATTGTTTTAAACATTTAGATATTTAACGTTGTTTTGTGCCGACTCATAGTTTCAGGTGTAATAAAGTGGGTCCTTATTCCCCACCTCCACTCTCCATTTGGTGGTGACCCAGAGGATCCAGTGATCCTGTTTCAGCTGATAATTACAGCCTCTTTGTGGAGTGTAGTTCGTCCCACGCTGCAGGCTGAATGACTGCATCCTCGGGGTCACACACAAAGCAAACAGGCACAAAAACAAGATCATCTGCTTTACACCTCATGATTCGCTTCAAGCCGCTAGTGCTGGCTGTTAGTGTTCGGCTGGATCTGCAGGATTCTCCAGGACCGCTGTCAGCGTCGATGACTATCGATGGAGAAAATAAAGGGCCCTAAACGCTGACGCTGAGGGCTGATTGAACAGAAACACGTTTTTTCTGTTTTTGTGTGTCTGCTCTTAAAGGCAACACAACATTATTTGGGATTAAATGTCTTGATTTAGAGGACCGGCTCTGGCCAATCAGGGCACTGATTTATGTAGGGGTGTCTAGGAGTCGGGATTTCCCCTGGGTCTATAAATACAAAAATGCAATATTCTTGGACATTAATTTTAACTTTGAAAGGAAAAGAGTGGCAACATTAAAATCTGATGTGCTTTATTTTTTATGGACTCAAAAAGAAGCGGTCTGTCCAAATTTGGAGATGAAGATCCCGCCTCTCGGATAGGTCAGGATTTCAGAGTGGCCAATCAGATTTCAGAGCAGGAAACTGAGAGAGAAAGGGGGAATGAAAGCCGCTGAACACTGCTTAATAAAAATCGTGAAGTAACAAAACATTAATGCACATTTACTGGACAGAATAGACTGTTTATTGACCTTGTTGAAACAGCATTTGTGGCTGCTACCCTTTCCACACAGCTGTTAAATAGATGACTTTAAATTAAGGCGCCTCTCATTTGTGTCTCTGCAGGAAACGTCGTGCTCGAGAACCTGAAAGTGAAGGAAAATGCTTTGGTGAGTTTTGTTCTGTGCCACTCATGTTGAGTGTATTCGACTGGTCTGCTGAACGTCTTTTGGATGAATGTGTTTAACAGCGACTAAAACACGGCCTCCAATCACTGCAGTAAAGTTGCATACTAACCAAATAAACCGAAACAGTTGAATTTCCCAGGATTCTTACACCCTCAGAGTCTTTTTCTGTAAGGGGTCTATCCTCCTGGTGTCCCGTTATCAGCCCTCTTACGGGTCTATGCTGCCAGGATCCGATACTTTAGGACCCTTTGGGTTCTGTCCTACTCTCAGAGGGGTTTATGCTTCCAAAGTCAGGGGCCTCTGTTTCCAGGGTGTCCATCCTCTCAGGGATCTCTCACCGTACTCGACGAGCTCTAAGCTCCCAGAGTTTCATGTTCATAGGTCATATGCTTTCAGAGTTTGATTTCAGGGTTCCAGATCCCTCTCTTAACCTCTAAGAAAAGGAAGAAGAAGAAGGTTTGGATCCATTAATGGCTTTGATAATCAAATGATCGTCCATTGATTGTGAATGTGCTGTCAGTCAAAGCTTCATAGTTATAGTCGTGTTGTGAGAATAATAGTGATAATGAAAATGAGAGAGGGTTTATTTTCTATTTCAGAGCAAATTTCAAGTTCCCTTCAAAGTGAAGGCCGGACAGATCGGTGAGTCCTACATTTGTCATGTTTCAGATGATTTTTCATATTTGATTTTTATTGATAATTTTGAATAGATTCAGCATAAAACAACAAAACAAAAACAGCAACTGTGAATTAGGTCTGAAAATGTGCAAAAAAGAGCCTCCCACTGAAAAAGATCAAATTAGAAATACTATTTATTATATAGAAATTAATCAGAATCAAACTATTGATGTAGTTGAAGTAGTAGAAGAAGTTGCAGTGGTAGAAGTAGTAGAAGAAGAAGAGTAGAAGAAGTAGAAAAGGTGGAAGTAGATGAACTAGAAGTAGCAGAATAAAAAGTAGAAGGGTGGTAGTAGTAGTAGAAAAAGTTTCAGTAGTCAAAGAAGATGCAGAAGTAGTGGAAGAAGTTGAAGTAGTAGTTGGAGAAGAAAAGGTGGTAGTAGTAGTCGATCAAGCTGTAGTAGTTGTGCTAGTAGTAGAAGTTGTAGAGATGGTAGTAGTAGTAATACTAGTAGAAAAAAGTGGTAGTAGTAGTAGTTGAAGCTGTAGAAGTAGGAGTAGTAGTATTATTCAAGTACTAGTAAAAGTGATAGTGGTTGTAGTAGTAGTAGAAGTGGTGGAGGTAGTAGTAGAAGAAGTGGTAATAGTAGTATTAGTAGAAAAGAAAGTAGAAGAGTGGTAGTAGTAGTAGAAGCTTTCGTAGTAGTGGTAGTAGTAGAAGTAGAAGAGGTGAAAAGAACAGGACAGTATAAGACATAATTCACTGTGTTAACCTTGCCCACATGATTGGGTGTCATTTAGGAGTCTAACTGGGTCATTATTGGCCCAGAGGTAGATGGTGCTGATATTGTTGGTATGCAGTAGAGCTGTAGTGATTTCAGATTATAGCGATCATAAATGATCATGATATTTTTGGAAAACCTGAAAATAAAACGCAGATAAGAACACATCTCATTACGACGTTTATCAGTCTAATGTTAACACACAATCATCTCACAGCTGTGAATGTTTATTTTCATGATCTCAGGGAAGCTGACGTTAAAGATCCCCTGGAAGAATCTCTACAATGATGCTGTGGTGGCCACGCTGGAGGGGCTGTACCTGCTGGTTGTTCCTGGAGCCAGTAAGTCAAAGCTTTACACCGTCTCCATGCAGGATTTCTCCCTAACATGTAAACATTGAATAAGAAGGGACCCCAAATAGACCCCTGTAGGACGCCACATGAGAGCGGAATAAAAGAAGAGGAGATGTTTCCTAGCACTAGAGAAAAGACTGGTTTGATAGGATCTGAACCTAATTCCATCTGACTGATTGAAGGTCAAGATTAGGCCAAGAAGAATAAACATAAAGTGCAAGCTAGAATCAGCTGCAAGCATAGATGTCATGTCAAGAGCAGTGTCTTGGAGCTGAAACCAGAGCTGAGTGTTTCACATTTCCTGTCAGTTTGTTTTTGATGTTTCCTCCCAGTATGTTTTGAAGGAAAAACCTCCTCAGTGGGCTATGAAGTCCTTGAATGGAGGTCCAGTTTTTCCAACTGAGTGAAAATTTTGGACCTCAGACAAACTATTATCCACTTACAGAGCTAAAAATGTCCCTCCAGGACCGGCAACAATGCACAGTTTGTCCATAGACCCAAGGCCAGGACAGACTCTACATTATTCCTCTTGAAACTGAAGTTCAGCAGCCTTTTTTAAAGGGGGTAGTAAAAACTGAACTTTCATGTGATTTTGAAAAATATTTTAACCATGATAGCCAAACAATGTCCAGAGCCGTCCCTCCCGTCCCCAATGAGAGGCTCTTACCTTTGAGTTTAATCCAGGTGTGAGTTTTTTTCCAGGCAGTGTAGAATAAATAAAACCTAACAACCCATTATAATATTGGCGTTTCATTTCAGCCGTGTCATTATCAGTATTGGCTGATAAAGAGCTGATATTGGTCTACCATTGGTTGTCAGGCATTAGCAGATTAACCAGTGAGATCGGCCCAAACTTTGTTGGTTTCCTGGGCTTATAAAGGCCTTTTCCCACCATTCAACCATCCAGATAGTAAACAGGGATTTCTTTAGGCTCAAAGAAGAGTGTGCTCTCCGACAGGCTAGAGGTCGACCTCCTTTAGTCTGTAGGTCATCCTAATCAAGCTGAGGTAGCTTTAATCCCTAGTATCTCCTTTGATAACACCAGAAACATAAACTTCACAGCTAGATTTAATCTTATGAACTTTTGCATCAGTGGTATTGGAGGAGTTCATGTTCTGAGCTGATCTGTGTGTGTTCCAGCTGGATCTAAGTTGGAATCGTGTCCATTTAACGGTAAGACATCCAGGTTCAGAGGTGGTGGGTCAAACTCAGGTCCCGTCTGGTTTAAGGTCCTCTCTGTTTGGGCTGCACGATGCTACAAAATAGTTCAAATAAAACCGATGGTAATAAAAATGTACTGAGCTGTCCTTCAAAATAAAAGCTCTTTAATTATGTTAGAGGGCTTTTGCTGTGAAGGAATGAGAGCTGCAATGTCATCAGTTTGTGCATGTAAAAAGCTCATCATGCAGCCCAGTGTCTACTCTGTCTGTGATCTACTTCTTCTTGTGTTTTTGTCTTTTTATTTCAGGGCTGTACTGGTTTCATGTAGATCTAGCCGGTCTCTAATCTGGGATTTCCTTCATAGGTGTCAAAGTCAGCAGTTACGACAGTCTGATCTTGTGACTTTTCTTGCAGACTTTGTTGGGATTTATCGGTGTCTGGTACTCTTTTTCCCATTTTTGTTCCACTGCCACCATTGCAGCAGACAATCAACACCAAATGATATTAGTAATAATGGCAAAAGAAAAGAAGTGAACTGTATATATAATATGTCAGACACACAGAAAATAGAACTTCCCATTATTTACACCAGAACATAAGAACACTTGGAGCTCACATTATCATCACATATTGAGGTTAGATATTCAAATTATTCATTTTAGATTCCATTAAAACTTTTTTTCATGTCTCTGACTATAAGACACACACACACACACACACACACACACACACACACACACACACACACACACACACACACACATATTGACTATGTGTGTGTGCGTGGTAGTCCCTCTGTTTATGTCACCTACATGCACACAAACTACTACTACTACTACTAACATCACTATTACTAGTACTTCCACTTCTAATACTACTCCTTCTACTACTACCACTACTTCTTATACTACCTCCACCACTCCTACTACTACAACTACTATTAATATCACTTCTATGAGTACTTCTCCATCTACTACTACCACAACCACTATCACTTTTACTAGTACTTCTACCTAAATTACTAATACTACTACTCCTACTTTTACTACTACAGCTTCAATTACTACCACCACTTTTTCTACCACTACTACTACTACAGTTTCTACTGCTACGACTATGACCCTTCTCCTTCCTCTTCTACAACTGCTACTTCTTCTACCACTTCTACTACTATTGCAATTACTATCACTGTTACTACAACTACCACTTCCACTACTACTTCTACTCCTACCACCTCTTCTACTTCTACTTCTACATCCACTTCTACTACTTCTACCACTTCTTCTTCTACTACTACACATTTTTCTACGACTACAACTACTGTTAATACTAACTTCAGCTAGTTCTTTCACTTCCACTTCTTATACAACTACTAATACTTATACTACTACTATCACTACCTCTACTTCCACTACTTCTACGACTAGCTCTACTACTGTGACTTCTACTTCTTCAATTCTTAAACTACTGCCACTACCACTAATATGACTACTAATATCGCTTCTACTACGACTCATATTCATATTTGTACTACTACTAAAACTTATGCCACTTCTGACTTTCCTGCTTTTTGAGGTAATTTTCTTCTTCATACAAATTTTGCAAAATTTCAATCTACGTAACACATTCATACTACTTGTACTTCTTCAACAGTTTTCACATTCAAATCCAAACATAACATCATTCCATCCAAATTCTACTTCTTTATTTATCACCTCTTGGCGGTGTGAATTTGCTCGGGCCCCGTTGGTTCCCCGCTGGGCGCCAGTTCTCTATGTTGTCGAGAGAGCACTTTCCCTAAACCGCCATCTTTTTTCCGTGACCCTGAAGTCCTCTTTTGTGTTTTTTTTAAAGCCATGAAGTACGATGCTGCGAAGGAGGAGCATGACCAGCTGGACTCCAAACAGAATGAGCTGCAGCGCATCGAGGAGGCCTTACAGATGGCTGCACGCAGAGGTGAGACTGCATGACCGCCGCTGACCTCTGACTTACCTTGAGGACTGACCTGGCTCGTGCTGCTGCCTGTTCTTTGTCTGTTTCTCCTCTGCTGGTTAATCTGCTGACATGAGGCTTTCTGTGGTGATTTAACTTTCTTCACTCAAACTCAGAGAGAGATGATTTATGTTACTGCAGATATGCAAAATTATCAGTTAGGACTTTTCAGGCATGGACAATGTTCCTGTACATAACCTGAGTTTTTCACCTGGAATATTTTGAGTTAAAGCAAATTTTCAGGGTAATTCAGTGCAGGCGTGTAGGAGATGCTTGTAGATGTGACTGCTGTAGTGTCGATTCCCTCCAGTGAGCCTACCTGTGAGGGTGTAAAGTCAGGTAATTTTCCATTTTAAATTTCTGGAAAGAGTGAAATAATTGTGTGTCTTTACCTTATTTTAGTGTTTTAGGGGTTTAATTGAATTTGTGCTGTAACTGGAGCCAGTGTTTTGCATCTCAGAGTACTTTCTCAACAATATTTTTATTAGTTTTATACAGATATGAAAAAGAAAGACATTACAAACACCCCCCTTTCCCTCAAAACCCCATCTACTGCTGGAAGTTGGTATTACTGTGCTTAAATAACAAATTCTGGAGCTATAACAAAAAACAAAAAAATAAATAAGTAAATAAGTAAGTGTTGGAATTTGGGTTTTGTAGATCTTGAAATACATAAGAAGTTGAGGAATCATCTCAGAGTACTTTCAGTGTTTGCAAACCAATGCAGTAGATGACTGTATGTCTATCAAACACAGGGCAGGTTTCAGAGCCAGGCCATGATGGCTTCCTCATCCTGAAGACTGCTTACATCTAAACTGACTCTTCAGTATTTAACAGGAAGTGATGATTACAACAGCACTGACGAAGATTATTTCTCTTGTGAAATACATTTTTAATATTTGGATAAGTTTTATCTCAGTAGAAGAGAGCAGAAGTGAAGAGCAGCTTTACTTATGATGTACAGGATGGAATCATCAGCATATGAACGAATATTTTAGTTCACAGAAACAAAAAGCCGATATTTAAAGTGTAAAAACAGCAGCTTTTAGCTCACAGATGGATGAATGAGACACAAACTGATGGATGAATGATTGTATTAACATGATTTCTGTGCTGTTCATGCTGCGTTCGCTGTCAGCGTCTCAAAGTGGAGACCTGCTGTTCAGCCTGGAGAGTGTTGTTTACAAGGAGCCTCAGAACGGTAACTAAACACACCCAGCATGAATCGTTTAAACTCCGGAGACGAATGTGTTTCTGCTTCACGCTAACCCTCTATCCGTGTGCTTTCGGGCTTTTCTGTCTCTAACCGCTCTCTCTCTCTTCAATGCTGCCAAAGTCCAAAAAGGATTTAAAAAACAGAAAAAAACAAAAAAAGGCTTGAAGAAGCTGAGGCGGCATGACAACAAAGCAGGTAAGGGTTTTGGATTTCACTTTGTCTCACCTGCAGGAGCTCCGTCTTTTTACTGTTAAACACGTCCTGTGAGGTTTACTGATCCCACAGAGATGTTCTGATTCTCACTGCTCATCTTCATGCTTGGGTTGAGGGGTTGTCATTAGGGGTCATGTGATCGGTTATATAACTTATCAGATGAGCATTATGTCGGGATGAGAGAACAATCATAGGATGGTGTCTACACTTTTGATCCGAGCGCATGTATCTCGTGTTTATTTGAACTTGAGACGTTTCACACTCATGAAGGAATGATTTCAACAGTTTTGATGCTTCTATAGATCCTGACACATCACATGACAAACATGACCTAGATGTTCTTCCCCCTCATACCCTCAGAGTCAGGTGTTAGTTAGCATCTGAATCAGTTTCAGGTTGAAATCCTGCAGCTGAGATCACACAGCAACAGGAACATAAACGGCAAACAACCTTTTTTTTTTGCTTTGATGCATTTAAAAAGTCGTTTCTGCATATAAAAAAAGCAGAAGTATTACCTTAAAGAAGGAAAAGCTAAAATTAGTGCATTAAAAAATGAATTAAATGTAGAGAGATGTTCCTGCTAATTATGGGAAAGAATAAAGACCACAAAAAAAGATTTAAATTTTTTTATTGAGGTTTTTTTCTTTCATTAAAATGTCAGAATTCTGATTTTAATCTCAAACTTTCAAGTTTAAAGTCAAATTTAGACTTTTTTTGCCTTGGACATCTGAGATAAAAGTCTAATTTCTGACTGAAATCACAGATTTCTGAGTTTTAAGTCAGAATTTAGATTTTTTTTATCAAAAATCTAAATTACATCATCAAAAATGAAATTTTAGGCTTTTGTTTCAGAATTTTGACTTTTTAAAAATAAAATAAATTTAAGAATTGATATAAAGTCAGAATTTATAATTCTTTCATTACAGTTTCCTTAGTTTAAAATTAGAATTCTAAGTAGTTCAATTTCTGTGATCCAGATCTAGATTTTAACACCTATTAGCAGCCGTTCCCCCCAAAAGTGTTAAACTGACGGCCGATGGCTGAACATCCTGATCTGCGATCTTTGGTGTGTCATAGTTTTCTTCTTGTTACAGACAAACCTCAGGAGGAAAAGAAGGACTCCTTCTTTGAGAAACTGGCCGCTCAGGTGATCAAAAACCTGCAGGTGAAGATCAGCAGCATCCATCTGCGCTATGAAGACATTGTGAGTACTGGTTCAGGTCCAGGTTCTGGTTCAGGTTCCTGGGTTTGTTTGCAGCTCTGACAAACAGATCCATGACATCTCTTCAGTATCAGATTGATCATACGTTAACCATCTCTGTCATGTGACTGTTTCAGCTGTCAGACCCAAAGCACCCTCTGTCTCTGGGAGTCACACTGTCTGAGCTCAGCCTGCAGGTAACACACACACACACACACACACACACACACACACACACACACACACACACACACACACACACACACACACATGTTGGTGTTTCTGATGGTTTCACCGTCCACTTCTGTCTTTTTCAGACCACAGATGAAAACTGGAAGGCGTGTATCCTGAACGAAGCTGCAAAGATCATCTATAAGGTGAGAGATGCTCAGCTTCTTCTCGACTTTCAGCACATCTTTTCTTTTACTGTGGAGAAGCTCAAGTCCTAACGCTCTTGTTTAGAGTCTGAAAAAAGGGAAAATTTCTGAGCGACCAAAGTTTTTTGAGAAGTTTGTACAAAGAGGAAAGTGTATTTCATGGTCTGAGTGTTTGTTCGCTTTAGCTCGGCCGTCTGGAGAGTCTTTGTGCCTACTGGAACGTCGACAGCCCCATTTTCTACAAAGGATCATGGGAAGACATCGTGGTAGGTTGATGCTTTATCTCTTTCATGTTATCGTCTAAAACCAGCTGATAAACGAACCAAAATAGGTCTAAAAGTGTTATATTCTGTTTCTGTAGGATCAGCTGAAGTGTGGGATCAGCAGTAAGGATCAGGAGATCCCAAATTATCACTACAGTAAGTTCATGCTGTAATTCACCGTAGTTCAGAGGATCAGATTGAGTTTTGTTTTTTTGTTTAAGCTAACAGCATCAGAAGTTAGACATGAGCAGAGAAAAGAGCAGATTTTCAAAGTTTGGCCCTTCCAGGAGCCCGTACTGTCAGCCACATCCAGATAAATGTGGAGTTATCTTTCTAGATTAAGAATTAGTCAAGAATGAAATTGATTAATCTCATATAAACTGGGTGTTAAACCAACGTTAACTCCTCCTCCTCCTCCTCCTCTTCATCGGTTTGTTTGCAGTCTTTAAGCCGATCTTCGCCTCGGCTCGAATGTGCATCAATCCAAATGCTGAGCTGGAGCTGAAAACTCCAAAAGCCAACCTTCACATGGAGGTTCAGAACATCGCCATAGAGATGACCAAACCACAGGTATGCACAGAAACTCTCTGATCAGTGAGTCCGAGTCGACGGCTCTTCTCTGCTGCAGTTTTCTGTCAGTGTTGCTGATGTGTCCTGGTCTTCTGCAGTACCTGTCCATGGTGGAGGTCCTGGAGTCTGTAGACTGCATGTTCAAGAACGCCCCCTACAGGAAGTTCAGACCTGATGTTGCAGTCCACAACAATGCCAGAACCTGGTCAGTTTAACTTAGAGGTTAAACTTTAGGGGCGTGTCCCTCGAGATTTTAGTTCCTGAAGCTTTAAAGCTGACGGCATCGGGTCAGAGGACAGTAAAAGAGTCTTAAGATGTGTGAATGAAATTAAAAAAGGTTTGAATGATCAAATAAATCATAAGTAAACATCAGCATTAATCAAAACTCTATTTGAAGAGATTTCAGCTGCACCTGACAGGTAGAAACACATTGGAGACCAGCAGCTTCTAAAGAGTGTCTTTTTTTAAAACTCTATTTTTTCTTTTACTTTTTTACTTTTAGAGATTATCCTTTTAACTCTATTTTTTTTTTCATTTTTTAACTTTTAAAGATTTTTTTTAAAACTATTTTGTTTTATTTTAATTTTTAATTTTTAAATTGTGTATTTTTTTAAACTTTGTTTTTTAAATTTTTTTGAATTTTTAAAGAGTGTCTTTTTTTAATTAATTTTGTTTTATTTAATTTTTCTTATTTTTTTAACTTTAAAGCATGTCTTTTTTTAAACTTTATTTATCTATTTTTTTTTTTTTTTTTTTAACTTTATCAAAGCGCTCATGTTACAGTTTGAGTTCGGCACGTGACAGCGGTTCGAGTTAAAATTTGAGCATCATTCAAAAACAGCACAAAAGTTCAAAAAGTTCAACACAAAAGTTAGGACAACCAAAGAGGAGGATCTGATCTGGTTTAGACCTGCAGGTCGTTGTTTCTAGTTGTGACGATCACATGACCCTCAGGTTTGATTTCTGCGTGTCCTCCTCCAGGTGGAAGTACGCCTTTAACAGCATCATGGAGGTCCACATCAAACGTGTGAGTCGCATGTGGTCCTGGTCCAACATCAGAGAGCACAGGAAGAACCTGAAGGACTACAAGACCGCCTACAAGAACAAGCTGCTGAGCCAGAACAAGCCGAACCCGGACGTGGAGCAACAAGTCCAGGTGGACTGTGAATATTATTCATATTAGTCCTTTTTGAAGGACGTATTTTCTTTATGTTAATATTTGGATGATACTAGAGACTGACTCAGTCGATCGTCTAGATCGGAGGATCAACAGATTGTCCAAATATGATCTGTAAACATTGACTGAAATGAAAATAACGACATTTGAGATATTTGGAATAAAAACAGCCGACATTTTTAAGAGGCTTGGAGGTGATACAGATTTCCTGAACTCAGAGTTCAGATGGTTTTTGTTTGGATAAACTCGCTGACTTGAGTCTGATCTGTTTCTATCAGGACCTGGAGAAAGTTCTGGATGTCTTCAACATCACTCTGGCCCGGCAGCAGGCCCAGATGGAGGTAAATCTGTCTGATCGGTTGTTCTGATGAGCAGCAGACCCGTGATTTAAGAGATGACTCTAACTGAACGTGGTTTCTGCTCCAGGTCATCAGGTCTGGGCAGAAAGAGCTGGCAAAGAAGGCGGCGGGTCAGAAACAGGGAGGAGGAGGAGTGGGAGGTTTCTTCAGCGGCTGGTTCGGTCGGAAGGCGAAGAAGGAGGAGCAGGAGCCGGAGGAGAGCAAGGAGACGGAGAGTATGTCAGATTTACGTCACATGAACCTCTTTGACTTAATACAGCAGTAAAGCAAACAGTTTTTTCTGCCGTGCAAAACAAAAGCGTCCTCTGGGAACATCCTGGTCCATCAAACTGTGTCAAATCTTAAAAAATGGCGCTAAGGTTCAGGAGTCCCTGAACTGTGGACCAGCAGAAATTCTAAATCAGACAAGAACGGGACGATATTTCACGTTACAGGCTCAGAGTGTTTATAAAAGAAGAAGTGATGCAACAGAAAGGTAGAGATGAACCTCTAACAGCTTTTTAAAATGTTGTTCCTGATTATATTTCAGCTTCTGGTTTGGACGAGATCATGACGACAGAGGAGAAGCAGAAGCTGTACACCGCCATCGGCTACAGCGGCAGCTCTCACAACCTGGCTTTACCTAAACAGGTCAGCACACACTCCTCATGTCACGTTCAAAGTCATGTCTGTGTTTGTTTTTAGCCTTTTTTTCCAACAGTCTGAATCTGAAGGAGAGTTTTGGATTAAATGGATCTCAAACGGTCCTTTTTAACGCTAACACTGTCTGCGCTGATGTTGACTCACTGAGCACGTGCAAGAAGGGTCACATTATCATCATGAGAAGTGCCAAATGTTTTCTCGAGTTTTGAAGGGTTTTTTTAGCGGCTCTCTGTAAATTACACAGCGGTAATTTATTAAGAGGTACCGTGAAACTGTGAAAAAGCAAATAAACATTACAATCTTCATAAATCCAACATTTAAATTCATTTATTACAAATACAAAGGTAGTGTTATTGTATTAAAATATTATTATAATATTTAAACAACAATTAAACAAGAGTAAAACATAAATATTTACAATAACAAACATTATTTATTGCTACACGTGTGCACTGAGCTCCTGCTTCAAAAGTTGCCATCTCATGTTTATACACTTTCCAGGGGTGCGCCGCCAACCCAGGAACATGAATGTGAACCCAACAGAAAAGACATTTAGAGGTTTTATTTTTAAAAGAGCGGCTGCAGATACTGAGCAGAATATCAGAGTAAAGAGTTCAGGAAGTTTGTCAGAGAAATGCTGCAGAAATAGAGAAAGATTTGACCTCCACTGTCGCTTTGACAAACTCTCTGCGTTTAACTTTAAATCATCTGTATGTGTGTTTTTCCAGTACGTGGCCGTGGTCGTAACCTTCCAGCTGTTCAGGACCTCAGTGACGGTGAGAGAGCTCCCCGACATCCCAGAGATCCTCAAAGTCCAGATGCTGGACCTCAGCACCAAGATATCTCAGAGACCAGGAGCTCAGGCCTTCAGGTGAGACTCTCCTCATCCGTCCTCAGACCGGGCTCATCTTCCACCGGGACGGTTTTCAGCGTCTGCATAAATGATTGACTCTGAGTCCATCTCTTTGTCTCTGCAGGATAGAGGCGGGGCTTCAGCACTGGTACGTTACAGGTCTACAGCAGCAGGGGGCGGTACCTTCTCTCATCGCCTCAGTGGGGGACACGGCTTCCTCTCTGCTCAGCGTCGTGTTTGAGATAAACCCCGAGGAGAGCACCGCCGACCAGCTGCTCAGAGTTCACTCTCAGCCCGTGGAGATCGTCTACGACGCGGTAAAAACATCTGAGATAAAAGAAGTTTAAACTCAAGGAGAGCTCATCTTCTTCTGTTGTTTTCTCATGTCGTATCCGCTCATCTAAAACCCGCGTCCTGCTGTTTTTCCTCCAGCTGACCGTGAACAGTTTGGCCGAGTTCTTCAAAACGGGGAAAGGCGTCGATCTGGAGGTCCTGACCTCGGCCACGCTCTCCAAACTGGAGGAGTTCAAAGAGAAAACTGCCACAGGTCAGATCTGCTGTCTTTAACGGGTTTTTAAAGAGCGGACGGGTCTTCAGGACTCTGACAGATTCTGGTCTCTGCAGGTTTGTCCCACATCATCGAGACGAGGAAGATCCTGGATCTGAGGATCGACCTGAAGCCGTCTTACCTGCTGGTGCCGAGGTCTGGATTTTACAGCAACACTTCAGACCTGATCTTCGTGGACTTTGGTAGTTTTCAGGTCGGTTCTTGTCCGTATTTGTGGTTTTGTGATTATATTCCAGGATGATTTACAAACTTTGTGTTTCACTTTATGTTGTGTGTTTGTGTGTGTTTGTGTGTGTTTGTGTGTGTTTGTGTGTGTTTGCAGTTGAACAGTGTCGAGCAGAGCAGTCGCATCTCCTCTTCGTCCTCCTTCTCGTCTCTGGAGGAAATCATGGATCGAGCCTACGAGAGGTACAACGTGGGGCTTCGGAGAGTCCAGGTGCTCTACTGCAAGTCAGGTACACAATAAACACACAAACAAACACACATGTAAGCAAACACACACACACAGCAGCCTTAAAGAGTTTTAAGTAAATGTGTTTTTGTTGTGCTTTAATAAAAGGGGAGGCGTGGAAGTCGGCGCGGCTGCAGGATTCGTCGGTCCAACATATTCTCAAACCGATGGATTTTAACGTCCAGCTCGCCAAGTGTATGGTGGACAAAGACGCCAGGATGCCCAAGTACGTGTGAAGACACGTACCTGTACTTTGAGTACTACTGCAAACTTACTGTGAATCATTTCATTAAAGTCACTGTAAGGAGTTTTTAACCTAAAACTGAAACTGAAGACCTTTAAAAGTAAATAAGATCACCAGGAACGAGGCTGAGGATTTCTCTGTTGTGATTTTTAACACCTGAAACTAGGGGCGGGCGATATTGAAAAATTCATATCATGTTTTTTTTTTTTTTTTTTTGCTAAATCACGATCAAAAATGAAAAATAGAAATAATAAATAACAGATCGTTGTTACTTTCTAATCCTTCATGATCTAAAATCGTCAGATCGTACACCCCTGCCTGAAACCGTCATTAGGGGGCGGGTGTCGGACCAGATCATTGGCAGCAAGCAGCCACTTAAGTAGACGAGATTCTTCTGTGCGATTAGAGAGAGATAAGAGGCGTCTTTTTGTCAGCAGGGGGCGCCGAGTCAACACAGATTAGAAATTCCTTACTGCAGCTTTAAGTTTCTTGAAATGTCGTGTAAAACTTATTAAAATATGACAATAAGACCTGAACTAACTCTCATCTTTGGACCTGTCATGTCAGTGAAACTTCAGTGAAGTGTGATGAGAAATTTTGAGCAGAAATAAAACAACTTTATCAGGACAAATTAGAGTTTTTTACTGTTTTTGTTTAACAAAATTGTCCCCAGCTGATAGTCGTGTCCTGTCTTCCTCCCCAGGTTGAAGGTTTCTGGAGAACTTCCTCTGCTGCATGTGAAGATCTCAGACCAGAAGATCCACAACATCCTGGAGCTGGTCGATAGTATCCCGCTACCCACCAAGGGCTCCACCCCCTCCACCCCCACAGAGAAGGTAGACTTGGTACAGTCCAGTGTTACTGTAGCCACGCCCATTTAAGAAGAGACTGAAAATGAAATTTAAGAGAGGGATGGAGAAGAAATTAAAAAATTTAGAGACCAACTCAGGATTTTAGAGGCTTATAAAGGAATTCTGGTTTTATATTTTAGGATTTATATAAAATGATTTAGGAGTTAAGAGACCAATTTAAGAGTTTAGAGAGTTATTCAGATTTTTAGGAATAAAAATAATCGTTTTTTTTCTCCCTTTGAGTTTGAAAAAGAGAATAATTGAGGAGTTTGAAAGGTTTGTGAAGAGTTTAGGAGAAAATAAAGGAGAAAATCGAGGTAGTTTTTGGGACATCTGAAGAGTCCAGGTTAGGGAAATCAGCAGCTCTGGATTGACGTTACCATATTTGGGCATGTTTCCTGCTGCAGGTGCTGCCATTGGCTGAGGCAAGACCACTCCCACTCAGCCTTCACCCCTCCCTTCTTGATGCCATGGAGACAGGTCGGTGCCGCTCAGATTAAACTCTTATTTAGTCTTGGTCATTTGCATTTCTCTGACTGAGTTTTACATTTATTACATTTTTTAATTTCTGCTGAAAGTTTTTTTGTTGTTTTTGTTGGGATGTTGTAATCGTCGTTTGTGTCGTTTGTTTCAGATTCCGATGAAGACGCCAGCGAGAAGTCGACAGACGACGATCAGCAGCGTCTGGCTCTGGAGGAGCTCACAGACCTTCAGTTCAAGTTTGAAGTCAAAGAGGTTCGTCCGTTTCTGTCTCAGCCGAGGTTGTCATGTGATCAACAGAGGGGCGGAGCCTACCTCAATCTCATTTGTGGTGTATTCAGGTGTTGTTGGAGCTGACCCGGCAGGTGGACCAGGAGAAGACGGTCCTCTCCTTCAGCGTCTGTCAGCTTGGAGCCGAGGGGAAGAAACGGACCTTTGACATGAGCGTGACCTCGTACCTGCGCAGGATCACACTCGACTACTGCGACGTACCAGGTAACATCTTGATGGCCCCTGATTGGCTCAAAGAAACCAGTTTAAAAACAGGTCGGCCAATGAAAACGGGTCTGAACCCGGTCTTGTTCAGGTGTAGTTCTTATTGAAACCTGTTGGTCTTTCAGACGGCAGAAACCGTCCTCTCCACCTGATCAGCTCAGCAGAGCAGCAGGGCTCCGACCTGCTGAAGGTGGAGTTCATCAAGGTGAGCACCAACTCATGAGCTTCTGTCGTGAACGTCAGTCCAGATGAAGGTGAAGTTGGTGTGAGATAAAGAAGGTGTGGTTTTTGTGTTTGTCTCCCTGCAGGCGGAGCAGAGCGGTCCCAGCTTCCAGACGATGTTCAACAACACGGAGCAAACTCTGAAGGTGGGAAAAGAGGAAGAAACAGAAGTGACTCTGTTTCTGTGTCTGACTCTTTGATATCGTGTAAAATCCAGATTTGAGGAACGCACATCAGAGCAGAAATCAGAACCTGTCGCTGAGTCGACTGTCAGGTGTCTCACGGGTGTTTACCTGTCGGTGTTTCAGGTGGAGTTCTCCTCCCTGCACTTCCTCCTCCACACTAAAGCTCTGCTGTCCACCATCAACTACCTGAACACCGCCCTGCCAAAGAAAACCAGCGCCAGCCGAGACCAGGAGGCGAAAAAACAGGTGGAGAAGAGCGAGCAGGGTCGGACAGGTGAGATACGATCGGTGATACGTGTGCAGAGGTGAGCCATCAGATTTATCAGCATCTAACAAGAGGAGGCCTCCTGTGTGTGTCTGCAGTGTCTAAAGCAGCCAAAGACAGCGGCGTGATCAGTTTCAAGCTGTCCGCCGTGTTGGGTTGTTTCCGGGTGGAGGTCTGTGATGACCGCTGCAGCATCGCCGACATCAGAGTCCAAGGTTAGACGTTGTTTTTTCTCTGCTGTTGGCGTTCAGTGAATATTCAGGGTTTATAGAAATAAAAGACACCTCACTGTCGCCGCCCTGCAGGAATCGACGCGTCAGTGTTGGTGCAGTCGAAAGAGACGGAGGTGTTCGCTCGACTGAGAGACATCGTGGTCACAGACGTTAACCCCAACACCATCCACAGGAAGGTCAGGAACAGAAAACCGTCATCTTTATCTCTTCACTTTATCCGTGTCCATGTTGACGCTTTCTCTCTCCCTCCCCCTGCAGGCCGTGTCCATCGTGGGTGAGGAGGTCTTCAGCTTCAAACTGTCCCTGTACACGGGTGCGACGGAGGGGGAGGGGTACAGCGACATGTCCAAGGTCGACGGGAAGGTCACGATGCGTCTGGGCTGCATCCAGATCGTCTACCTGCACAAGTTCCTCATGTCGCTGCTGGTCAGATATTTGAGATACAAACACACAATGATACCTGCAAACATGGAGTCACAAAAAACTCACAATATCTCACTTTTAACACTTTTGTGTCTAAGTTTGTGTGTCTTCAGTGTTCAGTGTCTCATGATTATGAAACAAAAACAGAAATATCAAAAAATAACCTTGAACAGGTGTTTAGATTGAAGCTTGATGACTGTGTCAGGAACGGGATCCTGCGAATGTCACTGACCCAGATGTAGCTGCTGCCAACAAAGATTGAACCAACTCATGATACAGAAAAGAAGATTAAAGCAAAGAAAGGCCTGAAAAGTCTGACTTTGATACGCCTGGACTTTCTTAGACTGGGCTGAGGTGACACACCTGCTGCTTTCAGAGCAAACTGTCAATCAAAGATGAGGCCGTCCTTCCTGACAAGACTCTTCAGAAAAATGTGAAAAAGGCCGAAGTTCTTGTCGTCTTTAATCGAACATAGTGCCTGTCTGTTACTCTAAACATGTCACGTATCGATTACCCTCTGCTGCAGACATTTGTGTCTTGTGTTGGTGAAGTTGTTGGAAACCAGAATCTGCTGGTGGAGATATAAAAACGCCTCTAATTCAACCAAAACACACATTTAATTTATAGACAAGAAGTCAAAGACACTTAGAGTTATAGTGAGTCTGGTGATTATTGTTTCGGTGTAGTTTCTTCTACCCACTCTTCTTCTACTCCTCTGACTCGGTACATAAGACACCACAGACACCACAGGAGCCTCATTTAGCAGTAAAGCTCTACATCATAAAGTACCGACAGTGTGAGAGGTGTCAACAGATGTGTGTTGTGTCTCCTGTGGCATGTGTTTCTCTACAGCTGTGTGTCTCTCATGTTTCTGCTCTGTTTGATGTGTTCTGTTCTTCCAGGCTTCTTTTAGCTTTCAGTATTCGTCTGCTGATGAGGTACAGCTCCCAGCATGCACCTCTGAACTGCATCTAACCTGCTGCTTTAGCTCCACTCAGGACTCCACAGCACTTTCAGTCCACCTTAAACATCATCTGGTTGAAGAGCGATAGATAGGCCGCGGCCGTGTGTTCGGACTGAGCTGAATATGCCGATGAAGTTTGCATCCAGTTTGACTCGAGGAGAGAAGTGCACTTCGATTTTACAACCCGGGGTCAGAACGAGTTAGGACTCTGTGAGCGATGTTGATGGAAACAGAATTTGATGGTCCTCAAATTATTTACTCAGGAATTATGACGACAAAAACAACATTTAAAAACTGAAACTGCAACAGGTTTCAAAAAGGTTGGGATGGTACAGAGGCGTATTGCATTCATCCAAAAAAAAAAAACTCTGTTTTTCAGAGTTTTTTCTGTTCTGTTCTTTTGACCATTTTTTTTTTCTTTTCTGTTTTTTGGAATTTTTTTCCCTCTGTTTTTCAGACTAATTTTTCTATTTTTCAGGCTTTTTTTGCTTTGGGTTGTAGACTATTTTTTTGTTTCGTTTTTAGACTATTTTTTGTTTTGTTTTTTAGACTAGTTTTTCTTTTGTTTTTTCAGAATATTTTTTGTTTTGATTTTTGAACTATTGATTTGTGACTATTTTTTGTTTTGTTTTTCAGACTTTTTTTGTTTTGTTTTTTTAGACTTTTTTTTTTTCAGACTAATTGTTTTTACCTCTTCTCTTGGATCATTTTAATTTAGAATCAGATGCTTTCACCCCCTCAACTGGATTTATTAGAAGCAAACTTGGTCCTTTTTGTTTAGTTTAATCAAGTTTTATTTTCTTTTGGGTTTGAGACTCAGGAAGATCCTTCGTTCTTTAAGTAAGATAGGTGGAATCCTCCCAAGTTTGTCTACTTTGCGCAGGCAACGAAAGACAAAAAAATTCTCAAAAAAACAGTTTCCCTTTTTCTTTCTTTTTTTGTAAGTGAATGCAATACGCTTCTGTAGGACAGAGAAAAAAAACATACTAAAAAAACAGATGAAGGAGCATCTCTGAAATAATGAACTTCTAACAGGTTAGTTAGAGAGGCTGAGTCTGTCAGAAGGAAAGACACAAGAGGTTCACCGCTCTGTGAGAAACTGCTTATATCTGCTGATATTGAAAGGGATATTAGGGACCAAAACCAAGACTGGTCCTGATCTTCAGGGCATCAGGGTTAGGGTTAGGACTGAGGAGACCCTGAACTGTTGAACATCTGAAATCCTGCAGTATATTTTTCATAAACAGTGAAATGTTTCAGTTTAATTATTTGATTTGTCGTTAAATGTCGACTTTAAATCAGATTCTGTTTCTCTGAGCGTTTCACGCAGCGTCCTGACTTTGAGGATCTCAGGGTTGTATTATCAGTCGGAGGAGAAACAATAGGAACTCATGTTTTTTCATGCACAGCGTACGACAGTGAACCTCCATCAGTGCTATGCAATTCACTCAGCTGCCATCACTGACCCCTCCTCACTGCCCGGCCCCCCGTTTGTCACATGACCTCTGCCTGTGGGACCTCACCTCACCTCCCTTTTTTAATGGTTTCTAATTTTAGTGGTTGTTTCGAAAACCTTCATGAACGTTTAACGGCTACACTTCCTTATATTAACTGACAAACTGAGAGTGTTTTGGTTTAAAATGAAGTAAAAAGTTTATTTTTCAGACCTTTTTTAAAGTCCGGGTCATCAGATCAAGTTCTGGTCTGAGAGGTCGGATCGTTCATTTAAAGGTTTTCCAAACAGAAATGATTGAACGCCTCACTATGGCTTCCTTTGACTCGGCTCCTTCCTCCTGTGTCTCTCCTCCTCATCCTCCTCTCCTCACTCCTGTTTTTTTGTTTCTTCTGCAGATGTTCATCGATAACTTCCAAACGGCTAAAGAAGCTCTGAGCGCTGCGACCGCTCAGGCGGCCGAGAAGGCGGCGTCCAGCGTCCGTGGCTTCGCTCAGAAGAGTTTCCGTCTGTCCATGGACATCAAGCTGAAGGCTCCGCTCATCATCGTCCCCCAGTCCTCCACCTCCCAGAATGCAGTGGTGGTGGATCTGGGTCTGATCACGGTGGCGAACAGTTTCTCCCTCCTGCCGGCTGATGGGTTTCCTCTCCCTGCGGTGGTGGAGAAGATGGACGTCAAACTGACGCAGCTGAAGCTCTCCAGGTAGGAAACATCGGAGGTCCTCGGAGTCAGAAACCGTCATCAGAATCAGAAGTCCGATATCCTGTCTACCTCATGTGTTTCAGAACCACGCTGAAACAAGGACCCTCTCAGAGGGACATCGAGATCCTTAAGCCAATCAACTTAGAGCTTCTCATCACCAGGAACTTGGCTGCTTCCTGGTTCACCAAGATCCCTGGAGTCCAGGTCCGGGGAGTCATCCACTCCCTCAATGTAAGCTGCGTCTGTTTGCTGTCCTTCAGATCCAGATTAAGATGTTTGTCGAGACCTGAAAGTGTTTCTGTCACGGTTAGATGAGTCTGGGCGAGGAGGACCTCGGAGTGCTGATGAAGATCCTGGTGGAGAACATCGGGGACGGCGATAAGGAGCACAGCACGGACGTTAAGAAGAAGGTGGCTCAAGGTAAGGGTGAAGAAGAGAGGGAGGATTAGAGATGCTGAAAACAGATCCATGTGGTTTTCAACGACCCGGTTCCCTCCACAGAGAAGGCGGAGCAGCAGGTCGAGGTCCTGCCTTCAGACTCAGGATCAAACGGGGTTCTGGTCGCCACCAACGGAGATCTGACGGAAAACACCATCAACGTCCTCCTCAACTTTGAAATCAAAGAGGTACAAATCCAAAACTCAGCAAGGAGTCTGGCAGGGATGGGAATTGATAAGATTTTATCGATATCGATGTCGTTATCGATTCTGCTTATCGATTAAATTCTTTAACGATTCCCTCATCAATGCCTTTCTTTGATTAGATTATAGATTTCATCATGAACTCAAAATTTTATCGAGTCTCTGATGACAGAAAAAGACGTCTGCCACCTTCAGTGAGAATCTAAAAATAATCAAACAAAAACGTTATTTTTACAGCGTTTCTGACGTGACGCTTAGCAGCAGCTGATGACCGGCGGAGAACATCGAATACATGTGACTCCTTATATCTGCTGCCGTGCCCCGTTGACAAATGTTGTTGCTGGTGTTTCCACTTTTGCGTGTTATCGCTGCTCGACAAACTTTAATAATAATAATAATAATAATACATTTTATTTGAAGCGCCTTTCACGTCACTCAAGGACACTTTACAGAACATATAAAAACAATAATAAAACACTATTAACAATTAAAATCATTAATCATCAAACAGTTAAAATCAACAAAGCAAAATTAAACATGAACAACAGCAAAGGAATAAATAAAGAAATTAATAATACCAATTGAAATTTAATTAAAAAAAGGTGGAGAGAGGAAGAGGACCGGAGGTGGCATGCTGGAGTGGCGATGTGGAGGAGGTCAGATAGGTAAGGAGGGGCGAGGTTGTGGATGGCTTTGAAGGTATACAGGAGGATTTTGAACTAGATTCATAGAGGAACCGGGAGCCAGTGAAGCTGCTGAAGGATGGGGGTGATGTGGTACACTCTTGTTGTCTCCTTTAGTAAAATTAAACCACGCTTTAGTTCATTTCTGCCGACTTTTCGTACCGTCTGTCGTGTTTTTTTCTCTGTCTCTGTTCTCGTTCACGTAGACTGGCACTCGCAAGACCGTTTTCAAGGCACCCGGAAGAAAGGAATCGTTAAGGGAATCTTTAAGATAAAATGTAAATGATGTCGATGGATTGAACTATTTGGAACCAGTTCTCAACAAGAACCGGTTCTCGATTCCCATCCCTAGAGTCTGGACCAGGTTTCAGAGGATTTGAGGTCCCATAGAACCAGGTCCTGCAGATATCCAATCACCTTCTCTGTTTTTTGTTCCCTCCTGTAAGGTGCTGCTGACCCTGAAGAAACCCCTGGAGCAGAAAGAGTCTCCTTTCCTGATCTTCCACTTGGCTCATCTGGGCATCGACACCAAAGTGCGAAAGTACGACATGTGCGCCTCGACGTACATCAAAAAGATCACGCTACAGTGTCAGGAGTTCAAAGGTCAGAGCCTCTCATGGGTCAGCTGAAGCAGATCTTTAAGTCTTTTAGGGGACAGAGACTGATGATGGAGACTTTTGTGTCCCTGTCGTTTCAGACTGGAACGGGGAGCCGCTCTGTCTCATCAGCTCGTCTGTGGAAACCGGAGCAGAGCTGCTCAAAGTCCAGTACTTCAAGGTGAGGACTTCATAAGATCTGTCACAGCAGGAGATCATGTGTTTGATGGACCTGAACATCTTCTGAGTGTGAGTGTGTTTCTTTAAGGCGGACCGCTCAGGACCAAACTTCTCGACCACCTACAAGAACACAGAGAAGATGATCAACGTGAGTCCACCCGCTCTTCATATCTGTGTGATGAGGGGGGTCTGGAGGCTGTTTCTGGTTCTTTTGAGGTCACAGAACAGCTGTGGGATTAGGAGTTGGCAAAGTCAGGGTCCTGGAAAACCTGGACAACAGCTAACCAGTTTTCCTGGAAAACTCCTGGAAAATGGGAGAAAAAGTAAAATGTCCCGCAAGATTATTTTTAGGGGACTTGAATACCGCCCAATCATGCAGAGAGTTTGGGGGTCTGCTCCTCAAAACTTCTCTTGCAGGCCGAGAACTCAATTACCGTAATATAGCTAGTAGAAGTGCAAACTCCTGATAGTGAAAACAAACGGAACAAAAAGAGCGACACAGCTGCACAGAAACTGCACGTTGTAGACCTCTCTGATCAAAATAGACATCGCCACGCAAGAAGACCGTTTGAACATTTTGCGTCTTTTATAGCGGTGCGAATTTTCCAGAGTTTACGGTAATGTTATTGATGACATTTTAGCGTGCACTTATCGCTGTTGTCTGTCTTCCTTGCCAACTGAGCTGCAGTCTTACTTCCAAACCGTTAACCGCTATGAGCCCCGCAAAAGTTAGAGTGAAATACAACTATTTCGTATCTTAGATAAACGCCAACTGACAGCAGTGTTTATAAACTTGTCAAAGATAAAACATGAAAATGCGTTTTTATGCACAATGAATAAATAAATAAAAAATAAAAACCCTTCATTATAGAGCGACGCTTCACTTCCATACTGAACCGATAGAAGTGAAGTTTCTCCATCATCATTTGCAGAAAACGATCGAGTTTCCTCCTGAAACATATTTAAAGTAACTCTAAAATTACAGACGTATGAATCTATATTTTTTCATCACTTATCTTCTCTCTCTCTCTTTTTCTCTCCCTTTCTCTCCAGGTGACCTTCACCTCCCTCGACCTCATGCTTCACACCGAGGCTCTGCTGTCGACCATGAACTTCCTGTCCGCTGTGCTGTCGTCTGTCAGCGTTTCCTCTCCAGAGAAAGAGATCAAATCGAAGACGGAAGACAAGACGGTGTCGGCCAAGTCCGGTCAGTACAACAAACAATCACACCTAATAACCCGATAGTAACCCGAGTGACAAATAAAGTGCTGTAGGTCTAAAAACATGTCGTTGTTTTTTCCTGTTAGCCGCCCCGGTGTCGCCTGCAGACAGCGAGGTCATCGACCTGAAGGCGATGATAAATCTGGGCGCCTTCAACGTCCTGGTGTGCGACCAGAGCTGCAGCATGGCGGACATCAAGATTCAAGGTTCTGGAATCGCTCTTCTGGTTTCTTTTTTGCTGTTTTCCTCTCAGCAAAAACTCTGAAGTATCTGATGGTTTCTTTCAGGAATAAACGGCTCTCTGTTGATGCAAGGATCACAAACTCACATCTCAGCCAGTCTGAGGGACTTCCTGGTCCTGAACATCGATCCGAACAGCATCCATGACAAGGTGAGCTGAGTGTGGCTGAAAACAGCGCAGCTCTGTAGTAGAAGTGTCCTGCTGATGAACTCTGACCTCTCCGTCCTTCAGGCCATCTCCATCGTGGGCGATGAGGTGTTCAGCTTCACCATGAGTCTGACTCCTAAAGCCACAGAAGGTGAAGGTTACGCCGACACCTCCAAAACCGACGGCCGCCTGAAGCTGAATGTGGGCTGCATCCAGGTGGTGTACCTGCACAAGTTCATCATGTCTCTGCTGGTGAGTTTCAAACACCTCCGTCAGACTTTTGTGTGGAAATGTTCACGTCGATATAAATGTTCATTTTCTTTCCATTCAGAACTTCAGCAACAACTTCCAGACGGCGAAAAAAGCCGTGAGCGCCGCGACGGCTCAGGCCGCAGAGAAAGCGGCGTCCAGCGTTCGAGACTTCGCCCAGAAGACTTTCCGTCTGTCCATGGACATCAAGCTGAAGGCTCCGCTCATCGTCATCCCCCAGTCCTCCACCTCCCAGAATGCACTAGTGATGGACTTGGGTCTGATCACGGTGGCGAACAGTTTCTCTCTGCAGCACGTCAAAGGATGTCCACTACCGGCTGTGATTGACAACATGGAGGTCCAGCTGACTCACCTGAAACTCTCCAGGTCAGATTCTAAGATCTGCACAGATTATAATCCTGAAGGTTCTGGTCCAAACCGTTAACTCTGTCCACATGAACATATCTGTCTGTCAGGACCTGCATGGACCCGGCTTCAGGTCGACCCAGCATCGAGCTGCTGGAACCCGTGAACCTTCACCTCAACATCAAGAGGAACCTGGCAGCTTCCTGGTACAAGAAAATGGTTGCCGTGGAAATCGTTGGAGATCTGAAGCCCATGAAGGTAGGAAGAGGAGGAGATGGAGGAAGGCGGAGTATTCCGGTCCCTTCAATATATTTATAATACACTAATTAAAATAAACTTTCCTCCCACCACTACAGGCGTCACCTTTTTACCGTCTGAAGTTCTGTTAAGTTTCTTCTCAATCTTTAAAAATCTGCAGAGAAACATTTTCCTTTGACAGCCTGTCAGCTCAGATCCCGCTGCGCTGCTCTGCAGGGGCGTGTCCAGACTCTGGGGTGGCTCTGACAGAGGTTGGGGTGGCTGGATTATTCATACTTAACCATTCTGTCTTCACTTTCTACTTCCATCACAACTGTCATTAAAGAGTCTTAAATCCGTTCATTCATTAAATTTTCAAAAATAAAACACAAAATGAAAAAAGGAGAAAATGAATTGTTTTCTAATATTCGTCTCTAAATAGAAAATGAAAAAATAGATAACAGCTCATTTTCCGATTTCTGTTTTCTTCAGCTCAATAAAAATGAGATAAATGGATGACGACAGTTTGATCTGATTCAAACTTTTTTGTCTGTAGTAAGTTTTGCGACCTTGAAGTGAACCTTACTCAGACGTCAAGAAAACAAGAAACCGGCTTTATCGTTACGGCTGGACTCAAGAATTATTCAGAGCTTATACGCCCCTAGCTGTGTGTCTGTTCCGTGTCCTTTTCTCCTCAGGTTGTTTCGGGCACAGAACCTTCTTACGGACACGTCAGAACACCTCGGCGCTCCTGCCTCCTGCAGCGCGGTGGAAATCTCTGCATGAGTTTTTCCATCCTGAATAAAGTGCCATATGAGCTCTGAATAATTCTCAAGTCCAACTATGACGCCAAAGCCCGTTTCTTAATCATTTCCAGGTCATGAAACTTTCTACAGACGAAAAACTCTAAATCAGATCAAATTGTTTTTATCCATTCATCCCATTTTCATTTGAGCTGAAGAAAACGGAATTTGGAAAATGAGCCGTTCTCCATTAATTCATTTTCGTTTTTAAGAGGAACATTTAGAAAATTATTCGTTTTCTCGTTTTTTCATCTTTGGTTTTATTTTGAAAATCAAATGAACGGATGATACGCAGATTGTTTTACAGTCATTATAATCCTAAATATAATTTTAGAATAACAATCTATCATAGGTAAATGTGCGTTAACGATATGACAGGATGTGGTCGTCATGTGACAGTCTGACCTCCGGCTCTGTAACCGACTCTGTCTAACTCCTCTGTTCTCGTTTTTGCAACCAGCCAGCTTTTCCGCCTCCAAAGGTACTTTTGCGTCCTGTAGTGCTGATGTGCAGAACCACTAGAATCCTCTGTGTAGAGAAAACTCAGATCTGTGACTCGACAGGCTAGAGTCCCCGTAGAGGTCAAAACCAGGACCAGAAAGTCTCCATCATGGAGTCTCAGCAGCTGTGTGTGATCAGGGTTTGGTTTCTGCTCCGTCTGAAGGTGGCGCTGAGTCAGGACGACCTGAAGGTGCTGCTGAAGATCCTGAAGGAAAATCTGGGAGAGGCGAGCAGTCTGGAGCCCGCTGCCCCCAAACAGGAGACCGGTCTGCAGGTCCGAGCGGCAGGAGCCCCCCCCACAGGTCTGGTTCTGGTTTGGTTTCCTGATCCAGGTTTTCTCTCGGTTCCTGTTAAAGTGTTTTTGATGAGCTGGTTTCTGTTTCCTGAGTTCAGAAGATGTCGAGAAGAAGACTGTGAGCGGTGACGAAGAGGAGGAGGAGGAGGAGCCGATGGAGACCATGAAGTTCAACTTCAGCATCGAGTCTCTTGGTTTGGTTCTGTACGGCAACGACCCCACGCAGGTGAGAAGAACCGAGACCGGTCCCTCATGGTCCAGGAGAGTCAGGTCTGTGGAGGCCTGAATCCTGGATCAGAGACGGTCAATAATCAGCTGATCCAAAATCAAACGGTCCAGAATCAGTCCGGTTCTGCTGGATTGGGTCGATGATTGTCTGTCATTGTGATTCTCGGTCCTGCAGCCCTCCGACCTCCGACACCAAGAGGACCTGAGGCTGGGTGAGTTCGCTCTGCACCTGCTGAAGACCTCAGGGAAGATCCTGAACAATGGCAGCATGGAGGTGGGCCTGGTCCTCACTGACTGCACTCTGGACGACCTGAGGACCGGCATGGAGAGGGTGACCTCACGGTAGGACTTTGACATGATTAGGGACTCCACGACTCGTCCAGAAAGTCTTAAACACCCAAAAAATGTGGACTTGATTATCATGAAAAGTTCGTTTTTGCAGCAGAAGTTCCTTCTCATCTTCATCCTCCCCTCTTTGTTTTATTCCTGCGTCATTCTCACCCGCCGTTTCTCCGTCTCTGTCTTCTGCGGCGGCTGCAGGATGCTCGGGCGTAAAGCCGAGCAGAGCTCAGAGGTGATGATCGATGTGACGTACCGACAGAGTCCAGCGGAAAAGGAGGTGGTGGCCATCCTGCAGAAACTCTACCTCTGTGCCAGCATAGAGTTTCTGATGGCGGTCGCAGATTTCTTCCTGAAGGCTCTGCCGCAGAGTCCGGCCACGAGTGCTGCGTCTGCACAGAGCGACAGGCTGCCGCTGAAACAGACGACCGAGCCGCGAGTGGAGTCAAAGACCGGTGAGACCAGGAGACGCTTAAATGTTATTAATCCTTCAACACAAACTTCATAAAATCACCACAAAACCATCATCTTCTCCCCGCAGCCTCGGCCATGAAGTCTCGTTTCCGGGCGGTGGTGGTTGACCCGGAGGTGGTGTTCGTGGCCAGCCTGATGAAGGCCGACGCCCCCGCCCTCGTGGCCTCTTTTCAGTGTGACTTCACGATGCAGAGCGAGGCGGACGGGACCCAGAACATGAGGGCCAACCTGGGGAAGCTGAAAGTCCTGGCCTGTCCCTTCATACGTGACGAGGGGGACAGCGGCGTCACCACAGTAAGATGATAGACAGGGTGGAGTTACGCTGGTCCAGATGACCCTGGAGGTCTTTGCTGCTGCTCTGCCTGCCTTTAGTTTTAAAACAGGGAAGCATGAGGAACAGAGCCAGACCGCCAAGTACAGCCTAAGTGGTCTAGACCGATCTGGACTGAGAATCTTGTTTTTATGGATCCGTAGTGATCATTTTAAATCAGGTGATTTTGGTCTGATATCAAACACAGTCATTAAAGCTCCTGTAAGGAACTTTCCGTTCATGTCCGTTTTGTCGCCCCCTGTTGTTTTTCTTGTCCTCTACATGCTGAAGAAGTATTTTTGATGAAAACATCTCACCCTGCTGACTTTTATTGTCAATATTTCATGTTTAATACTGACCCCTCCCCCCTCGGCTCAGTTACAGAAACTGTTGATCCTCTCCTGATTTACAGAAATGTCCAAAAAACTCTTCAGAGGAGCTTTAACATCGATGAAAACAGAGCGAAATGATTCTTTATGTAAACTTGAAGGTTGCGCTGCACGATTAATCGATTTTAAATCCTAATCGGATTATTTGATTTTCCACAAAATCGTGCAGCCCTACCTGGAGGGAAACATGATCCTCTCTGACTCATCAGTCCTCTCCATCCAACAGGTTTTGAGGCCCTGCTCTGTTGCCTTGGAAACCAAAACACAACAGAACCAACCGCTGAGCGGCTCTGTGGTGGTGGAGGAGGTCATCGTCAAGGTGCGGCTCTGAGTGACAGGAGGAGTGAATGTATTAATAATCAAATCTATGAATCAATAACTTGTTTTATTATTTTAACCTTTCATAGATTTTGTCCTTTTGTTTTCACTCTGCTGTTTGAAAATTAATCAGATGAGTTCAGACTGTTTCTCGCTCTTCAGATGTTAATATTCAGGTTCTGAAGCGACTCTGAGTGAAACCTTCGTCTGTCCCTCTGCAGATCTCTCCCTTCATCCTGAACACAGTCATGACCATAACGGCCGCCATGACAGCCAAGAAGAAAGACGAGCAGAGCACAGAAGCCAAAGTCGACACCTCCAGTCTGTGGTCCGTCATGAACATCTACGGATGTAACTACTGGTTCCTGGGAGTGGACCAGGCCATGGAGGTCACCGAGAGCTTCTCAGAGCCCGACAAGTGCCAAGAGGGCGAGAGCTTCGCTGCAGAGATCAAAGTCCGTAACTCCAGATCTGACTCTGCATCTTTTCCACACTAGGGGGCGCTGCTATCATCTTGTTGATGTGTTGTTTTTGCCTCACAGGTGGTCCAGGTGACTCTAGAGTCCGGTTTAGGTCATCGGACCGTCCCTCTGCTGCTGGCCGAGTCCTCCTTCAGCGGATCAGCCAAGAACTGGTCGTCTCTGCTGCAGCTGAGAGCGGACATGACGCTGGAGGTGAGAGCTGATGACCTTCACTTCTGTCATTTATATTTTATGTTTAATTTATCCTTCGTTCATGGAAACAGCTTAGATCTGAACATGGCGTCTGACGTGTTTTGTTTAGGTGAACTACTTCAATGAGACCCACGCAGTCTGGGAGCCTCTGATCGAACGGGTGGACAGCGGCAGGAGGAGGTGGAACCTGGAGGTGGAGGTAATCTGCGAACAGTCACTGAAACCTCTGATTGGACAAATGTTTGTGGTTGAAGAAGATCCTCTGATTTTCTTGTACACTAGATCACATCTTGAGGTCTCACACAAACCCGTCCAAAGGGTCTGTCAGTCTGGATAATTTCAAGCCGGGGTCAAATACACTCGACCAATCACAGTCCTTTACTTAGAGATAGGGCGGGTTGTTTAAACCTAAATGCAAACAACCAAGATGGCAGCGGTCAATTTAGGGAGGTTTATGGTTCTTCTGCAGCTGTTTGACAAGAACTGGACCTTCAGAACCCTGGACTTTCTACTTTGGGGTGATGGTTTTACAGACAGTAATATCATTTTATATTTCTCTCCTGCAGATGAAGAACAGCCCGCCCCAGGACAAGAGTCCTGTTCATGGAGACGACTTTGTCATCCTGCCCGAACCTCGCACAGCCCTCAGCATCTGCTCCAAAGACACCATGAACATCACGATCTCCCAGTGCACCCTGAACGTCCTGCAGAACCTCTCCAAGGTACAAAACACCAACGACCAGATCAGCCGTCAGACATGAGCTCTTCTGTGATTTAGGGAGTGAAAAAGAAGCTCTGTGGTTTTAATCGAACACTCTTCTGATCAGGCTTTTTCAGAGGGCACGGCCTCCACCTTTGACCACTCCATGAAGGAGAAGGCCCCCTTCACCATCAGGAACTCTCTGGGGATTCCTCTCATCGTGCAGCACAGCGCCAACCTGAAGCCCGTGTCCTCGCCAGCGCAGGGGAAACTGCACGAGCTGCAGGTGGACCAGATTATGGACCTGGAGCACTCCATGTTCGAACCCTCGTCACGGGGCAAACTGTCGGCTCTGCAGCGGCAAGAAAGCTGCATGTTCAACCTCTCCATCGGTCAGAATACCTTTATTTCTCTCTCCTCTCTTCTTCTTTGCACACTTCTCTGTACAAATACTTTTATCCGCAGTGCTGTGTCGGTGCCGGACCTTCTCCAAAATACCTGATCAGTCTTTGATCCTTTAGTTCCCTCCGGATACAGCGAGATCTCCAACATCGCTGTGGACAAACCGGGTCGTCGTCTCTACAACATCCGGGGTCCGATGCATCAGGAGGCGGTTTCTGTGCTGATGCAGATCGACGCCGCCGAGGGGAACAAGGTCATCACTGTCCGCTCACCGCTGCAGGTCCGAGTCACAAACACTCGAATCTTTTCTTCACAGCTCGACAGAAGTTTGCAGGAGTCCAAAGAAAAGTCTAACTGTTCAGCTGTTTGTGTTTTCAGATCAAGAACCACTTCTCAGTGCCGTTCACCGTCCTGAAGTACTGCTCCACCTCGAGGAGCCTGGAGGCCATCGGTCAGGCCCAACCGGAGACGGAGTTTCACATCCCATTAGAGGCATACAGGTAGACTCACACTGATTGGACATCATTTAGCATCAGAACAGGTTTCATGGTTAATTCTGCTGATTTCTCCTCCATCTTCAGTCATTCAGTTTCATCAAAGAAACAGAAAAGAGAAGAAGTTCTTCTTCTGCTTTGGGTTTATAATTATAAATTTAGTCCTGTGGTCATTGGAGTCCAATAACTGACTCTTTTTTTCTGATTTTATTACTATTATTATCTTTAAGGGTTTTTAAGTTTTTACATGCATCATTAAACATTATCATCAGGTGCACCAAAAAATCAAAACGAACAAACAGCGGTAACCTCCAGTCCTAATTCATAAGTGCTAAAAACTGCAATTCCTCATCTGGCCACTAGAGGCTGGTTGCAATAGAGCCACTTACAATCGCATATTTGCCCCCTGATTAAACCCCAGAATAAAGTGTTACCAAAATAGTAGAGATTGAAGAAATTCATTGATGCATCGTGATGTTTCACGTGAAAATTCAGCATCGATTAATTAATTAACGTTGATGCTTGAATATATAAATAAATAATAACGTCGATGCTTTGCCGCAAGGCCAGAACAAAAAAAAAGGGATCCAGAATCTCAACGCACGCCACCCGGGCTGTTTAGTGAGTGGGACCACAACAAACAGAGCATGTTAGTTTCTTTGCAAAATGTCAACGGCTTCAGCAGCCTCCAGAGAGTGGCGGCTGATTCTCTCGCCACCAGGGTTGACTGCAACCATGTGGAGGTACTTTTAGATTTTATGAGAGAGCAAACAAGACGACTGACGAGATCTACGCGAAGATTTGCAAAAATAAACTACCTCAGCAACAAAACAACAAACATGAGGCAGCACCTCGTACGCTTTCATCCCGAAAAAGAGAAGTCTCCTCCGGTCGTGTCGCCACACAGAGGACCATCCTGGAGACGGTCTCCAAACTTCAAAGTCTAAGTGAAGTCGGTCAAAGTGTAAATGTTTACATAAAGGTCATATAATAAAATATTTTGAATTCAAATGTTCAAAAAAACCTTATTATTTACTTATTGAGTTCAGTTTTAGAGGAACTGAGTGAATTGATCTAGTTACAAATGTGAAGACGAAGACAAAATCAATCTTGTATGGAAAAAAACCCCATTAAAAATGGAAATAACCGAAGAATCTAATCTTGAGGTACCCTTGTTGGAACACCCCTACAAAATAATAGGTATCACGTTGTCCACAGGGGGGCGCCAAAGTCAGCTCATGCTTAAACGTTCCCTCTTGGATCTTTAAGGAGAGGTTCATGATGTGTATTTCTCCGCCTCCTCATCAGATGTCAGCTGTTTGTTCAGCCGGCTGGAAGCCTCGAAGGTCAGTATCGTCAGTCCTCCACCTGCGTGGCGTGGAAGGAGCAGGTGCACCGTAGCGCCGAAGTGCGGTCGGTGCTGCAGTGTCCAGCCACAGACAGCGGCCTGATGTCTCTGTCGGTCAGCACGCTGGCCGTCCCCGACAACCTGCAGCACATCTCCAACCACGGAGAGGAGGACTGGGACCCCGCCTACGTCATCCACCTCCACCCTGTGGCCATGCTGCGAAACCTGCTGCCTTACACCATCCGCTACATGATGGAGGTAAACAGAGACACAGAGATGGTCTCTAGAAACCAGGTCAAGGATCATAATATTTTAACGTGGTTTGTCTGGTCGGGTCTCTTCCTTCTCAGAACTCTCCGGACTTCTTCGAGCTTCAGGAGGGCAGCATGTCGGACCTCCTGAACGCTCGTGTCTCAGGTGAGATCTTGTCCGTGGTGCTGTTGAAGTATCAGGGCCGGGACTGGCACGGACACATCCGGATCGATCAGGAGGTCCCTGAGTTCTTCGCCGTGTGTCTCACCTGCGACGCCGACACCAGCATGACCTTAGACGTGAGCATTCACGTGACACGGACATCGAGCCGCATGCAGCTGTCCATCTTCTGCCCGTACTGGATCATCAACAAGACGTCCCGCGTGCTGCAGTACAGAGCGGAGGAGGTGAGCGTCAAACATCCGGCCGACTTCAGAGACATCGTCCTGTTCTCCTTCAGGAAGAAGAACGTCTTCAGCAAGAGCAAGGTGAGCACGAACGCCCGTGTCCTTCCTCTACGACGAACAAAATACAGATTTATAAGAAAAATATGAGCTGCTTTAAGAGGGACGAAAGATTTCTACGATTTACTTAAGTTTTCACAGTTTCAGGTTTTTGAAGCGTTGAGACCAAAGTAAGAGTTTGTTCTGATTTTTGACGGTTTCCTGTACTCCAGTAAAGTCCTTATATTTCAGTATTTTTGAGTTTGATTTCTGTTTCTGCGGATTTTTGTCACAATTTCCACCTTTTTTCAATGTTTTTATCTGAAAATATGTCGACGTCATCTTAATTTTGTTGTTTTTTGTCCTTAAAGATGAGAGATGATATTAACAACAGACTCTTGTGTTGTCGTCGTCGTTGTTTCAGCTCCAGTTGTGCGTCTCCACCAGCGCCTGGTCTGACGGTTTCTCTCTGGACACTGTGGGAAGTTACGGCTGCGTTCGCTGTCCCGCCAACAACATGGACTTCCTGGTAATCTTCAGTCCCGTATATTTCTAAAATTGAAGTTCTCTTGGAGGTTTATTCCTGAGGGGATCCTTTTGTGTGTCCAGGTGGGGGTCAGTATCCGGATGAGCAGTTTTAACCTGACCAGGATCGTCACCATGAGTCCTTTTTACACTCTGGTCAACAAGTCGTCGTACGAGCTGGAGGTGGGAGAGGTCACCAACCAGAGCTCCATCAAATGGCACTACCTCGCCTCCACTGAGGTTAGCATCGGGGGAAAAAACTACAAATCCCACAGAGAGAGGCTGTTTCTGGAGTCATCTGATCGTCTCTGTGGTCTCTCGGTTTGTGTTTGCAGTGCCTCCCTCTGTGGCCGGAGAACACGTCAGGGAAACTCTGCCTCCGTGTGGTCGGATCTGAGTCCACCTCCAAGTTCTTCTTCTTCAACAAGCAGGATAACGGCACCCTGCTGAGCCTGGACGTGGTCAGTGTCTCCACTGGGCTGATCACAGGAGGATTCGGAGCTCTGGACGTCCTTTCTCATGTGTGTGTGTGTTTTTCAGTGCGGTGGGATCATCGTGGACGTCAACATCTCCGATCAGTCCACGGTTATAAGTTTCGGCGATTACTACGACGGAGCTGCTCCGGCCCTGCTGCTAAACCACACGCCCTGGGTCAACATTAGCTACAAGCAGAGGTCAGAGGTCAACATGCACGCACACCAACACCAACATTGTTTAAAAGTTTAACTGTATCTTTGTTCAAACCCCTCGTACTCTTTCTTCTGCAGCGGCTCAGCGGTGACGCATGAGCTGAAACCTGGCGAGGCTCGGCGGTTCGCTTGGGACGACCCCGCAGGAGTGCGAACCCTGTGCTGGAACTGCATGGAACATTCTGGAGAGCTGGACCTGATGAAGGTCAGACACTGAGGGTTTGGGAAAATCATCCCAAACTACCTTCATGTTGATGTTACTGAGACCTGAGGCGGGAAATGAGCGGGAATCTGTGTTTCCGCTAATTCACGATGTTTCTGAGCGTTGTTTGAATATTATAACTATCTACAGGGATCCCATCACACTGAAAAGTATGCTTTTCAGCTGCTCTGCTGCCTCCTAGGGGCCAAAATAAGAATTATACATTTTTAAAAGCACAAAGGACCGAGAGTCGAACCCTGAGGAATCCCACATCTAAAATAATGTGATGATGAAAGTTAAAAAAAATCAAACTTTGGATCCAAACGCCTGAATGAACAAACTTCACCCATGATCAGAAAACCCGGGTACTCTAAGAAGTCTGAGTCCTGGTGTTGGTCCTCCTCTAACAAACTGTGTCCATTCTCCAGGACGAGGTGGGTCAGTTCAGCTACGACAACCTGTCCGAGGTCCACTGGGTCTCCTTCCTGGACGGTCGTCAGCGCGTGCTGCTGTTTACAGAAGACGTCGCCGTGGTAACGAAAGCTCGGCAAGCGGAGGAGCTGGAGCAGTTCGAACAGGAAGTGAAGGTGTCGCTGCAAAACCTGGGACTGTCTCTGATCAACAACAACAGCAAGCAGGAGATCTCCTACATCGGCATCACCAGGTACCAAACGCCGCCTCCTCAGCAGGTCAACACTGCGTCAGGTACATGTTAGAGAACCGTGTGTGTGTGTGTGTGTGTGTGTGTGTGTGTGTGTGTGTTCCAGCTCAGGGGTGGTCTGGGAGATGAAGCCGAAGAACCGCTGGAAGCCGTTCAATCAGAAAAACATCAACCTGTTGGAGAAAACGTACCAGAGTCAGCAGAGCGGGGCGAAGCCTGAAGGGGGCTGGGTCAAACTGGAGGGCAACATCGAGGTCAGAGGTCATCACACACACACACAGCACATGCTGCTTTCGAGTTACCTCGGAAGTCAGAAGTCCGAGCTGAAAATGACGTCACACCCGAGTTACCAGCGTTTCTGTTACCAAGTCGGTAAAAAGCAAAATCAAATACGGAAACAAGACGGTTACTACTACGAAAGTTATTGTAGTGCTTGCCTTGTCCGAATATAAGGAAAGTGTTTTATTTTTACTTTTTAATTTATTAAAATATCACAAGTTTTAGTATCATAAATAATAGTATATATTATAATATATAAAATAAAAGTATTTTATGAATACTTTTTAATTTATTTAAATAATAAAAATAATGGTATTATAAATATTAGTGTATATATGATAATATATATAAAATAAAAGTATTTTATGAATACTTTTTAATTTAATTAAATAATAAAAATAATGGTATTATAAATATTAGTGTATATTTGATAATATATATAAAATAAAAGTATTTTATTATTACTTTTTAATTTCTTAAAATAATAAAAGTAATAGTATTATAAATAATAGTATATATTATAATATATAAAATAAAAGTGTTTTATGAATACTTTTTGATTTATTAAAATAATAAAATTAATAGTATTATAAATGATAGTATATATAATGTATTTAAAATAAAAGTATTTTATTATTACTTTTATTAAGTTACTCTAATTTTTAAAATAACTTTCGTAGATATAACATCTCGTTTCAGGCCTCTGATTTTGCTTTTTACCGACTTGGTAACAGAAACACTGGTAACTCGTGTGTGTCGTCATTTTCAGCTCGGTAACTCAAACGCAGCATTAGACTGCAGCTTCACTCTTCAGTATCAGACTGTTAGACAATGAGACTGATGTGTAGCGTGTGTGTTCATCACTTATTATCAGGTGAACCTCTCTGGAGCCATCATGATGATGCGTCAGCCCATAGCCTGTCCTATCAGGAGGAACTTCCTGTCAGGGATCCAGGTGGAGTTCAAACAGTCCCCTCACCAGCGCTGCCTGAGGGCGCAGCTGCACTGGCTGCAGGTCAACACGCACACACACACACACACACACACACTCTCTCTCATGTTCAAAAACACTCGGTCACATTTATAACTGACTCGGTTTCCCTTCACAGGTGGATAACCAGCTGCCAGGCGCCATCTTCCCCATCGTCTTCCATCCGGTTCCTCCTCCTAAATCCATCGCTCTGGACTCAGGTGATCATTTTGACAACGTTTCATTTAACCCTTCATCGTGTGTTTTCCTGCTGCCAGAAACAGATGTTTACGTTTTGATCTGGTCTGATTCTGCTCGAATCTCTCTGCCCGTCCTCAGAGCCGAAGCCTTTCATCGACGTCTCCATCATCACCAGATTCAACCAGCACAGCAACGTCATGCAGTTCAAGTGAGTTAGGAACAATCCAGAGTGGTGGTAAACCTGATTATGATCGGTGTTACTCAGTCTAATGAGAGAGTTTAATGAGGAGAGGCAGAGACAAACGTTTCAAACTGAGCCTTGTTGGTTTAAAACCATAAAAACATGATGGTGCATCCAGTTAAACAGTAAAAGATGACAGTATCTGCTCTCGTAAAGATAACTCAAATCCAGATTAAACTAAACCAGTTTGATCTGAAAGGAAACACACTTGGTTTTAAGGTTCACTGGTTTGATTTGGGGGCCAACAAGTCCAAGACAGTCTAGCTTCAGACCTCCACTGAGAGGACCCGAGGTGACGGTTTCTCTTATGAAGTTAGTTTGAAGTGGTCTTCTCATTTTGTATTTTATCTTTGTTGAACACATAAATATACGAAAAATCATATAAACATGATATGAAATCATATCCACACGACACTGAAAAATACTTAATGTGTAATCGCTTTTAATTTGAAACTCCCGAGGTTAAAAAAGAAACATACTCCTGGTATAGTTGCTTTTATTTTGAAAGGCTTCAAACAACTTTACATTGAGTTTAAGTAAGGTTAACTTGATCTGAAAGTTAACCTGCTTAGCATAAAGTTTAACAAACTACATATGAAGTTTAACATGTTCGATCTGGAAGTAATCTTACTCGACATTTAGGTCAACTAGTTTCATAATTATAACCAGATTAACTTGAAATTGAGATTAAATTAATCTCATATGAAGTTCAACCATTCTGATATTGGGCTAAACCAGTTTGTTATGACGATTAACCAGTTTGATGTGAAAGTTGACCAGCTGGGAAGAAAGAAACCAGTTTGATCTAGTTTGGTCTAGTTCTAATATGATGGTTCACTAGTTTATAACAAGGTCTGACCTATTTGGTAAAAAAGTTAACCAGACTAATGTGAAGGTCGACCAGTTTAACATGCTGTTAAACTGTTTTCTGTGAAGTTTAACCAGTTTGATCAAATGTGGGGCCAGTTTAAGATGACGGTTTACCAGTTTAGAAAGAAGGTTGAACTTGTGTGACTTGGTGAAGGACTAGTTAGATACTCTGACAGTAGAGTCGGTAAATGTGGCGAACCCTTTGTTTGACACTCAAGTTTAGTAGTTCTATTAGTGAGTAAGCCGGTTAGGTGTGAAGGTTAACTGGTGAACAGGAATGTTAATGGGTGTCGTATGATAATTAACTGGTTTATTATGGAAGTAAAAGGTCAACCAGTGTTACACAAATGAAAACCAGTCTGATGATGATGTTACTGTTAACTGCTCCATGATCGATCTCACATAAGTGTGCGTTTTTTGTTCTTCAGGTACTTCATGGCTCTGGTTCAGGAGATGGCCGTGAAGATCGATCAGGGTTTCCTGGGCGCCATGTTAACTCTGTTCACTCCAGCGGCCGACCCTCAGGCTGACAGACAGAAGGTGAAACAGGGCGGAGAGTTAAACCACCAACCCTGACTCATCAGACCAGAACTCTGTTCCTGTCCTAACAACTGAAACCGTTTCTGTTTCAGACCAAGCTGATAGAAAAAGATCTGCAGCTGCTGCAGGCTGAGCTGACAGAGGCGTCGCACAACGACGCGTCAGGACTCAGTTTCTTTGAACATTTTCACATCTCACCCATCAAGGTGAGGATGCAGACGGGGTTTGACTCTTTTAGTGACCTCGAAACAGTGTCAGAACTTTGCACTGCAGATATCTGATTGAAGATGATCTTCTCTGCCTGTCTGATGTCTCTGCTCTGATTTTGTTCTTTTGTTCGTATTTGTGTTTTCAGCTCCATCTCAGTCTGTCTCTCGGCTCCAGCGGGGATGACTCTGCTAAAGAAGTGGCGGCCATGCAGTCTCTGAATCTGCTGCTGAAAAGTATCGGAGCAACGTTGACGGACGTGGACGACCTCATCTTCAAGTGAGACTCTTTCTGCTCCTCACTGTGTCTGTTTTTATAGAAAGATGCATGTTAGGATACAAAGACACAGCTGTCAATAATATTCTCTAACACCAAGTTGAGTCTCTGTCTCTGTCGTCCCCTTTGTCCCTGTTAGACTGGCCTTCTTCGAGGTGAGGTACCAGTTTTACCGCAAAGAAAAGCTGATGGGCGCCGTGGCCCGACACTACAGTGAGCAGGTACGAAAGCCGTCCGTCAGTCAGCTCATCAAACACACTTTCTGTTAAGAACCTGCTGTGTGCTGGACTGGACTCTTGAGGTTTAACTGGGAACTTAATGTGAGACCACATTGTTGTTTCTGGTTGCAGTTCTTGAAACAGATGTATGTCTTGGTTCTGGGTCTGGATGTCCTTGGTAACCCGTTTGGGCTGATCCGAGGTCTGTCCGAGGGAGTGGAGGCCTTCTTTTACGAACCATTCCAGGTAACGCAGTGAAGACTAACCCTGCAGAAGAAGAACCCTGATGGAGCTGAACCACGTTTCTAATATCAGATCTTTTAAGTCCAGGTTTATGTTTTATGGTGGTCCTACTTTAATAAGTCTGTCTGCTGTGTGCATCCACCAGGGGGCGGTCCAGGGTCCAGAGGAGTTTGCAGAGGGTTTTGTGATCGGAGTCCGAAGCCTGCTGGGTCACACAGTTGGTAAGAAACTACAAACTAAACTAAACCAGCTGTTTTTTTTATCTCTGCTGCTAATCTGACTCTATCCTTCCCTTGGTTTCCTGCAGGTGGCGCCGCAGGTATGGTCTCTAGGATCACAGGTTCAGTAGGTAAAGGTCTGGCAGCCATCACGATGGACAAAGAGTACCAACAGAGACGACGCGAGGAAATGAACCGAGCGCCCAAGGACTTTGGAGAGAGTCTGGCTAAAGGAGGAAAAGGACTTCTGAAGGTAAACAAAGTGACTCTGAGAACAGCTGATCAGCTGATCTGAGGTCAGGGATGAAGGTCCGAAACACTCTGGTGTGTGTGTCCACAGGGGGTCGTCGGTGGGGTCACGGGCATCGTCACCAAACCTGTGGAGGGTAAGTGTTTTTAAAGTATTTACAGGGACAAATGCACATTTGAAAGCTTCAGGTGCTTTTTAACAGCAGGATCTTTTCCCTCTCCTCTCTGTGTATTTGTAAAGCAGGAACTAAGGTTTATGTTTAGTGTCAGGGTTGTTTCCCGGCTCAGGTCAATAACTGTCTGAAGGTCTGGAACCTTTTGTGGGCAGGTTTGATCGTGGTTTTGGTGGTTAACTGTCTCGTTCGCAGTAAGCATTACAAAATCAGAGCAAAAAAGAACAGAAATGCCTGAAAGAACGACTTCAAAATGAGCTCATGTAACTCTCGTTTAACTCAAATTAACCAGAGGGGGCAGCAGAGATCCTGCCCTTTAAAATACGAGTCATAAGTCAGTTACATGTTGAGCTGTTAGAGGTCCACTCTTGGCCAAGTGTGAGATGATATTTGCTGATGTCCTTTTTTGTGCAGGAGCAAAGAAGGAGGGGGCTGCAGGTTTCTTTAAGGGCATCGGGAAAGGTCTGGTGGGCGTGGTGGCTCGACCCACAGGTGGCATCGTGGACATGGCCAGCAGCACCTTCCAGGGCATCCAGAGGTACGAAAATCCTTTCATGAAACCCTCTGATTTGTGTGTTTGTCCATCAGAGTTTGAGCTGTGTGTCTTTTCTTTTCTCCGACAGTTTCAGTAAACGTAGTTTGTCTTTTGTACCAGTTTCACTCGGTGAAGATCTTCATGTCTCGTCTGTCTGCTTCTCCTCTGTTTTTCTTCTTGTCTGCTCACTAATTTTTATATTTTCTGCTTTTGTTTTCTGTCTGGTATCGTCGTTTCCTGGAGTTTGTTGTTCTTTCTTTTTCTTGTGGTTTTTGGTGTGTGAGTATTTCTCATTAAGTCCGCTGAAGCTGGGCTCCTTCACCGCTGCTCAAAGTCTGACAATCAGGTTCAGAAACAGACCCCCTCTGTGGGGTGACGATCAGACGTATCTCGAGTCAGACTCTCGGGTGAGATGAAGGAGACGAGCTTCAGCGGCGGCACTTGTGCGTTTTTGCATGTTGTTGTAACTCAGCAGCAGTTCGATGGTAAGTCGCTGCATCTTGTCACAAATAAATCCTTCATGACTCACGCTCACGACATCCATCACTGTAACAAAGCTCATAGTCCCGCCCCCCCTCAGCTTGCTGCGGCATCTTGAGTCGTACAGGCCAGACTCCTGTGGGACATGTGACCCAGACTCTGAATGAAACATGTCATAGAAAAGGCTTGTTGAGAAAGAGAATGAAACATATTCAGCTGAAACCAACTCAAAGAAAACAGACTGTCTAATTTAAAAAGCATGCATTAAAGGTGAGAGCATCGTTAAGTGCACTTGTTATGTTGTTTGCAAACTTCGAACAGAGACGTTTATATCACACAAACACAAACACAGGATTATTGTCACACTTAAACTCCTCTTTAGTTTTCAACACAAATATTCTTCCTCTGGATGGCCTGAAAATAATAGATCTGCACATGAAGTCTGCTAGTATTACTCTGACGTGCATCTTTTGCAGCCTTGCACTGTTATCTTGCACTATTGTCTGTGGTCAGTGTTTGAATTTATTCTTGTACATATTTATCTTTTATGGAGCGAAAGTTTACTAAAGTCATATTCCCCAAATGTTTGCATAGGGCTGGGCGATACACCAAAAATTTACGGATACTGAAATTATCGACAATAACCGGCGTCATTTTGCTCATATCGGTATTTTTAGTGTCAGAAAATCGATAAATTAAGTTGTTTTTGGATGTGTGTAGGTAGGCTATGGTCTCATGTCCCTTTAAGACGCTGTCCTACGTCAGAGACGTGACTCCACCCCATCCAGTCAAAGAGGGAAAGACAGGTGAGGAGATGGAGGACGGTTCAGAAGATGTAGCGGCTGAAGTAGACGAAGTTAAAATGGGGAGGGGGTGAGCAGCTCGTGGAGAAGTTATCGTCCATTTATCGTTATCGAGGTGAACTGATCAATATATCGTGATATTGATTTGAGTCCTTATCGCCCAGCCCTATGTGCACACATGCCAGTCCAATACAGCTGATTCTGTGGCTCAACCCCCCGCACAAACAGGCCGTGCTATCGCGCATGACGGAGTGTTTCTACGTAATCTAAAAAAACCTGCTTGCTAGCTTGCGCCGGGAAGTGAGCTGGATGAAGAGAAAAAAAACACAAGCCTGAAGCAAACGGCACAGAGCTGCAGAACTTTCTGGATGTTTCTACGTTAGAGCTCAGACAGAGCAGAGATTGTGCAAGTCTTACCCCCAATTTCCACCACATCCGAACGCCTGTGAAAAGGCCGCCTGCGCCGATTGTTTCCAATCAAGTTAATGTGTCAAATTCCATCGGCTTCTTTCCGGCCCCCTGCGGTTCAGCGGCTTCGTATCTGATTGCACAAGTTCTATTTTTTCTGGACGCCGGAGCATGGCGGATAAATTCAGCACAGATGAACCCGTGCTGGAAAGGAAGTCGGGCACAGACACAAAATAAAACATCCAACTTCTTTTCAAAATAAAACTACCTGTTTCCGGCGCATCGTATTTCACACCATGCAAATTTCGGCGGAGACAAACGAGTGAAAGGTTTTTAGACGTCATTTCACCCCGATGACACCATGGATGAGGAGATGCTGATTCTAGAAGTCTAGAAGTAGATTTCCTCCTCTGGAAGGACACAATCTACTGCTTATATGTCTATGTGGATGTCTTTAGAGAGACAACTCGTTATCGCATGATTGCATGTGAATCCTGCTGTCGGAGGTCTGCCACGAAATTCGCCTCACAAACGCATCCGGTTGGAATTTGCGAATGGCGAAAATCACCGCCATTCCTTAGCGGAGCCGTTCTGGATGCGATGGAAATTGGGGGTTAGAGGCTGTATTAGTGAACTTTATCTGGGATGAGCAGTGTTCGGTTATGTTTGCCTTTGTCGTCCAACTTAAACCTGTATATTTGAGTGATAATCCTCCTCCAGGATGTCAAAACCTGCAAACCTGCACTACCAAACTTCACCAGCAGGGTTTTCCTCTCAGCTTTAAGTCATCGGTCTGAGAGTGAGACCGTCATGAACAGGTTAAACTCCCCCACAGTACCTTTAAAAAAAAACCTGCTTCTGTTCCTGAAACATCCCCCCCACTGCCTCAGCGATCTTCATCCTCCTCCTCCTCCTCCTCTGTTATGAGGCATCCATCTGTCATGTGACGCATCAGTCTGTTCACGATAACCTTTATATCGTTACCGTTTCATGCTGTCTCTATAGAGGTCAAGAAAGGTGAGCTATCCGACTGACAGCATCATGTTCACTCTGAACAGGCTAAAAAAACCAGTTTTATTAATTTATGTAAAGTAAATAAGAACGAATACAGAGCCTTGAGGGACTCCTCAGGAAAGATTAACTTCCTTTTCTCTTGACTTGAATGCGTTTCAGCTCGGTTAAGTCGGTAGGTTGATTTGTATATGTGTGTGTTTGTGATACCAGAGTAGCGGAGTCGACGGAGGAAGTGACCAAACTGAGGCCGGCGCGTCTGATCAGGGAGGACGGGATCATCAGACCGTATGACCTCACAGAATCGCAGGGTTTTGACCTCTACCAGGTAAGACCAGGTGATATCGTTGTCTCGCTCTATCTGTCTGCAGCACACATGAACATGATGTGTTTTTATTGGATGCTAAAGTTACAAAGTGTAAAGTGCATTTGTTAAACTGTGAGTGAGGAGAGTTAGCGGTGACGGGGTTGTGACGGAGGGCAGAGCAGAGAGACACACAGCAGGTGTGACTCCAACCAAACCCTGCACCTTCCTGCACGTTTGAGCTTTCCTCTTTAACTCATTCAGTGCCAGTGACGAATTTGGTCACATTTTTTTATTTGCCCAGAGTGCCATTGACAGATTTTGATGGATTTTTCAGTTTTTTTGTTTTCCACCAGAGGGCGCTCCTCCCAAACATGCGACTAAGTTTGGGGTCATTCTGATCGCAGAAAAGCCGACAAATACGCCATAACCATGTTAGAATAACAAAAACAAGTACTGGACAGTGAGAAGTGTGCCATCAAGTATGTCCATTAGCCGAGTTGTGGAGAGTTTTTTCTCTATGAGGAAAGTAGGAAAATGCCGAAGTCATTAGCCAAGGTCATTAGCTAACGGTCTCGGCGCATCGGCTCCCGAGGTGCTTCCGTCTCTGGATCCAGTGGATATCTAGGTACCCATCCTTCACATCGTCAGCAGACAATTTAAGAAACAATTTTCCGGTGTGTTGTTGTGCCGCCGGTGCCGGTACTGGTGAGCGCGACTTAACCGGGATTCCGATACAGTTTTTGGCAAGGAGGACCCGAGCAGTCTGTGTGGTTTCCATCGTGGCGTCAGAGTCTCGAGAGTCAATATGAGTTCCAGCTGTCATACAGTGACCTACCTCAATCGGATCTCGAGAGTGATGAGGAGATGTGTCCGAGGAGTGAGGACTTTGATGCTGTCGGTAAAGTAGTTTGATATGAAATGAAATAGACGATCCGAGTTCTGCTTGAAAGTCTCTCCAGAATTTTTTCCTGGTGAAAGAAGAGAATCGCTCCTTTCTTTTGAGATATTGGACTCAATTCTACATTTCTCTTGCCGTCAATGGTGGCACTGGGTGAAAATTGCATGGATGAACCTGGCACTGAATGAGTTTATAACTGAGTGTCTTTTTTTTTAATTTTCTTATTCCGTTTTTTAACACCTCTCTTCTTCTTCTTCTGTTTTTTTCTCATGTGTTTGTGTCACATGCAGCCGGATGAGGAATAATCGGGGTTTGCTGGGGTCGACTTTACAAATCAAGTGCTTTAAAGGACAATAAACTCTATTAATGCTTTCTAAATAAAGCCTCATGTTAATTGAATTATACTAAATATGCTATATTAAAGTTTCTATGTCATTGTATAAATATTATTGGCTATACTTAAAACTTTATTGTTCTGTATAAACCAAAAACTTGTGCTGATATAATTCAGGTTTCTATGCATGCCAAAACTGATAACCTTCTCTCATACCTCAAACATTTTTACTCTTCGCTTGCTCTCTTCCTTTTTCCTAAAATGAAAATTCTGATTTTTTTAATTCTGAAATACAGAGGTGGTTGATTTTTGTTCCTGGTCTTTTTTTTTAATAATTATGTGTATCATATATTTTAATTTAATCATTAGTAAACAGATGAATTATTTTATTATCAGGCTGTGTTTCTCTCTCATAGATCTTAGCACTATTTTTGTAAAAGACTGTAGCATCACTTTTCATTCCAAACCTGTGAATAATATGAAATACTTCTTCTGTCTTTGTGATGATATATTTGTATAACTCAGTCGTTGTTGTTGTGGCATGACCTCTAACCCCTCATACTGTTGTGCTTGTGTGTAACAGTGTGTGTGTGAGTGTGAGTGTGTTTGAGCTGTAACAGTGAGTGACATCTGTAACCTGCAAACCTGATCTTTAATAAAATAACACTCCTAATTCACGCTCTGATTTATAACTTCTGAAAACTTTCTGCTTCTGAATATCTCAGACTTTTTTCTTCTGAAGGTGAATTTTAACAAACTTTAAGGTTTGTTAAAATTCACCATTTTTTTTTTTTTTTCACTTCGTCCGAATTCTAATTAAATTCGGACTTCTATATTACTGCAACTTTCTTTAAATAAATGAGCACTTGACTCTGTAAATCTGGCCCTGTCGTTACGCCGCTGAGTCAGAAATGTTTCCATCTGAAAAGGCGGCGTGTGCCGTCAGTTAAAGACAGTTCTGCCTCCTCCCCAAAGCGACGTTAAAGTAACATGTGAAATTTGGAATTTACAGGTTTTTACAAGTTTAGCTCATAGTGATTTTATTTATTTTTTTATTTTATTTTTTATTTGACTGAACCAAGTTAAAACATTTAGATGGAACAAATTTAAATTGAATTGAATTGGAATAGATTGAATTAAAGTAATTAAATATAGACGAATTAAGCTGAACTGAACAGGATGAGATCATTTTAAATGAAACTGAATGTACGGTTGAAAATTAAAAAAAATGAATAAAAGTGTATGAACTGAATTGATTTGAATTTAATTGAATAGAATTGAATTAGACTGAAAATGGACTGAAGTAGACAGGAAAAATTAAATTAGATTATAGTGGAATGAATTGTTTAAAATGAATCTGGATTAAATTGAATCTACTTGAATTCAGACTTACTGAAGTAAATTCACTGAGATAGAATTGGGCTGATCTGAATTTTATTGAATTCAATAAAATCAAATTGAAATGACTTGTTGTTCAGAATGAATTATGTCCGATTACATTACATTGAAATGAACTGAATTGAATTTGATTAATTTTGATTGAAGTGAATATGTATTGAACTAAACCAAATGGAATTAAAGTGAATTAAATTGAACTGGACTGAATCTAATTAAAATTAAGTTAAAGTCATTTAAAGAACTGAATAAAAACAAATTGATTTAAAAATGAATTAATGTCATTTTAATTTAAAACAATATTATTGAATTTATATACATATGAATTTATTGACTGGTTTTATAGTTATGTAAAATGAATGTGAGATAAAACAGTTCACTCCTAAAGACAAAGTTTGACGTGAATATGAAGGATGAGAGTAGAGAGCGAGTCAGACAGAAACAAAGGTACAGGTGAGATATTTGACATGTTTACAGTCATTGTACCTCAGATGATTCACGGGTTTGTTGTCTGACATGTTTGTCCTGATTCTGAAGTGTTTTTGTGAATGTTTGTGATCTGTTATTTTTACCTGCGGAGGCGTTCAGGTGTGTGTTTGAGTCTGTCGGGTTTCTGGTTTTCAGCGCTCTGAGATCAAACAGCTGGAGGGTGAAGTTTACAGAGATCACAGTCAGTATCCTGGACACAGAAAGACAAACATCATCGTCACCAACAGGTGAATTATTATCTGTTATTATCAGTCAGGATTTATTTTGTCAGTATTTTAGATTATCATCATGTGTTGTTTTTTTTAGGAGGGTCATGTGTGTGAAGGAGATCGACTTTGTGGGTCATTTCAACAAAGAGTGGGAGTGTCTGTTTGAGAACTGTTACCGTCCTCCAGCCGTGGTGGGAACGGAGCTGAAGATCTACTGCAAGGTACCGAAGAAAAACGAATGAAAAAGGGCGAACTCCAAACTTCTCCAGCTGTCTGACTCCGCCTTTCTCTCTGTCTGCGTTTCAGGAGCAGCAGAAGTTGAAGCTGCCGAAGAAAGACAACCAGGAGCCGGTGAGGAGCGTCCAGCTCAAGGACACGGCCGTCGCTCAGGTAACCACAGCTGCACGTGTGTGTGTGTGTGTATGTTTGTGTGTATATGTTTGTGTGTGTGTCTACACTTCAGTTCACCTTCCCTCACCTGGTTACCGTACGTTACCAACAGAAGCTGTATGTGGCCGTATCAGAGGCTCAGATGGCGCGGCAGCAGCACCGCATGGCGAAACAGAAGTCAACGCGCTTCCTGAAACCAAACAACAAGCACTGATGTCACTTCCTGCCCTAACGCTGACACTGTACCTTTAAAACATGTAAACAAGTATATTATTCAGTCTGTAAGCCACACAATCTCACTGACGTATCTATGTTTACTATGCTGTCTGTTGTCATGGTTACAGCTGAAGGAAGAGGCACTTTGATCACTTTGTGTCACTTTGTTTTTTTTGCACTTTTCCATTTTGTTTTTATTTTTTCTTCACTTTTTAATTCTTTTTAGGTTTAATTTTACTTACATTTTGGCAATAAATAAAATAAAGACAAAATAATCCGGCAATTTAAAATCAGGGTCGTTCGAATTAAACTAATTATCCAATTTACACGTCACGCTAAAGAGTTAAAACTTGACATAGAGGACGCTAAAAACCCACCGCCAGCCCCGGGGTAAGCGTGCGTGCTAACACTCACTTCTTACTTATTATCAGTAGGATCAGGACTCCTGAGGCTCATCTTTGACTAAATTTACGACTTAACTTTAGTCATGTGATTCTTATCAGAGAAAATGACTGAAGTATTTTTAAATCTAAAATAAATCTGAAATCTGCCGTGTTTTACATCCAGGATAGAGACGATATTATTAATGAAGACAAAAAGCTTTAGTTAAACCAAAAGTTAATCATTTAAGTTGCTTTAAAATGTTATTTTGATGGTAAAGATGACGCCTGCCTGAACCAAACGGAAGAGAGACTTTGGTAAAAGTCATGGAAATATTTAAATTTAGACACTAAAGTGGCACATTTTCATAAGTACAAAGACTCTGAGGAGATTGGGCCCAAAACTGAGTCTATAAACATCCTCATAGAATTACAGCTTCATTCCTAAAATTTGACTTTTTTGCGCCTGTATGTGAGAGGAGAGGACGGTGGAGAAGAGAGCAGAAAAGGGAGAGACAGAAGGAGTCATTTAACCTCTCAGGCCAGTGAATCCCTGAAAACATCAATATTTTTAAGGTACTTTTGTAGTTTTACATCTTTCCTCTCAAATCTGTTTTTTTTTTTATAATATGTTCGTGAAAGTCCGTCTCTCTTTTTCGTTTCAGCTCATGACGAGTATTTGTGTTTGATCTGATGTTAAAAAAAGTCTGAGTTTCCATCCAAACCACAAAATGATTCATTTTCAACCACTGAGATTTCTTATTTTTTAAAAACCTTCATTGTTATTGGCCGAGGTCCTGGTTAAATACAGTGTGTAGGTTGAAATAAAAGGTCAGTAGAGCTCAGCGGGGAGAAAGTTAGCAGTTTATTTTTCCTTTAGTCTCAGAGAAGAAAGAAAGTCGTCAGTCATGTTTTAGTCTGCAGCTTCATGTTTTTGCACATGAAGATTAAAACGTCCTCTCCATCCACACACACAGATCTGCTGAAAATGCACACGTTCATGTTTGTTTTTTTACATTTCTGTGTTTGTATTTTTAATTTCTTTTTACTTCTTTTTAGTTGTTTCCTTTTGTCAAACATCAGTGAATGTTTGAATGTTGAATCTGACAGCTGGAGGATTTACATGAATGTGATTGTTCTCGTTTGAAATGAGCAGAGATATATTTCTGATTTTGGTTTTGTTGCTGATGTTAAACCCCTCTTTCTGCTCATGTAAATGTTTTTTATTTTGATTTTGATTTTGGTCTGTTCAGATGAGCTGCTGTGGGGTTTTTTGGTCCCTGCTCCTCGCCTGCAGGCTGCACTGGCGCGCATCGTAAACAAAGCCATAAAAACATGTTGCACTAGAGATGAGACTGCAATAATCAGGGTGTTGATGATGATGATGATGATGATGATGATGATGATGAATGTGTGCTGCCCTTCTTCTTCAGAGTTACAAGATCTGACAGGAAAAGTCACCAAACAGTTGAAACAGTCGAGGGTGACATTCTGATTTTTCTTAGATCATAAATCGGTTTAACCTTCAGATCTTCCTCTGAATAAACCCGTCGATGAGAACAAACATGTTTACAAATGAACTTTAAATCACTTTGATTCAGACCTGCTGAACTTTAAACTTGTGTTTCTTCTTATTTTTATAATCTTTGCTGTAACTGAAAATCTGTCTGTGGCATGAAGTACGACCTGAATACATTTATGATGAAGAATATATGATGTTTGCAGTTTTCATGTTCATAATCTTCACTGTATCTGTAACTGTGATGGACTCCAGATCTCCAACATCCACCAGGAAGCGCAGAAATGTTTTTATCAATTAGAGAGACGTCAATCAGTGCAAATGCAGACAGAAGTAACGTTGAAGGCAGCTACAACACACCCTGTCAAGCAGCTGACCACGCCCCTCTTTATGCAAATTAACACATCACTCCTAACCAGAGGGTCGTGCACTGGTGATTTTTTAGCTGTTTACAACATTTCCTCTGACAGGCGAGGTTCTGCGTTCAGGAGAAAAACAGAAATCACATTTTCAGCCTCTGTTGAAAATCTGCAGCCTGACTGAAAAACCACCAAACGCAAATTTGGCGAGTGCTCCAGGAGAACAAGAACAGAAGCAAGTACAAGTCACAAGATCCAGATTCTGGAGGAGGCAACAGTTTAGTGAAGCACACATGATCACAACATGAAACTCTCGTGTTTAACCTTTAGTGGTCAGCCCACTTCCAGGCAGAACGAATTAAAGAGGTTAGCATAAACAGACAAATGAGTGCGAAATTAAGATGATTATTGCTTCGTATAAATTAACCACTTTTTTCAACAGGGACCTTTAACTTGTTTTATTTTTTTGTACTGTTCTGTATTTGAAAGAAGAAAAGAGCAAAACTGGATTTTTGTGCTAAGGAATACACCGTGTGACACATTTAGGGGCCTCAAGTGGTCAACTAAGGTACTGCAGATCTGTGACACAAACAGCAGCAAACTTTGCAGAGAATTTTTTATTGCATTGCTGAACTATTGTTTCAATCTTTACATGAGTGAGTTCTTTTTAGTTTCAGAGCAGACCAAAAACGAATCTCTCTGATGCACTGAGAACATTGTAGCGCTGGAGAAATTACCTGTGAGTGTTTTAAAATGTGTGTTTTTTATTCTGAAATGTGATTAATTTTAATGAGCACTGAGCTTAAAATGCTTTTAAATGTCTTTACAGCTACAAATTTAACAAATTCAACAACAATTTCAACGCTCAGTGGTTATTTAATGAACATGTTTGTTTTTTCAGCCTTAATCTGACCAGCAGGGGGCGACAGACACCCAGTGAACCTGATCCTGAACTCATTAAAGAGGCTGATATTCAGTCCAGTTCTCACCACAAAAAAGCACAACTGCTTTCACTTGTGAGTAAATGTTATTCAACCAATACACACACACACACACACACACACGCAGGGCCATCGTGCTGAACGCTGTTGTCATGGCAATGATTAAAAAAGAAACGTGTCCAGATGGTTTCCAGATGTTTGGATGTTTTGCTCACAATAATATTTCAAAACAGAGCTGGCCTCTCATTGGTCGGTCAGGCTGAAGGAGGACATGATTGGTGGGACAGGGGAAAGACCTTCCAGTGCATCATGGGTAATTTTCCTACAGTAATCTGATCTGAGATCTGATGGCATGGTGTGTGTCGGTGGAAACATCTGGACCAGAAACAGAAACAGCTGATCTCTGGCGTCATGAAACAGGATGTGTTTCATGTGTCTGAACAAGAGTTTGGATGTTTGATGGAGTTTGAAGTTAATTTGGATTAGATCATTGACTTTAAAAAAAAAAAAGAGGGGATGTGGTTATTTTTAAAACCTGAAACTCATCGTAACTTCAGATGTTTACGGTCTCAACTCCGATCAGTCAAGAGGAAGAGGGAATGATGTGTGGACAGTAATAATCTGTATGTATTCTACAATATATCCATGATGGAAACTGTACATTTCATACTCCTGTGTGACTTACAGCTCATGTTTTTACTGTTTTAATGAAGTGTTGGCAGGTTGGAGTGCAGTGAACCAGCCGTCCACTAGAGGGAGTCAAAGGTTTCTCATCCAGACACTGTGGAAATGATCCAGGCTCAGCTGGTTGAACCGAATGCCCTTGTGAACCTGGGAGGTACTTTGATATCAGTATTATCAGTCAGATATTTAAAAGGGACAGATAACCGTACCTGTTTACACCTTTATTTACATCATTTTTCGAACATCTTTGCAGCTGACAAACTTTATCTCCCATTAAAACCCTCCTCTAAACCTCAATCTCCACCGCATCCTGAACAGCTACGAAAAGGCCGTATGTGCCGATCGCAGCCGATCGTTTTCATTCAAGTTAACGTGTCGATTTCCACCATTTCTTTCCTTTCCGCTGCGGTTCAGTTGGCTTCACAGCCTATCGATCTATTTTTTCTGGTTGCTGCAGCATGCCGTGGAAATTCAGCATTCAGCAAAGGAAGTCGGGCACAGACACAAAATAAAACATCCGGCTTCTTTTCAAAATAAAACTCTACTCGTATTTCACACCATGCAAATGTGGGCGGGGACGAACAATTCAAAGGTTTTCGGACGTCATTTCACCCTGATGACTCCATGGATGAGAAGATGCTGATTCTAGAAGTCTTGAAGTAGATTTCCTCCTCTGGAAGGACACAATCTACTGCTTATATGTCTATGTGGCTGTCTTCATTGAGACAACTCTTTATCGCGCGATTGCACGTGAATTCACGGGTTCTGGTGAGTCCTTGCGTTTCCCGCTGTCCAAAATTCACCTCACAAACAGATCCAGCAGGAATTGGCTGATGACAAAAATTGCAATTTCCACCGGCTGTGGTGGAGATTGACGGTTAGCTTCATTTTGGCGACTTTTGCACTCAGAAATTGTGGGTGTTACTTTTAACACAGCTGTTTCCTCTGCAGAAAAACACGGGAATGGATCAGCTTTGGTGTTGTTCTGAAAAGCTCTCAAAAATTTCTGGTTCATTTTTCTCTTGGAGGACAAAAAAAAACAGTGACTTTACTTCACAACAGTACTGAACTACTGAATCAACAAAGTGCAGAGTGGAGGGACACCGATATCGCAG